GTTACGATGGAAATTGCCTGTCCAAGTTTGATTGCCCTCACTTGTTTTAGTTTTGCTTTAGTTTATGGCAACAGCAAGAGAATATCCAGTGTGGGCAGCGTCCAGCTGTGAGCACGGACTGCAGTGCTCAAGCAATAGAGCACAATTCTGTGTGCCACATAAAGGCAGCTTCCAGAAAACAGGCAGCTTCCAGGAAAACCAAGGGTAGAAGACCTGAGCAGCTGCACTACAAAAATGTATGGAAATGAAACCAAACAGACGAGGACTGAGGAGAAAGAAAGCCCACTGGGAACAGCATGTCTTTCCAGTGCCAGCTGCAGCTCATCACAGCCAGTTCTTCCTTGGAGTGATTGGAAGGGGATTTCCTTGGGTCACCCCTAGCAGGCAGGGGCACGTGGAAAGGGTTGCAGAAGAACCTCAGCACATTTGCTGGTGATCCAGAATGGCCTCAATAAGAGGGGAGATTTAGATTAGATGTCAGGGGGAAGTTTTTTTTAATGAGGGAGTGGTGAGGTGCTGGAACATGTTGCCCAGGGAGGCTGTGGAAGTTCCATTCGTAAAGATGTTTAAGGCCAGGTTGGATGGGGCCGTGGGCAATCTGACCTAGTACTGATCTAGTACTGATCTAGTGGTTGGCCTATGGCAGGGGGGTTGGAATTTGATGATTCTTGAGGTCCCTTTCAACCCAAGCCATTCTATGAGTCTATGAGCAGGACAGGTTCCTCTCTGCCTGGTCTGATGGGTTTCAATGTGAGCAAGTGGAAAGTCCTGCACCTGGGTAGAATCACAGAGTCATCAAGGTTGGAAAAGACCTCTCAGATCATCCAGTCCAACCATCCACCTACCACCAATACTGCCACTAAACCACATCACTTAGTGCCATATCTGCACAGTTCTTGACCACCCCAATGCACAGTGACTCCCTCACCTCCCTGTGCAGCTGTGCCAGTGCCTTACTGCTCTTCTGAGAAGTTTTTCCTGCTATCCAGCCTGAAACAGAGGAATACCCACACGCATCAATATGAGTTAGGGGGTGATCTGCTCAAAAGGAGCTCTGCAGAGAAGGATCTGGGTGTCCTGGTGGCCAGCAGGGTGCCTTTGTGGCCAAGAGAGCCAATGGCATCCTAGGGTGCATCAAGAAATGGGTGACCAGCAGGGCAGGGGGAGGCCTCGTTCTTTTGTTCTTTGTTCTTTATGACTATGAAAGCAGATGAAAAAAGGAGAACCAGGTCCCGACCTCATGTGGGACACAGGCTATCGGGTCTGATGTGATTGCCCCCAGCACAGCTGATATCAGCCTTGTGCAAACAGCATCAGCCCTCAGCACGAGGCACAAGGTGGGGCCAGCACCACAGGTCTGTGCTGCACAAGGCTACAAACCAACAAGCTGGAGCACCCAAAGGTGGTGTCAGCTTGGGTCACTGCCAGGGCCATTCATCTCGGTGAAGAGGAGGAAGGTCCCGAGGATCTCAGCAGCAGCCAATGGAAGGGATGAGTCATGCAGGGGATTTACCACAAACACACAAAGCACTGCGACCCTACAAAAGCGACAGGCAAAACAACATGCAAAGAGAACAAGGGCTGCGTCCAAACCAAACAGGAAATGACTGAAGAACACCATCCTTCTCCTTTAGGCTGTTTCATGGTGGAAATTCAGGCTCCTTAGCTACTCTTGGTACTGCCTGCTGCTGTCACAGGCTTGTATTCCTGGAAATCAGGAGGAATGGGACAAGAGTGAAGTCAGGGAACCCAAAAGGCTGCACGTAACCTGGGAGAGAGCCCAGTGCTGATCAGGTGATGATGTGATGATTCGCAGTGCATCAACCATCCAGGAGCTCCCAACACCTCCAGAATGGGGGTGAACCTTCTAGGTTGAACCAGGGCAGGGAGGCCCCAGGTATTAACAGCATCCTTTGCAGATCGTGGTGCCACGTTCCCCATCTATGTCCTAGAAACTTGCTGGAGAGCAGAACACAGCTTCTGGGAAGATTCTTAATGCTGCAGAGGAGACAGCCCACCACGAGACACTGATCCAGAGGTGACTCCCTAGTCCTCCACCAGAAATTGATAGAGAAGATGTTTTTCCTGAACACCCCTTAACAAAACAGACTCGCTGCCACTGCAGCATCCTGTCATAGAATTACAGAATCATTAAGGTTGGAAAAGACCTCTAGGATCGTCAAGTCTAACCATGAACCCATCACATTCATGACATCCCTCAGAGTTGGTTTGTACAGGGATAGTTTAGGTCCTTCTCCCTAAATAAATAGCAGCCCTCTGCACTGCATTGCCCAGACGTTCCACGAGCACTTTGTGCTTTAATGAGCCCATTGAAATCCTCAATCTGGAGAGGCTACAGTGGTTTTTCTGGTGCTGTCACAGCACTGGGTGGCCCCAGAACTGACCACACAGCCTCTCAACTTTTGGCCAAGGTGACTCAGAGAATGGCTCCTTAGGGCCACAGGCACCTCTTGTTGTGGAGATACCCTCAGCCTATGCCTGACGTAGAGCTCTTGAGCCACTACTTTAATATTTGAGAGCTGAATCCAGAAAGTGCTTGGCACTGCTCTGCAGCCGACTTCTCTCACATTAAAGGAGACAGCAGGAAATGAGGAACAGCTGTCTGGGGCTGTCTGTGCTCAGCATTTTTGCAGAGCAGCTCCTCTTTGGGAAGTATCTATTCTTGCAGCGGTTGTGTTTTTAAGGAATTGCTTTCCTTAGAAAAAAAAAAAAACGTTTTAAAATTAGCAGAGAACACCGCAGGAGCCTTCATTTCTCCGAACACAACGACTTCCTCTTTCCTCGTGATGGAGAGTAATTCTGGATAGTGGCACACTGTGCAAAGTGCTGATGCTGTTTTCTTCCTCTTCCCAAAGCTTAGGAGTGCTGCCTCAAAGGACGTGGGAGCTCCCTCCTCACCTCAGCCCATTTCCCTGCAAAAGGTGCCATGCTGGGTGCACAGCAGGGACTGCCTGCACTGCCCGTGCCTGCAGTGGGTCTCAAAAACAAACACAAAGCAATGTTCTTGCCAAACAGAAGAGCCTCTTGTCTCCAGCGGAGCAGAGCGATGCAACAAGCTGTTCCCTGCTGTAGGAGATGAGGAAAGCTCTTCTGAGGCTACGTGGCTTGATGGCACGGGTTAAAACAAAAGGCTGCTTTTCCAGAGAGGGAAGGGACGCTGGGATTTAGCTGGGACTTGCCTGAGCAGATCAGGGTCTGCCTTCTGCTGGGCCCATTGAGAAGCCTTGAGATCCACTGATGTCGCAATCCTTCTGTGTAGCTGCAGGGCACAAAAGTCTTGTGCCTGTTCCTACAGAGCTGGCATAAAGGAAGCGTCAGATTAGCTCCAAAATAGTAGTCTTTCCCCACTGCACTGCAGCCAAGAGAGGGGCAGCTGATGGTGGGCACCTCAGGAGCCTTTGCACATCTCAGCAGAGCTGCTGCAGGAGCCAGGATTGCCCCAAGCACAGGAGAGTGGCTGCGAGTCACCCCAGGGTGGGACGGGGGGGGGTCTCCTCTCCTTGAAAAAGGGTCCTGTAAGGTGGGACACGGGTAGGTGGGGAGCAGGAAAACACCATAGCGTGGTTGTTTCACCTCTATAGGAGAGGTGTGGGCTCTCCACGTGCTGACTTCCTGCTTCTCCAACCAACTTGTTGCTGCCAGCCCAAGAAAGGAGATTACCAGAAACACTTTTTATTGCCTTCTCGGAAAGGCTCCCTGCCTCCCCTCTTGTCTCCTTAGGGCAGCAAGCCAGCTGCCTTCAGCAGCAGCTCTGGGGACCGGTTGGACAGGAGCTCACCGTCACGGCGCAGACATCCAGAAACCCTCTGTCCGTTAGCAACGCTGCTGGGGCTGACAGAACACTGCAATGGTTTGGGGGCTGGCATCGTCTGCTCTTCTCAGCTCTGCCTCCACCAGCATCCCTACAGCTCAGTCTCTTAACCCTTTCCCAAGCTTGCTGGCTCAGACCACAGGCACCAGACTGCTCTCCCTGTTCCCCATCCCATCTTTGATTAAAACATAGCACCTCCCACTCTGCTTTTACCAAGAGCCACCCTACTCTCTCCAGGCTTCCGCTAATTGATGTGCTCCCCCTTCAGCTTATTTAGAGGACTGCTAGCTCCCTGGCAGCACGCTTGGCTATAGCCAAACTCTCTGTAAGCATTAGACCCTTCTGTCACAAGGCCTCCAAGCAGCTGGGGTGGGTGTTTGTTGTTGTATTTAAGTGCAGTGCGACGGACGCATTGCCCAGGAGAGCAGCAGGTGCTGGCTGTCAGCATCGTGCTGGTGGTTGGGATCGTTACTAAGTGTTGCTGAGGGCAGGGGACGTTCCATCCCTGGGCTGAGGATGCAGCAGGTGAGAATCAAAGCGAGCAGTGATGAGGAATGTCAGCCTCCCTGGGAGCAAAGGCTGCTGCCAGCAGAGGATGCGAGGCGTCGCCTGGGTGCTCACCGGGTTCTGACATGAAACTCAACCCGAGCTGCCCGCCTGGCCCCAGTGTGACGCGGGGACAAAGCGGGGACAGCGGGCATCTGCGCATGCGCAGTTTGCGCGGGGTTCTGCGTTGTGTAGCGCCATGTGGGCGCCGCGTATAACGCTGTCAGGATGGCCGAGCGGTCTAAGGCGCTGCGTTCAGGTCGCAGTCTCCCCTGGAGGCGTGGGTTCGAATCCCACTTCTGACAAGTGATAACGTTTTGCGCTGGGCGAATCGCGCTTTTATCGCATTATTTCTCTGCGCGTCTCTCCCGCAGCGGCGCTAAAAAGAACGGGCGGGAGCCGCCCGCCGCAAAACGGAACGCTGTCAGAAGTGGGATTCGAACCCACGCCTCCAGGGGAGACTGCGACCTGAACGCAGCGCCTTAGACCGCTCGGCCATCCTGACCCGCCGGCCGAGCCGCCGCCATTCGCTTTCTTGACGTATCCATCCGATGCGGCGCCGCCCCGACGGGGCGGACCGGGCTGCGGGGGGAGCTTCCCCGTGGGCCGCCCCACTGGCAGCGCTGAGGGCGGCCCGAGCCGAGCGCTCGCGGCATGGCGGGGCTGCCCGGAGCCGCGGGGACGCGGAGCAGCTCCCCGGGAGCCGCCGCCACCCTGCCCTCCCCACGCCTCGACGAAGCGTTCCTGTGCTCGCCACTCGGGGGGCTGATGGGTGCCCAGGCCGTGAGTAGCGGGGCGAAGGGGAGCGGGACGCTCGTGGGGGGAAGCTGACGGGGCTGTGACATCCTTTCAGCAGCACCTGCGTGGCTCTCTGCTCCAGATTTAGGCTCCCGTGCAAGGCTGGGACACGGGGAGGGCAGTACGAGGGGTGGTGGAGAGAAAGGGATGGAGCTGATAGCAGGACTGCTCCCCAGTGCTCCTCTCCATGAGCTCCTGATTTAATTCCTCCTGCTGCCACAGCACAGCAGGGCTTTCCCTATCCCCATTTCTCCCAAACGAGGGTTAAAAATAGATGAAAAAGAAAAGATGGCATTGTCCGGACTGAAACAACAGCAGCTGAGCAGCAGGAGCATGTGTGCAGCAGGACAAAGGCCACTGTGTCCCCTACACGACAATGAGAGACGCAGGCATCACAGCTCCTCCGCTCCTGGCTGAGCTCATGGGAGAGCCGTGGGTGCAGCCCCAGCGGCGCCGGGATGAGGATGGGGTTGGTGAGACCTCCCCGGAGCACTGCAGCCAGCTGCAGAGTTGGAGCACTTCCAGAGAAGGGGCATAAAAATGACCCGAGGGATGGAGATCCTCCTCTATCAGGGCAGGCTGAGAGCTGGGGCTGTGCGGCATGGAGAGAAGGTTCTGGGGAGTCCTGAGCAGCCTTTCGGTATCTAAAAGGGTGGCCGTAAAAAAGAAGGGCACAGACTCTTTTAGCAGGGTCTGTTGCGCTGAGAGCAAGGGGAAGGGGTTTCAGGCTACAAGAGGGGAGATTTAGACCTCTCCCTGCCCCTCCTGCAGGTGCTCGGCCTCCTGGTGTGGGCTCTCCTTGCTGACACCACCTACCACCTCCATGCAGCGTATGGCTGGGTGCTGTTTGTGTCCATCTTCCTCTGGGTAGCGACGGTCCTGCTCTTTGTGATGTACCTCCTGCAGCTCCCCATGAAGTTCTATATGGTCCCCTGGCCCCTCATGGTACATACACTGGGTTTGCTCCCAGGGTGAGGGGCTGGGCCCTTTTCCTGTGATTCTCCTAGGAAAAGGGGAGGAATATGGGGTCAGTCCAGCTAGGTGACTGGAGAGCCAGAAGCTCATCTCCACCCCCATGCACCAGGTGGGGAATCTCCACGTAGTCCAGTCTAGTACCAAAATGTGTGAGCATGTGCCTTTGGGGCTCCCTAGTAATAGAACCTTGAAAATAAGCACAACTAATGAGAAAAGAGCTCTCAGATCCACAGTCCAACCCACCCCCACTGTGCCCACTGACCATGTCCCTCAGTGCCACATCTCCACATCTCTTGAACACCTCCATGGATGGTGACTCCACCACTTCCCTGGTTTGTCAGCTTTCTGCTCATCCTTATCTTTGCCTATGGTAGAGTGCACTCATACCTGGGGACAGCCCTGAGCCGACCCTTTGCACCAGACTGGTGCTCAAGTCTTTTGCTTTTGGAAGAGCTCTACACAACTGCCCCAAGAGGTGAGCTGCTAGGTGCAAAGCACAGCCCAGATCTCCTCACCTCCTCTTTGCCCTCTCCAGCTGATGATCTTCAATGCAGTGGCAACCGTTCTGTACATCGCTGCCTTTGTCACGTGCTCAGCAGCTGTGCGTCCCACCTCGTGGCGCCAGTGGGATTACAACAGGAGAGCTGCCGCTTCCGTAAGTACGGGCGTACGGGCTGTGGCTGAGCTTCTGGGACCGAGTGCTCACACAGCACTCTGCTCCTCTTCCAGTTCTTCGCCGGCCTCGTGATGCTCACCTATGGGGCGAGCACCTTTTTCAGCTTCCGTGCCTGGAAAGGACTGGGCAGCAATGCAGCCACCAGCCAGGCGGCCAGCCATGCGTGAGGCCGCCATCATTGCCGCTGTCCGTGGTGCTGCAGTCCCGCCGATCGGCTTTCTGCTCTCGGCTGACTGCGAGATGCTGAGGGCTCACCGAGGTTGAAGCTCCTGGTGGTCCTCACACGGTGCACAGGAGCCAGCTGCTCACTGGAACACTCGTACCGAGGGGGTTCACCCCGTTGGATGCACTCCAGTACTAACATTCACTAAACCAAGCCCACGTGGCTGCCTGTGGTCGTGCGCGGATGCGGTGTAAATAATCGCAATTAACTTCTGTCAGTGGGGGCAGAGCTGGAGAACAAAGGCTAGGGCAAGAAAGTCGTCTAAACTGTTATCACACTGATCTTCAAAATAAAAAAGTCAAAGCACAATTTTATGCTTTAAATAAATATCTTCCTAAATCCAACATTCGAGTCTGCCTGTTCCACACTACTGCTGTCAACAAATCCAGCTTTTTTTCTCCGGGGATGTGGGTGGGCATTTCCCAGAACTGACACCCAGCCACCCACCACAACATTTTCCTTCACATCCTTCTTGTACAAACTATAAGTCTATTTCATCTGGTTTTCATCTATTTACACACAGTCAGCTGCTCTGTAAGTTTACCGCATACGCTGTTTGCATGGGTAAAGTTGTGTACAACACAACTTGTATCCAGAGGTGGGCTCAGGAAATTTAAGTACCTTAATGAAAGGTACTCACCTCAATGTGAATTGAAAAGGGACTGCACAAACTTTCCTGGAATCACAGAACCAGGAAGGTTGTCTCAGATCCAAGTCCAACCTCACCGTGCCCACTGCCCACGTCCCTCAGTGCCACATCCCCACAGCTCTGGGACACCACCAGGGATGGTGACTCCCCCACCTCCCTGGGCAGCTGTGCCACTGCATCACTGCTCTCAGGGAGAAAAATCAGTCCCTAACAGATCTACTTGCATGTGCTATGGAAGGAAAGCAGGCACAATGTAGCGTCAAGTCTCAACAAATACATACAAAAACCAAAATCCGTAAGAAAATTGGCCCCTTCATTCATTTTGGTGGCAATGTTAGAACTATCAAGAAATGAAGTTCAGACTTGCACACAGTCCAGCGCATATAGAAATTTAATCTCTTAAAAAAGACCTTTGCCTGGTGGAAAAGGCACCGAACTGGAGCCCAGTCCCAGTGTTTCACAGAGAAACCAATTATCCCAGGAACACCAAACCACAGAAAACAGCCAGGACGGAGTGAGCAGGGTTTGACCTGGGCAGCTCCACTCAAACCAGTGGAGCTTTGGTGCAAATTTTCACGGTCTAAAATTGAAATGAAAAAGGAGCAACAACAAAACTTCACTGTGAGTTGGTATCTGCACACCCAAGTGCTTATAAAGAGCATGAATGCTCACGTGGACGCTGTTCAGAGCCAAATAATACAGAGATCAACCACATCCCCACCTGACAGCCAACTAATACATCTAGTCAACACACTATTTGAATTATTTTACAAAATAAATCCATCTGAAAATGCTCACCAGAGAATTTGAGATAAGAAAGCAAAACAGCACAGACCTATCAAAAGGAAGAAGCGAGGAACCATGCCTCTGTGAAACGGTGACTTTGGTATACAGGAAACTGAGATATAAGCTGCATCCAAATATGAACTCACCCAACACTGTGTGCCTCATCTGGACTCTGAAATTACAACAGGCTGTGCTTAAAATACAACCACCTCCATTTGGGAAGTAACTGTCTGGGTATCCACTCACACTGCTGTTACTTCACATAATTATCCAGAGCAATTGCAACAGGAAGATAAGGATTTTGTTCCAGTTAAAATTAAAAAGGGAAATTTTGGTTTTAGTTAAGAATTAATTTAGCTCAACAATTCACAATTAAAACATTTCAATGGGGTTTCCTTTAAAATACGATAAAACCTTAAAAAGTCAGAGGGAAGGAATTAACCAAAGAGCTCCTGTCCATGTATGAATGACAGCCCAAAGTCTTCCATACCTCCAATTTTAACCTCAGGATTCAAAAGGGAACGTAGCTGCATCTTGTTTGGATTAGAACTACTACCCAACGTCCTCATTTTTTTCCTCTGGTAACAGCCACCTCAAAGCATTGCCCCATTTGCTTCCCACCCCTGCATGCTGACCATGCTTGAGGGAGAAGCCTGCACGGCCCAGAGTCCTCACTGCTGCTCAAATAAACTACTTCACTTCAGCAATCAAACCCTAGCACTGCTGAGTGGCAGAGGCCAACAGCAGCAGGATTTCATCTCTGTCCTGGCAGGAGGCTTTCTCCCTGCAAAGCAGGCTGTACTTTTGCTCCGCCCAGGTCCTCGCTGGGTGACAGCTACTGGCTGCACTGGCAGGGAACACTCAGTGCTCTGCAGCATCAGCAGCCTGCTTCTGTCTGCTCTCATGCTTTTACACATGCACTGCCTGTGCATGTCATGATGCAGGGGATTAACATGTCTGACAGCATAAGAGCAGAGGGTCACTATGGCTCCAAATACATTTGAATTCCTACTGTCAAGACAGAAGCAGCTGGGGTTTTTGGTGGCAGGCTTATGGCTACAGCCCCACTACAAGCACTCACGTGCTGCTTCACTAACAGCTAAAAAGCAAACACACATTTTAAACAGCATGCTATTCAGAGCAGCCAATGACACGGTGCTGAACAGGTCTGTGCCCAACATACCCTCAAGCTTACAGCTGTGCCACTGCCAAACAGAAAGAAGCTGCACATATAGGCCAGCTTTGGATTTTTCACAGTTATTTTCTCAGTGGAGAACAGCTGGGGCCTGAACCAAAGCGAATCAGAACTTTGCACCTTAAGGATGAGACTGACTTAAGCCAATGAGCAGACAGATTTGCACACTAACACATCAATCCTCACCAAGCAGACAGGCAGCCTGGGGCTAAAACACCCACATATGGAAATATACACTTCTGTAACAAAGCTGTAATGTCAGATTAAAGATTAAAAAAGGCATGTATGTATTCACACCTGCCCAAGAGCTGGACAGACACTTTCTTTTCACATTGCTTTCTTGATTCTTTAAAGTCCTGCCTTCTGAGAAGATGGCTGAGATGCCAACCCTCCAAAAAACACATACAGCTCTATTGATTGTCCTCTCAGCACGCTGAGTTTCTCTGTAACAGTTAGAATGGTGTGCAAATACTGTGTATTTAAAATACAATTACTCCGGGAGGACTAAAGTTTTCTTCTTCTGTGGCCATTGAATACCAGCAAGTTTCAGGCATCTGAAGGCACAGTCTGAGAGAGAGTTTTCATCACATAAAAGCACCTTGATTCTCGTGACCTTTTGTGTTTTAATGTCCCAGTGAAAGCAGTAGCACTCATCTCGAGAAGGAAAGCAGTGCACCAACTGTTCTAGGAGGAGGAGATCGATGATTTGTTCAGTGATGTCACCACGAATCCACCACTTAAATCCAGACTTCGACCTTCTTTTTCCTAGAAATGTCAAAAAAGAAGAAATCCTTAACTCAATGCTGCTTTGAAATACACAAGCTTTTGAGTTCAAAAGATGAAACGTGAAATTCATATTCTGTTTGTCAAACCAATATAAAACTACACATTACCTGAGCATTTAAGCAAAAAGGTTGCTGTGAGATTTGAAAAATCCTTAGCAGAGCATTTATTCTCTTTTCCAATCTGTTTTCTCCTCTCCACAACCAAACCTCAGCAAGAGGTTGTGCAGAAGCTGGATTTAGTACCTGTGTGTTGCTGTCAGCTACACACCCAGCTCACAGCAGCATCCTGCTTTCCTCTGGTTGAGAACACCCAGTGGGAACTGGTGACATACAGCTCCTGTGAGTTCACCTTTTGTCTCCAAAGTGAAACCCCCAGCTGAAACTATTCCTACTGCTGAGACACATGTTGCCTCCTCAACCTGTCCCCAGGAAGTTACAGGGTTGCAGTTTGAGTTTAAAGAGCCACTCAATTAAGTTCTTTTCCTTTTGGATCTGTATAACCTGAGAATGAACGCTGTTACCCACTGCAGTGACACAGCCTTTGTGCTCTCAGGCAGAGCTGTGCAGAAATGACAGCCATCATGCCAATGAAAATAAATGAAGTAACAGACTTACGGCTCTGTAATCCAAGAACATTTCCTTGAAAGCCAGGAAGTCAGTAAATGTGAGGAGCATATCAAATATATCACCTGCCATTTCGTCTTTGTGCTGCCTAACAGAGAGAAGTTGAGGAATGAGAAAACCATGTGGTCAATTCTTATTTTAAAATATGAGGTCAAAAGCAATGCCAGGACACTAACAGAACTTCAACAAGAATATTACAGGCCTCTCATAAAGCACAATTTTAGACAAATATTACCTTGCAGCATTTCCAATCATAATATATACATTAAAATATTACCATTTATCTGAACACAAGCTTTAAGAGCATCAATTTCTTTGTCTGATTCCCAAAGACTGATGTGTAAGTCAAAAGAATTCATATCCAACCAGCATTTGATCCAGTTATTCTAAAGTAGAGAAATACTCCTTTCCAGAGCTATTAATGGAGCTTTTCACTTTAATTAGCCTTCAGTAGATGGCACATACCTGCACAGGTAACACAAAATCCTTATTGCTGTTAGCCTGGGGGATGCTACTGAATGGGAATTCAAAGCTTTCTGGACCCAGACCTCTAGAGCTCAGTTTAGATCCTAGAGCAGCCCTGCTAAGATTAAAGGATGCAGCCCCCAGAGTCACCAAGCATAACAAAAACACATCAGGAAGGTGGAGAATGTGAAAGCCTGTTTTTAAACAGGTTCAAAGCAAAAGAAACTTTGAGTAGGAGTAGCTGTGGGTTTGCTTGTTTTGTGTTTACCAGCAATCTATGCAGCAAGTGATTTTCAGACATACTTCAGGATAATATTGCAGGAATTCAGAGTAGCAGAGCACTACCACTATTATTATTATCATTAAGGGGGAACTTCTTTCTCAAGGGAGAACTACGAACACCTAAATTCAAATCTAGATAGAAAGACTGAGACACACACAACACTCCCTGCCCCCAACAAAAGCAAAGCAGCAGACTTACTGCAAAGACATTGTGAAAGCAGTCATATTAAAACCAGGAATCCGATCGAGCAATTTTTCTTCAATGTATTTCTCTATTAAGGAGATCTTAAAAGAAAACAAACAAAGGCCAATCAAGCAAAACCAACAAAAGAAAACACAATCAGGAATCCTCTCCACCCCACAGCATCTTAATGATCTTCAGATGCAAATTTGAAAACAATCTTCCTCACTTTACTTTGTCATGCACACATTACACATGTTATTTACTGAAGCCACAGGCTAGATTTCTGTTGAGAAGTTAAACACTGTGTAAGCTTTCAGGTGAAACAAACAGAAAGGAACCTGTGGCTCCAGATAATCCCCCTCTTGCTCACAGACCACAGCTGTGCTCCACAAAGAGGCAGCAGGCATTACATTGCCTTTGCTCTACGTGAACCCAGCGTGCTACAAAAGGGGGAATGCAAGACCTGACATCAACCTTAGGAAAAGAAAAAAACAATCCATGTGAGGAATAAGAAAAAGTATCTTACATATTCATTAAAAATCGAAGTGTAGATGAGCTTGTTTTCTTCTGAGTCATCAAACTCCTGGTAGTGCTTCTCCATAAAAGTCCTCTGTATGGACTGGAAGTCATCATCTGGACCACAACAAAAACACATCATCTAGTTAGGAGTTGAGTCATTCTTTTCACAACAGAAACCCCACTGTCACCAGTCCTCTGCTTCCCTGTGGCAGCCACCAGCCTGGCACACGTGCAGGCAGTCACACCAGGAGCACAGCTGCTGCTGGGCCAGATCTTGGCCCATCTGTGAGAGTACAGAGGGAGCAGCTCCAGCTGAGGGAGCCCATCACCCGTGGCAGCAGCACATGGCTGTGTTTCGGCAGCAGCTCTGCCCTCAGAATGGAATTTAAAGTCAATTGTCTTCCTACAGTTTCTCAAATTCAAAAGTACCAGCAAGACTGTCAGACTGCCAGCTACTGACGGCTTTCTTTTTCCAGTTGTGGAAATGAATGAGGCAAATTACCACCAAATTCAACACAACAGGCACGCTGCACACCTCTTGGTTAAGCTGAGAGCTGATGATTGCCTCTGCTCACATAGTACAAGATTGGCTTCACTGAACATTCTTACCACCAACAGGTTCTGCCACGTTGCAGGCTGCTGTTGTACAAACAGCACACAAAATACTTCCCTGTACATTTTTTTCCTGCAGTGATGATGAGAAGAAAGGAAAGAGAGTTTCCACAAGCAGGCAGAGGGTAGACTGGCTGTGTGTGTGCAGCATTTTTAGCACCCATCTTGTTGCCTGCTTGCTGAGCTTACCCATGATGATATCCTCCAGGTACCCAACGATGGCATCAAACTCTGCATCAGATGGGGAGGAGCTGAAAGCAGAAAAGGTGGTGTTACATAAATAAACATTGCAACTACAGGAAAAATAAACTTTGGAATTAAGAAATGTTAAGAAATGTTAAGGAAAGGCCAAGTGCAGGAAAAGCCCAGGAAAGTGAAGCAAACACAATTTCCTAGTTTCAACCTAAGAAATACTCCACGAGACTGATAATGAGACTGCTGTGTGGGATTTTCATTAGGCATCTGTAATGTTTTCCTAATTAAAAAGTTGTTTTACTGGCATTAGTGTTACATAATTCCAGTCCAGCTGCAAAAAGAATGAGAAGAGTATAACCATAACACCAAATTAAGCATTTTCCACGCCACAAATCCAGGCTTCTACCACAACATTTATTTCCTGCATAACTCAACGTGGTGACCACAGAACTTTAGATGCTGTTTTGCACTACTTGGTCTTCTTAAACTCAATAAATACACGTATTATTTCACTAAAGAAACTTAAATGCTTTTTCTTATGCATGCTACACACAAAGGGCAGAGCCTCATAAGCAATAAGCAGATGTTAAGCATCATTATCTGATGATCATTATCATGACCTGAACACATCCAGAGAAGAACTTTTGGCAGCAACATTTCAGGACTCTGCTAATTTTATTGTTGTTGTTCAGACACATCAGTGAGAAGCAGAGCAGAACTCTCTTTCACAACGTGCTGCTTTCAGACAGCAGTCCACCAGAATTAAACCAAGATTAGTTGAACTGTTCGGGCATAGGGCTCATCCTGACCAGAAAAAACGTAAAGATATTTGAATAAAGAACGCATCTGATCACCAGGCCACGTTCCAGCAACATCTGTGATGTGTTAAAGCTTAGAAGATGAGGCACGGGAAGCCAAGCAGAGCGGAAAGCACGCATTTCCACCAGAGGGCACAGCTCAGCCAGAAGAGGAGCTCACACAGGGCAGCAGCAGCTCTGCGTTCCTCCATGCCTTTCTGACTTCAAGCAACAGGGCTTCTCATTTTGTATCTCTATCCTTGCTATGGATAATTTGCTTTTCTTTTTTCTCTCTCTCTCCCGGTGAACACCACCACCATTTTTAGAGGCTTTTCCAGCTTATATTTCATAGCTTATTCTATTAATTTAAGCCAGTTTCAGCTTGTGAAGCACATCACCCAACTGTAGTTGTTCCAAACCAGCAGTGATTGTGTTTCTCTCTACACCACACCTATACATTTCCACAAACACACGCTCACAAACCCCGTGCTTTAAGCACACCAAGGCCAGCACAACCGGTGCTGCTGCAGCAGCCCAAGGCCTGCGTGTCCTTGGGGCGTAACAAACAAATGATAGAGCGAGAGAGGCAGAGCCACACACCCCCTTCGGCCACAAGCTTCAGGTGAGCAGCACGGCAGGAAGTATAAGGCGAGCCTTAACAACCACCTGTGTAAAATTCGGTGGAAACACAGAATGGTTGGGCTGGGAGGGACTTTACAGCCCATCCAGTGGCAAGCCCTGCTGTTAGCAGGCATATCTCTTATGGATCAGGCTGCCCAGGGCTCCACGCAGCCCGGCCCTAAGCACCTCCAGAGGGGCACCCACAGCTCGCAGGGGCTCACTGCCCTCACGGTGACAAGCCCTCTGAACCCCTACTCTTTTAGTTCAAAGCCATTCCCCCTCCTGCTGTCGCTGCAGGGGCACTGCTCAGTGCACGGAGCTTAGACTTCATCTCAACTCTAAACAGATGCTCCTCCCTCCCAGGGCTCTGCGCTGCAATGTGTCCTCCCAAAGGGCAGCACGGCGTACACTCGCTCTCGTATTAAATTCCTATTAAGATCCTGTAAGCAGGAAATAGGTTACGTGGGGCCCGGCGCAGAGCGCAGCGTACTTACACGGCTACACCGAAGTTCTCCTCCTCTGAGCTCTCCATCACCTCCTGCACAACGTGCCGTACCGCAGCACTGAGGAATCACACACGCTGAGGCGTTAATAGAGAAGTAATTAAACAGAGAAGTAATTAAGCCAGACGGACCGCAGGACCACCCGGCGCACACAGACGCCCCGCTCCCCTCAGGGCCCCGCACGCCGCCTCCCGGCCCGACCGTTACCTTGGAAACGCTTCCTTCCGGTCTGGCTGCAGCCAATCGCTAAGCGGAAGCGGCCGCAAAAGTCCCGCCCACACACCAGGAAGAACCAATGGGAGAAGGCGCGTGCCGCCATGGCAGGGCCGGGGTGGGATCTCCTCCCCCACAAGCTTCCCCTCACAGCCCCAGGCCGCAACCCCGAGTCCCAACGCGAGCGGAAGCACAACAGAACCGCAAACACTCTTCAAGACGTTTTATTTTCAAACAGACCGACTGTGCCACGCTCCATTTCTCCCCTTCTTGAGTTTGTCACCCCTCAGAGCTCCACGCAGACACCCCATGGCGGAGGGCAGCAGCCCCAGCTCCAGCCTTCCCATAGATGAATATGGAAAGCAAACACAGCTCCCTCGGGTGCTGCTGGCTCTCTCTGCCCAGCAAAGTGCTCTAAAGCATGCGGGTCTCTTTGTGAAGAAGCACGCAGGCACTCAGACCCACGTCCACAAAGGGAGCTGGGCTATTTGGAGCCCTGTGTTTTAATTAGACACCTCTGTATGGAGCCTATCTCATACAGCACTTGGTACTGACCAGGATCCCCAGGCACTTGGGGAAGTTTTACCTCGGTTAATCCTGGCCATGGAACCCAAAGTCTGGAGTTGGCGGCATCTATTAAGGCAGAGTTCAAAGTGGTTCTGTCCCACTTCTTCCTCCACAGCAACGCTTCGTATCTTTGTGCCTATCACTGCATTTGGAAGCATTTGGAATTTCATCTCTACAAGATTCCGAAAAGCAGAATGGCAAAGTGGAAAAACTTTGCAAAGTTGAGTCCGTGAGGAAATGAAGAGCCCCAGGCACCCGTTTGCCATCCTGACCTTCATCAAAACAGCTGGAAGAGAATTCACATTTCAGCAAGAGGACCAACCCTCGCTCCACTCCCGATTCAGTCTGTATTTGGAAAAAAGCCCAACAACAAAATGATGCACAGCACTTTCCTAGTGAACACCTTTCATGTGAGGCTCAGAGGGATTTCTCTCCCCTCTCCTCCTCTGGATTAAATTCAGCACCCTTGAGTTAGGGAAGGCAGAGTGTGAGAGGAACTGCTAGATAACCTGATTCTGGGACCCGTGTGCAGTGCTATCAGCTCCTAGGATCAGTAGGAAGCAAAAGTAGTCAGCATGAGGAATACATCTCAGCTTTCCTAACGAAGATGGTAAAAGATTTGGAGAATAAAATACCTCACAGCGTGAGAATTTGCTACAACAGTCTCTGCTACTGAATCACTGCCAAGAAGTGGGATGGTTGTGGTGTGAGTTATGTATGAATTAGTAGAGTTCTACTATATATCCCAATAATTTAAAAAAGCAACCTGTACAAGTCTTGGAAGAGAGAGTTACACAGCCTCGGTGCAAAATAAGCTCAACCCCACTGACTTTTGTGCTACTTCACCAACTGAACCCTGATTCCTTGTAGAAACCTAACTAAGTGGTCAAAAGCTGCTGAAACACATCCTCAACATACAAACGTCACAAATGTGTAACTCAAGTGGAGCAGACATTCCCTCTATAAGATCCCTACCAAAAATACAAAGTGTGGCCCCAAACCTGCTCAGAGCAGGACTGATACATGACAAGCAAGGTGCATTTTTAGAGAGTTACAGAATAAGACTGAACTTGTTATCCACGTAACATTTCCCTCCCCTTCAAATACACTGGCCCAGAATTCTTCTCTACGCTTTTAAGTTAGCTCAATATTTTCCACAGTGAACATAAGCTTCAAAAACAATACTAATTAAAAAAAGATGTTTGTAGATACCTTAAAAAATACCCAGAATATCAAATTAATTCCAGTCCAGCATTATAATTAGTTAAGAATACCTCCCGAAAATTATATCCTCACAAAAAAATGTGGATATTGAAGTTAAAAGCATCAGAAACATTATGTACTTGAAAATACCACCAATCTTTGAGCAGTTAAAAACAAATCAGGATTTTCTTTGGAATCACCGAGTTATTAAAACGTGAATTTCTCTACAGTCTCCACACTGTCCTTTCAAATCAGTCTGTGTACAGATCAAGTCTTGGAGCAGTTTAACATCCACTGTTGGAAGATATAGTCTCTGACCAGCAGGAGGCTACATTGAACAAGAAACATTGGCATTCTTTTTTAGTACTGACTTCTGCCCAAAACAGAGACTTTGGAGCACGAGACAGAACGGCCCTGCTTGAGGAGATATTTCTTGTCTGAAATGCATTGTATGTGTACTTCCAGTGCAAATTTTTTCAGCACTTGCGACAGGCGAAAAGGAAAAGGGGAGGAAGAGAGACGCCCTCCTACGCTCTTGCTTGGAGGAACCAATAGCCATAACACACCAAACTACCAACTTTCCTGACTGTTGAAACCAGTTTCCACTGCTGGCAACCTGAAATAGCTTATTAAAGATTTTTTTTTTTTTTTTTTAAAGATAATCAGCTTACAGTTTAGCATGAAATCTGGCCATGGCTACGGTTCTATGTGCGTAAAGATTGGTTAGAGATGCTTTCCCCTTTCTGTATTGGTTGGAGTTCATTAAAAAACAAGTCTGTAGTACTTCACATGTGTCATGAAATGTGAGAAATCTGTCTGACTCGGGTCTGTATTTCCTGTCGACACAAAGGGCAGGTCTCCAGTTGCAAGGCACACTCCATGCACAGGTCACTGGAAGAGAAAGAAAGAAAGATAAAGCCTGGATTTACAGCATTTACAAATATTTATAGAACTAAAAGAAAAAAAAATAAGCGTCCAACAGTTCGTTTAGCCTGCTTAAATTAAAAAAAGCAATCAAGGTTAAGTCTTTCAGTGTGGAGATATCAGGAACGGCAAGTCAGGTGTTGTGGATCCACACACTTTGAGAGGAGCTCTTGCTGCTCAGCATCTTACAGAGCTGGAACTGCTGGTGCAGACTGTCACAATTACACCTGCACTCCTTTATTTCATCTCAACTCTCACTCTGCTCTGGAGAAAAGACTGTCAAATTTGACACAGCTTCTTGCCGAGGCACGCTGGATGTCTGCTCTTTTTCAACTTGGAAGCAGTCTTGCCTTTGTCTTCCTGCCACAGTGAGTGCTCTAAAAACACCACAGAACTGGACTTCACTGCATTAACTTCCCAGTAGGCTACTGAGAATCACAGAATGTTAAGGTTGGAAAAGTTAAGGTTGGAAAAGACTTCCAAGAGCATCACATCCAAGTGTCTCAGGCTACTACAACGTAGGAAAGTACCAGATTAACAGTATTTATCATACTGCTGCCCCATTTTTATCTTCTATAGATATTTGTGACTTCAGATTATCAACTTATTGAATGTTTAATGAATATCTGGGTGTACAGTGAGTTTCCTACTCCCCTCACATGATTTGGATTGTGCACGCAGCACCCGTACTAAGCCAGTATTCATCAGCAAAACCTTTGAAATCAAGTTAGACTGCTCTGTTCCTTGCCCAGAGCTTGCATACTCACATAGCCACTGTACCTCTGTAAACCCAACAAGGTTGGTAGGAAAAGGAGGAAGTCTGTGCTTAACTGCCATCAGACACATCCTTAAAATGATGAGTTATTTCCTTTGTGCTCTGAGGTCAATCAAGATAAGCAGGGACTGTATTTAACCTCAACTAAGACACGTCAACTGTAGACACTGTTTCTTGGTTGACTTTTTCCTACTTGCTTTAAAAAAGAAAAACAAATAAAGAGTTTTTACCTGTGTCCACACGGCCTGAGTTCTGTGTCTGCTACCTCATCACAGCAAAGTGTGCAGCAGTTCTCTCTGATGCTCACTTGCTTCAGCAAAGCCAGGCGCCTGTGTCTGAAGAAAGAGAAGCATCCCTCACATTAGCTGGGCTCTAAACTACTTGGAGTACTGCATCAAGACCAACACAACACAAGCTCTTGCTACTCAACACTAATGCTGATAAACATTGATAACATCTACAGCACAAAAAATAAAACTTTAAAACATCCAGAGTTGTTCTGAGCAGCCTTTGTTCCCTTGTTGTTGTCTGCCAGAAAGGGATAAAGAGGGGTAGGTTACAGTTGCAGCCCTCACAGCTGAACATTGCCATTAAAGTGTTGTGTTTGTGTATTTTCAAGAGGAAAACAGCACTTATCCATCAAGAAAGCTTGGAAACCCTGTAATGCTGTAACCCTGTAAAGCTGTAACACAGTTCAGAAGAACACAGATTGAAAAGAAAACTGACAGCCCAGCAAATGCCACAAGGGAAGGCAGCATATACACCTTCTCTTTGACACGTATGTTATACAAAGGAGTCCCTACAACATTTCAGATGTAGAAACTGTACGTACATATATCCAATTACATATGTATATACATATAAATGTGATAGATTCTAATAATTAGCAATGTTTATATAGGGAGAGGTGTATGTATGTAGATAAGCACACACGTTAAAGAAAATCATGTTAATTATTATTATGACAAGGAAAGTCATTTTTTAATCAAAAAGTCCATGTGACATTTCAGACTAGCAGGTGATATCAGAGCAAGCTGGCAGAGCTCCCACCTTTGCTGAAATATGACATTTCAGATTTGGAATGCCTCTACAACACCTAGCTGGATGGTGGCAGGGTGCAGTGCCCAGCCCAGCTAACACTGCATCCATTACATCCACAGGATGTAAATCCCACAGGAGTTTATGTTAATCCCTGTGATGGATAACTGGGGTCCTACCTTGGGTCCTAGCCTTTTTTCCAACTCCCTGTTAAGATCAAAGCCGTCTTGTAGGTTATGATTGGCATGCAGCTACTGAACAGTTCAGATGCTGTAAACTAACATCATCCCCTCCACACAAAGAGCAGCAGTGTCCAATGCTGAATGGAGCCTTTCAGTGCTATTGCATACTGAGCAGGCATAGACACAGGAGGTGAATGTCTCCAGGCAGATAGCAACAGGAAGCCAGTTCCTCCTCCTTCTGTACAGCTTTTGTGATAACCAAAGCCTCGTTCTTGCAGCTACTGCTTAAACACTGTGAGGCCAGGGCCTGAGTGACACCGGTGCCATCACAGCCAATCATCAGCTCCTTCCAGCACGCAGCCACAAGCTGCCAAAGTCCTCATCCGGAGCATGAAACTGTTAAGACACCTGCTGTGAAAAAGGGCTGATCGGGAATGATAATTAACAGATCACCTTAATGAGCTAAATCAGACTCTCACTTAAAAGACTTCCAGTGTCAAGCAGGTGCGAATTCCTCTGGCTACAAGGAAATGTAAATTGTCTTGCAGGTTGGATTTCATTTCCTCTTTGCATCAACTCAGTATCACACAGCTCAGGCTTTGCCAGTATGTGACTCGGATCCAAGATTAAGGTAGGTTTCTATTTTTAAGTAACATGCTATTCCAGCACATAACAGGTAATCCAAAACCAACCTGCATTTCTTATGGCTGGGTTACCCACTTCCAACTTAAGGAGAAGCAACAAAAGAGCCTCTGAACCATATGCATAACAGCCTAGAAAGCCATCATTAGACAAAGCTGGAAAGCTGGGACACACACCATCATTCTTCTGTTACTGTGTGTGTTCCAGAAAATTATTTCATTACTAATGACCTAATCCAGAAAAGCTGTTAGGTTTCAAACCTGCCAACAACACAGGAAGTTCAGCAAGGATTTACCCAAATTTTGCTCAGGTGGATTTAGTTTGCTGAGCACATGGAAATTTGAACAACACAAAAAGGGGTTAACTTTCACTGCAATCAGAAAAGCCCAACAACAAGACTTACAATAATTCAGAACCTCCACACTACCAGCATCAAATTAGGTAAATTTTAAATAAGACACACTTTTTAATTAAAACTATAGCTCTTCAACCTAATCATTCTTACAGGGCACGAGACACTTTTAGTCCAGTTTACTGTGCAAATTTTAAATTAGCCTAATATCACAAAGAATTACTTTAATGGTATGTCTGTGTATTTCTGTGGGCTCTGCTTGTTATACCTATGATATGATCCTGTGGAGGTATGACCTCAGAAAAGGTAACTCTTGTAAGGATAGGGTAAGGCTACACAACTCAGAAGTGAAGTATTTCATTCCTCTGTACTCAGAGGGAAGGATTACCTTGGCAAAATGATCTTCTCCTCTGCTGTCAGGAAGGCATAATCATTAAAGGTACTAAATTTCATTGGTGGTGGGTATTTGAAAGGTTTTGCCCCAAAGTTAAACTCGCATTGTTGGTAAGACATGAAACTTGCTGCAGCAAAAAAGCCAGATCTGCAAGAGGAAGGAAACACATTTTAGGATGACTTACAGCACTAAGAGCTTTCTAGAAGCAATGCTTTATTATAATCAAAATAAGCAAAAATACAACCTGAAACAAAGAACATTTTCTTAAATAGATCTGGTTAAGCTAGCTGAAAGAAAAACCTGTAACACAACCCATGTCAGCTGCTTGTGTTGTCCTTTCTTAGTTCTCAGCCTTGGAATTTACTGTCAGAATTTATCTGAATTTACTCCCCAGTCAACCAATAAAGGCTGCTTACTTACAACTGGGATTACTCACACTTACAGTAAGAGCAAACACACACATCTCAACAGCCCACAGCCTGATCCTCTTTACATCAATCAGCTCAGGTTTCTCCTTCAGTAGCAGAACTGGAAACAACATTTTCCTCCCAAACAACCGTTTGGTGCACCTGCAACACTGTCAGCCATTGGGGAAAGCTCTGTGCCCACTGCTCCTGGCTGCTTTATTTGATCAGGCACAAGACAGGAAAACTTGCAAGGGATACAAGTTCCATAGGAGCGATGTACACCATGAATTCAGGTCTGTGAGCTCCCTTAGCACTATGCCCATCTGTCTCTCCTTGCTCCTGCAGGATTACCCTGGGACAGCTGTCTGCTGACACCTTATGAAAGCACCAGAGCCATCACCCCTTTCAGTTTTATTTACAGAAAGGCCCCAAGCTGAATAATACTGTAATTTCTAACTGCACAGAAGAATCTGCAAAGTCCTTAAGTGCCATACTCCACATGAAAAGAGAAACAAGCTGAGTAGACAAGATGTTTTGTAAGACTTTACACTGTGCTGCTTCTGTCTTACTAGCATCTTGAGCTTCGTTTTGATAAGGAAATATGAATGAAGTGATTAGCACAGTAACATTCATTTAGAAAGCACTGCAGTGTTTAATTAAGCTGCGTAGGAAGCCTCTCTCAACTATCACTCCAGCTTCCCAGAGCTGAAATACTGAATTTCTCCATGACAGTTAGAGGAATCAGTCACATGTTAATTGCAACAGAGTTGAAAATATTAGCCTAACACCATTCTGTAACGTCAGAGAGATTCTATATTCAGTATACCACCACAGGCTTCAGCCCTATTGCAATGCAGCAAGTTAATACAGCCTTCAGAATGCACAAATCCTCTTGCAAAGCGTTATCTGAATTGTGACATTTCTAAGCAACTTTCAGCTGGGAATTAACTTTTCAAATGGAATGTTTTTCACGTAATTACAACTATTATCCATGCAGGTCACTGTCATTCCCACTGAGCACATACTTACACAGCTGATGAAAAGACTTGCTTCTCAGCAGGCAGCTGGTTTCCATTTAAATAGAAGATCATTTGCTTTTCTTGCAAGTCTAGTAGAAATCCTATTGTGTCTCCTTAAGTGCAAAACACAGAACATTTAAATCGTTCAATTACACTGCATGTCAATAGCTGAAACGGTTAAATAGAAGCATCATGTACCTTAGTGAGCTGTCTCACTAAGAGTGAGCACAGCAGAAGAAATAGTGTGGAACAGGCTGCACGAGCAAAACACAAGGCAATGTGGTCAATATATGAAGTATTTTAGTCTGCCAATACTATGCAATGGTATGGAAGGAGAGCAGTTTTCTCCCCACATGTCTCTCCCTGGCTGTTTTACAATTACTGAAGATACCTGCAGAACACACACTTGCTAACTTCCTAACATGCTTGTGCCAACCTTGGGAGAAACTTTTAATAGAAAAGAAGGCACAGAGAGCAGTTATCCAACAACACTCTCTACACGTACTGCACCACAAGAGCATGGTGCCCACTTTGCATCTTTCAAGCACTGCAAGTACAACTAGTAAAAGCACAGTAATTATTAAACACTTCACATCATCAGGATTAGGCAATAACTATTCCAGTCACACCTGCTAACAAGCTATGATGCCTGCAAAAGGAAGAATCCTGTGCAGAAATCCAGCAGGGATAAAAAGCAGATTCAGATAGGCTGAATATAGTCTGAATACCTTCTTTCCAGCAGGGATGGGAATGTGGTTTACTTCTGGCATTATACCAAATCAGCTGCCGGCAGCCATCATATGCACAGGAATACTCATCATCTCCAATGCCATAACCTTCCTTTAGGAAAAGGAAAAGCATTTCAGCCTGCAGCCATTCCTCACAGAAGTCAGCTAAAGCATTTAAACTAAACCACTCCTCCAAGAGCAAGATGGGATCCCCCCCACCACCATCTCTTATTTTTTTTAAGAGCCTTGGCTTCGTTTTCACATCAAAATGAGTTTGTTGGAGAGAAAAGAGGAATGAAAGAAAGGGATATCATCTCTAAGTTGTTTTTCAGTCTCTGTGAACTATTGCCTGTATTTGAAGATCTCAAGTCCAGTAGCTGAATAGCTATCTTCCCTTCTTGAAGCTTACAAAGTCAACACAAACTGTCTCTTATCTTGAAGTCAGTCTTGTACTAGATACCCACACCACATCCAAGAGTGACCAGAACACACAGCACACAGATAACAGTCCCAGGGAGCCTTCACTGAATGTGCTGCACATTCTGTTCCTCTCAGTGACAGCCTCCCTCTGTTTGAAAGGAGCCCCAAGCAGGCACAAGTTTCAGAGCAGCAGATGAATCCATTATGTAGGACTGCCCAAACGTGAAATCCAGAGGCATTTTTGGAAGACAGCTTCCTTACGTGGTTGGTCTGCAGTGCAAACACCAGCCAGGGGCTGATTACATAAGGTGTCCCAATTAAAGTTAACCTCTGCTAATGAATGTATCATGTCGTATTCAGGATCAGTTTTTTGTTTTGTTATATATATTGGAAATAAAGAGCATGTGGCTTCTCTGATGAGTGCTCACAAGATAATTTCCTTATGTTTCAGATAGAAGCCTGATGAACTTCCATGCCAGCAGCATTCAGTCACCAGCAAAACAACCGTAGCAACAGAGAACCCAGCTCAGACATGACAGCTTCTGTTTCCATACCTTGAACAGGAAACAGACAAAAATGCATCCACACCAAGCTCCTTAACAGTAAGTGGGGAAAAAAATCTTTTAAACCTCTTAACATTCCAAAGGCAGACACGCTGTCTTTCACTTCAGACAGTTTCCATTACACTCAGTAACAACAATGCCTGTGCTTAGGACAGGTCTGTAAGGTTTGGCTGTTTTTGTTGTTGTTTGTTTAGCTAAATTTAAAACAGCACTCAATTCCACATTAGAACTGTGGGACGTGATACAGACACACGTGTGTCGTGTACCAGCAAAAGACAATGCTATTTACACTACTAAATGGAAAAAAGTGCAGAAGGACCATAGGAAGATTCAAGTTAGATGGTGAGAAAGGCCACACTCCCATTCCCATGTGTTTCTTGCCACTGATGTTTCCATTCACCTCCTTGCCAAGTGTGTCTCTCAGCCCCTAACTGCATTTACTCACATGTCTCTATTTGGCCCATCTTCATTTTGGCTTCTGCATTTGACACAGCTGTAGAATAACTTTCTATAATGATCAGAAATGAGCAGGTTTAACTGCTTATCTCCATATTCAAAATCAGTAAACACTTCTCCTGAGGGAAATGCCAAGTGGGAACAGAAAACCATGTAATAACACCTAGAAAGTAGGATTACAGGTATATTTCTTGTCAAGCTCAGCCAGTAGGAATGTCAACTTAAAATCTCAGCCTTGTATTTCCATGCCAGTCAGCAGCATTAAGCTGCATCATCTAAGCTTTCTGTATTGAAATTTTAGCTTGTGCTTTAATGAACTTGACAGTGGCTAACTTTGGAAGGCTGATAATGTGGGAAGTTCCTTCTAAGTTGAAGCAGACAAGTTTGTTGGGTAGCAGCCACTACACTTTCTCAGCACTATGAAATAAACAGAGAAGCAAATAGGCTACAGCATATTTAGTTTGACAGCCATCCAGTTTTACCATGAATATTTAAGGGGAAAGAGGTCCCAGTTCCATCTCTACTAACATTAGCAGAGATTTCACTCTGACTGTAGGTCTGGACCATCATGTTTGCCAGCACTTAAGTATAATGTACCACGTAAGAGCATAACTTTAAAAATTAAATTCTGAAAAGAATATCTAGAATAAGATACCAAGCTAGCTGGATGAGAGTGAGAGCAAAACAAACTGTAAATAAGCAAGTGTACTTATTCTATATTATCAGAACAATGCAAAAATGCAGAGAATTCAGTCTTTCTGTAATGCTTATGTTTAATCAAAAAAGCTGCCACATTCCTGAACTGCATCACATTGCTTCTACCAGCAGGACCAATGATGCTGCATTATCCCAAAATCACCTGAAAAAATATTTCCCTAGTGAAAATTAACATAACAGGAATATAAACATAAAGGGAGCCTACAAACAAGAGGGGAGTCAGCTCTTTGCAAGGGTAGATAACAGCAGGACAAGGGGAAATGGATTTAAATTGAGGGAGGGAAGATTTAGGCTGGATGTCAGGGGGAAGTTCTGTACTATGAGAGTGGTGAGGTGCTGGAACAGCTGCCCAGAGAGGCTGTGGATGCCCCGTCCATCCCTGGAGGTGTTCAAGGCCAGGTTGGATGGGGCTCTGGGCTGCCTGTATTAAATGTGGAGGTTGGTGGCCCTGCCATCCTATGGTTCTATGATTCTATGCTAAAGAGAGTAATCAAATGGCTGTTTGATGACCTGCACAAAAACGAGTGCATGATAACCTACCAGATCTTAGTAAGCAATTGTTTACTTCACAAAAAACACTGACAGAAACCACTGTTACCTGAAGACTAAAGAGTTCCCAAGAAGAGCATAAAGCACAAGACACAAGCCATCTGCCTGTAACACACAGGCAATGGCAAGTAGATACACTGTCATTGCTAGCAATTATGCAACATTTGTGTGACCAGTGTCAGCGTGTTGCAATGACAATCCTGTCCTTCCTTGTACTACTTGCATCAATAAAAAACAGCTCTGCAAAAGTACAGGAGAATAAAGGGAAAGGTGTAAGTGCCTGTTTACTGCCACAGAATAACCAGTGTTATTTTCCTATGCATTGAGAAGTACTGAAGCACGTGATTGGGTGGGTGACACTGCGTGTACTCACATGATTGAGAAATTTACTGTCTTTGGTAGCCCATCCTATTTGCATCACTCCCGAAGTAATGACTGTAACTTCATAGTACCAAACTCCAGAATCAACACAGAACGTACATCTGACGCTTTCAAAAGATGAGGCATCACATCGAGCCTACCAAAACCAAACCAAAAGTTAATCTTCTACAAAAGAAATATTTAAACTCCCCTTTTTCCCCCCCTTGGAAGAAGTTTCTTGCATGTAAGAATCCATAGGCACAGAGTTGGAATACAATTTCAAAGTGCCATCTCTTCATGCTGGTAACAGTCACACCTTAACCACCGAGCAGGCAAGACTGAAATGAGGTCAGTGATAAGAGAACTGAGGAAGTAAAGCATCGATGGAATCAGTTTTAAATACTTAAAGCTAACCAAGACAGGAAGACCTAATGTCACTGGCTGTCAGCTAGCTCTTACTACAAAGAGCAAAGGTGGTCAACCTTACTTTTTTTCTTTATAGGCGGATTTTCATGTAACAGAGGAAATGAAACAAAACATGCGGCTGAGATAAGAATCCTGCTTCTATAGGTGCCTCAAGATTAGGCAATACAAGCAGCAGGGATCACACTAGTGAACAGTTTTAGTTGAAACTAAAACTTTAGTGGCTCTGGGCAGCCTGGTCTGCTGGTTGGCGACCCTGCCCACAGCAGGGGGGATGAAACCAGATGGTCTTCGAAGTCCTTCTCAACTCAGGCCATTCTATGATTCTATGAGACAGTTTTAGTGAAAAATGAGCTGTCTTTTAAGTGCCCTGCTCGTCATTCTGAATATAGGCATTACTTTTTTTTTCCCCTCTAGTTGAAACCATAAAATGACATCCTACCTCTAATCCATGTGGTGATATCTTCAGGTACTCACTGACATCGTTGCTGTTTAGCATAGCCCTGATGTTGGTCAAGTCAACCTTCTCATATGTAAACTGTCTGCCTTCTTTTAAAACTGCAAAAGAAAATTCGTTCAAATGACTGCTACAGCAAAGCTTCATTTTGAACATTTCATACAGCAAAAAAAAAAAATCATTCTTGTTAGGATCCAGTTCACTTCTGGCATAAATGAATGAAATACTGACATTCTGCCTGCAGGGAAACAGCATCACTTGCAATAAACATTCTCTAAACACCAGAACATAACAGATAACTCTGTCTAGAGCTTCTGCAGCCTAAGTTTTACTTGCAAGAAATCCACGGGCAAACAAATGTATGCAAGTTCATACCAAGATACCAGTTGTTTCAGGGTTTACCATTGTATTTGTATATTCAGGACAGGGCTTTCTCGATTCATCACGTGGCAAAGATTGTGGGGACAGAAAACAAAAAGAGTTTTCTACTCTCTCAGTTTCAAGTGGGTGAAGAACTTGAACTGAGCCAAAGCAGCTCTTCCCCTTTTCACGTGGGAGGATCTGAAGCATTTATCTTAGCAGGCAGCAAACTGCTGACACGTATACATTTATTTACAAATCAAGATCTTATCTTAAGGCTACTTCTTATTTCCCTAATTTGCTACGACACTTGGACAGATGTTTACTAAACAACCACCACTGGCCTACCATACACTGACTGGAGCCCCTTCAGCCCAACAAGCCTATTTTCCCAAATTTAATCAAAGGACATTAGAAACTACCAAGTCCTCAAACCTCTTTCCTTGGAGAATTGCCATTAAATGAATCCATCCCTTTGCTATACCTCCACAGATTATCTAAACGAATCCATCCCTTTGCTATACCTACACAAATTGTCTAAACTCCACTGGGCACAGAATCCAACCTGGCGTTTCAAATAGTCTGGGTGATCTGTCCATTTCTCTAGCAGGATCAGTTGGTCACTAATGCGGGATTCAGAAACTGTCATTTTATTTTCACCTGCAATTTGAGAGCAAAAAAAGAGAAACTCCAATAAACCAAGAATACGTTTAGTTAAATAAGTAGCATTGCACAAACACAGTAGGAACAGAAAATAACAGCAGAAAAACCCAAACATCCCAACTTTACATCCCAGCATTACAAACAGCATCAAGTTCTACTCCCCAACTAACCTTGCAATCAGATACAGCACTTCTCTGCATGGAGTCAGACCAGAGACAGACAATGGCTGTTCTCCAGTCTCCATCTTAATACAGATTTCCCCCTCCCCCATTAACAAAGGTTTCATGTTATAACTCTTTATGATGCAATTGTTTGTTGAGAAGTACTGAGTTCCAGCAAAACTCTCCAGGCTTTGTGGGTGGGGGTGTCATTAAAGCAATAAATACTTTTCCTGCCTGCACGCACCCAATCATCACTGTTCTGAATCTCTTTGATACACGTTTATTTCAGTGACAACAGCCTCATGTCATAAGACTTTATGCAACAGTTTCCAACTGATGAGCTCTGCACTGAGCTTCTGCAAATAGCTCAAGGGTCCTGAGGGGTTGCATTAACACAGTCAATATTTCCTCCTGCTTCTAAGTGCACCAATATTTCTCTTTTTTCTGCATTTGTGTTCGTATCATTTCACTCCTTCTTACTTACAAGAACTGTGATCTGATGAAGCAAATGACAACCACACGCTGCAGAAGTTGTAATGTTACTGTTAAGAGCAGTACTAGGCTGATACTTACTTGTTTGTGCAAACTTCTCCAGTGCAATCAGTGCAAAAAGCATCACGGTCGGATGGGACTGGAAATTCTAAACGTGAGCAATAAGAATAGTCAATAAGTACATGATTCAGGGGGGGAGGAAGAGCTCTTTGTCACCAAACGCCTTAGGTTGAAAGTCACCTAGCCCCTCCTTCTGCCAACAGCTGGCTCAAGCAGATCAGGATGCTTTGGCCTGTGAGCTTCTGAGAATCTCTAAGGGTGGAGCTCAATTTATTCTATCAGCTAGGAACACCAACAAACCACATGCATGAATTTTCTCCCTGCCCTCCAAGAGGTCATAGCAAACAGCTTAAAGTCAACCAAGCAGGTCACTTAGACCAATTCTTCAAAATGGCCATCTTTTCATCTCACAACAGGCCCACAACTATGCAACTGAGCTAACAAGTGGAATCAGAATTGACTTTTATGTCTTAGCAATGACTTGAGAGCACTGAATAGAAACTTGACCTTTCTAGAGCAAAGGACAGAACTGCTCCTCCAAAAGCAAACAAACAAAAAACCCTCTCAACTTTCTGAAAGGCTTCCATGAAGCCTCATTCCTTTAACCTACAATAAAAACAAACTAAGAATACAAAGAGAAAGATGAGGATGTAAAGAAGTAATCCAAAATAATTATTGCAGAGGAAGAAAAAGAAGTTTGCACTTGACAACAAAACAGAGGAATAGTGATGTGAAGCCCTCTGTATCAGGACATGCAACAAGGTCTGGTTACTTCAAATATCTTCTTAAGACTAGGAGACAGGAACAGCAGTGTATTTCAGGGGATATTTTCACTAGGACTTTCTGAACTTAAGCCTCAACTTTCTGTACATTGTCAGTATTTACCAAACAACCCAGACTTCTCACACAGAGCTGTTCTAATCACAACATATGGATACATAATAAGGATTGAAGGCACTTACCAAGCTGTGAAGTAAGTATTCCAATATGCCTGGGCTGAGTAAGCCTATACTTGCAGGACCTGTAAAAACATTAGAAGTTAGATCCATCCATGGGAACTACCATACAGCCACCACTGCACAGAAGTGTAATACAGAGCAGAAGAGTCTGGCTGCCCTTTAATTGCAGAGGGAAAGCATGAATCATAGAATGCCTTGCATTGGAAAGGACCCCAAGGATCATCAAGCTCCAACCCCCTGGTCACAGGCAGGGCCACAAACCTCCATAGAGGCTGAAGACTCACTAGCTCCATTTACCAGCAGCTCTAAATAAGCCAAAGCAGGGGTCTAAAAGAGCCTATTTGATTGTGAACTATACAGTTTGCAGCAGCATCATGACAAGTAGTCAATTAAAGAAACTACCCTAAAATACTGCCTGTTCATTCAGGAGAGATGCAAGGGAACCAGGCTCCAGCAACTTGCACTCTGAAAAGCTGTGATGGATTCCATCACAACATGAACAGATTTGCTGTCTGAGCTGCTGCAATTAGTAGGTATTGGGTCTCATTTCAACTTACTGTAACGAGAAGGGAGAAATATTACAGTGCAAGATGCTTCCTGCTCTTTTTCTCTACTTCAGTAGATACAGTGAAATTGTATTTTTAATAACAGTCAGGTGATACTAGACAATCACTTTTTCTCCATTTCCCTTTCCTCAGAATGGGAGCTCAACACTAGATACAAAGACCATCAGCAGGAATTAAACTTAGTCATCAGTTTCCAACAGGGCATTAGGGAGCTAAGAAGTTTGGTATGAAAAGTCACCTTAAATGGAAGTCCAACAGTGATCTTTTAAGTAGCACAGCAGAGAAAATCTTTTCAGCTAGATACAACAGTAATGTGTTTAGCAGAAACAGCATCTCTTCTACCTTTCTACCCAGCCTTTAAGTTAATACTCCTGTCTGCTGACTACAGAACCACGTGCTCACAGTAATTCTGAGAGTAGGGCTAGGTCTAGAGATAAGACTAATTACCAATGCTAGGACCACATACTGTAAGCATGAACACAGATTCACAAACGTGTGTCAAACTGCTAACCAACCAAAGGAACTTAAGTATCTGGGATTTAAAGTGACTCATTCAGATCCAAACTGGTGACTGATGACTGAATCTGTTCAATGTCAGAATCAAAGAGTGGAACGGGTCACACCTGTGAGACAAAGCATCCACTTCATGCAGAACATTATTCAGTTCTAAGAAAACTCAGGTGTTTGGACTGGGGGGTGAAAGCCAGAGGTACTCAGCAAGTTTCCAGAACAATCCCTTAGCTTTACCTGCTAATTTCTCAGCTAAACAGCCCAGCACTGCAGTTGTATTGCGATGTTTAGCAGGGTGGCAAGCATCATGACAAGCAGCAGCTCCACTTAAGTTTAATATTTCAGTTAACTTTTGTAATGCATCCTGCAAAAGAAAATCAGAAATCTCTTCAGTGTGAGATACACAACTTTCCCATAACTCAGCATGTTATTTGGTGGAGTCACTGTCCCTGGAGGTGTTCAATGAAACGTACAGATGTGGCACTGAGGAATATGGTTTAGCAGGCAGTACTGGTGGTAGGTGGATGGTTGGACTAGGTGGTCTTAAAGGTCTTTTCCAATCCTAGTGATTCTGTGATTATGACATATTACTTTTGCACTGTATCACCAAGAGCAGACAGCACAGGATGGTTCTGTTTTATTAAAAAAAAAATAACAAAGAACAGATAGGAAGAGAAGTTCAACATATCCAAAGTCTGTAATTTTACAGTTACCACCAGTCTGTTAGTCTTTGTTATGATCTACATCTTCTAGGCACAGACAAGTGAGCCACCTACAGCAAGAGGAATTCAATGCTAGGAAAAGACAAGACAACACCAGTGATACCTATGGCTGTATCAATTTAGGATGCTGCCAGCTATACAAGATGTCCTAAATGGTATCCTTCACAACATGTGATTTTCTATAGTCATACTGATTTAAGAAATAGCAAGAAAGGTAATAAATAGAAAATGCTGTGCTTTGACTTGCTTCATTCAAGCAGTACAGCATGGACAAAATTCAAGATAGGTTTAGATGGTAACCCTCATTTTCAGGGTAGTCAGGGGTTAACCTAGAGCCAAGTGATCCAACACAGAACTCTGCCCTCCAGGATCTCTAAATTCCCCTAACTTTCCAGACTTCATGAAAATTTCAGCTGATTCAAATATAAAACTACATCATCCCAGGCTAGGATCTAATTAAAACAGACCTCCTCATACTGAAGTCATCAGCAGGCCTTTTGAAGAAAAAATAGCACTGTGAAGTTGAATGCTTATTTGCTGTTCAAACAGCAGTCTGAGCCATGCTTAAATCAATTTTCTGCACTAGAGTCTGAAATTTGTATAGAGATAAGACTGAAAAGCAGTTATTCTCCTAAAACAAACACCACAAAAGCAGAGCTGATGAACAGGACTGACATGAAGTGGAAAGAATGGTGAGAGAAGAAAGGATGACTGAGCCAGAGACTCAGGATGGAAAAACCTAAAATTAGACTCTTGCCATACCCTGTACTGCCTTTAGATATTATTAAAACCTTCAGAGACATCAACTACTTTGAGTTCAATGAAGACTTTATAGGCTGAACAGCTTACTGTGCTGCCATTTCAACTTTATGGACTTCACAGCCTACCATAACAAAAACCAGCCTACTTTTCTCCAGCTGCAGCAGGAGTTGGGCACTGACTTAAATCCCTGAAGACCAAATACTTAAACTTATTCTGAATATGGGAATAAAAATTGAACAACAGACTTTAATAGGCTGCACATGACCTGTAGATTCCACAGCTGTAACTCCCTGCACTTTGCTGTGCTGTGAAGAGACTGCAATAGGGAAAAAGCCTCTGAGCAACCCCAGGAGGAAGCGTCTTATTGCCTCTTACTGTCAACTATTTACAGCCAATTGCATTGTGACTTTTGAAATACAAGTCACTTGATGACTCAGGAAGTTGTACAGCTGAAAAAAAACACAACAGAAATTCTTCACGTGGAGCAGAGGTCTGCATTTCCCTCATTAAAGTGTTTGTACCAGCACAGCATGAACACTTCGGATCGTTTTAGTGGTCAGTAAAGAGAGTGCTCAGATTTGCCAAAGCTGTATATAGGTATTAAGCAGTTAAAGTGTTGTTTCTTCAACTCAGGATGCCCAGTTGCACAGCATTCCTTATGTGCAGGGCAGTAACAAATTAAGTAGTGAGTGGTACATATGCAGCAGAACCCACAGATGTTCATTGCACAGCATGCATACTGCATGGCAGAAGAATCACAGAATGGCCTGGGTTGCAAAGGACCACAGTGCTCATCTGGTTCCAACCCCCTGCTATGTGCAGGTCACCAACCAGCAGACCAGGCTGCCCAGAGAACCCATGGGGTGCCATAAGGATCCATAGGGACTCATGGGGTGCCATAGGGACCCATAGAATCATTGACTCATAGGATGGCCTGGATTGAAAAGGAGCACAATGCTCATCCAGTTCCAACCCCCTGCTATGTGCAGGTCACCAACCAGCAGCCCAGGCTGCCCAGAGCCACATCCAGCCTGGCCTTGAATGCCTGCAGGGAGAGGAGAGCAATGGGAGCAGCTAGGGTCCAAAGTCTTGCTGTTCTTCCCCATAGAGTTGTGTTTTTTCATCTTCTACTACACTGCTTCTAGTAGCAAGTAGTGATTAGATGCCAGGTCACCAAAAATGGCTCCAAATTACACATTACACCCAATTTCTGAGCAGTTAACCGTCCACCATAACCATGAAACTGACCCAGCAACTATCATGGCAACCAGGGCCAACTGAAATTCAGCTGCAGATAAACATACTATTTCAACTCACTTTTGTTGGCAGTGGGCATTCATCAAGTAGCAGCGTTATAACGGCCGGTCCCAGCGGATCCTCGAGTGGAATAACTCTAATTAAAGACTGGACAACTTCCAACCAACCTTCATCTGTCAACCACAAAAGAGAAGTCATGTTTAGAACGTTGATCCAAGAGTTCAAAATACATCAGCAATGGAAATTTAAGTTTTCAATCATTTAAATCACTCAGTGAGCTTATAGGCACGAGGAAAAATAATCCACGTGTTTTAAATTTTGTATCTGTGTCTTAAGTTTGTAGTTTGGAAGTCTAAGTTCAAGAAGTAATAGCAAACACTGGTGTTGTTTGGAGAACAGTCCTGCCCAGGCCAGAGCATATTCCAGGAAGGAACCCTCCTAAGTGTGGACAAGCACTTGGTTCCAGCATCCTAACTCAAGAGCTCAGTGTTCAGTGTTACAGTTGAACACACTGCACTCATAATGATGCTGAAAAAAATAGGCCTGGCCAGAAAGAAAGCATCCTACCTGCTCTGCAAGTAATGTGGACCTCACAACAGCTGTGTTAGCTTCTCCCATGCCTGGCTTTTTAAACAAACTCTGATTACATAAGGAAATAGTATAGGTAGGAAGACTTGTCTGCTCATAAATGTGAATCAATTAGATGTTAATCAACTAGTAAAAGAATAAGCAATTTGGATTTACAAGAAAAGTTGCCTGAGAAGTAAAAGTAAAGGTAATTGCATCTGCATGCAAGTGAGGTTGGAGGCTTTGTGCTCCCATCCACAATGGCAAGTAAACCTAAATAACACTTTTGATCTTAGAATTTGTTAGCACATTACTCCAGAACACATTTTACTGAACTGCTGTCATATCTAATCAAGTTGATTAGCTTATTTTAATACAGAAACACAATATCTGGGACCGATACCAACTCTGTTAAGAGACTTCATTCAACTCTAGCAAAAATTTGGTACAGGTCTCCAGTTGGCTGGGTTCCTCCTCCCATAACAGAGATAAGTAACCCTTGTACTGACACAGCTTGGCATGTAGGACAACTTCAGTACAGTACTGAACAACTACATGAATAATCTGGAGGTCTAAGGACAGCAAAAACCTAAACAAAAGGCAAGCAGTATCTGGCAGTGGAGAAATACAGATTTTGAACCACGTTTACATACGTGGGCTGATTCTGCCCTCGTGCAAACAGGCGTTCTTTGTGGCTTATGGTTTAATGTGTTTGCACTGAACTGCTCACGTAGGAAGTGCAACAGAGCTCAAAAAACCTCAGAGAAACACCCAGCAGCTCAGTGGATCTTCTGAAGGGCAGAACTGTGTTTTGGAGTCCAAGTCCCTGGAGCTACAGCAAACCAATAAAACTCATACTAGCAATGCAATTATTTTGCAACTAAAAACAGTGTTTGGTTTTTCCCCTTTGGAGTTATAAGTGAAATGCCCAACACGGTGCCTTGGTACCTGTTTCTGCCATTTCATGCAACGTGATCATTGAATAAGGAGGCTCCTGGTCGCTGAAAGAGATATTGCACAGGTCAACATTTATGTAACACACTGAATAAAATGATAAAGACAGAAAATGAATGCACTAAGCACTTAACAAAGAGAAAGTCATGTTGGCTGCAATGCACTGATGCCATTTTCAGACATGAAATACAGGTGGGATTTAGGCTGTATTCTGGCTTAAAGAACACCTGCATATCTACAATAGCTGGTATGTGAAATGTTACCCATATCTGCAGGTCTAGAATCTATATACACTGCTTAGGCTTAATGCTATCCATTAGCAAAGTTACTCAGAGTAACAGAGGTCAGAAGGTGTACGAAGAGCAGTGCACAAGGGATGCACCATAAACACACTTTGCTCAGAAATGCTTTTCCCCCCCATTCCCTCAATTGAAAGACAAGCTATCTAGTAGTGGATGGTGCTGCTAATTCATTAACAAGAGCAGCAGGAAAACATTAAGGCAGTTCAACAGGAAATATTTACCCCAGTTCCCTTTCCACCATGGAAAATAATAATAATAATAATAATGCAGGTTGGGTTTGTTCCTCAGTTTGATTTGATGGAGGAAGGGCAAGGATCTATGGCCAGGTCCATCAGACAGTGCCATTGGAAGCACCCAAAGCAAAGTCTCCAAGTCCTGTTGAGTAAGCATCTCCAGGACCACAAAAGCTTATGTGGTGGCACATCCTCAGTGCTGTACTCAGTGCTATTTCAGCATGATGAACCAATCCCAGACTCAGAGCAATACATTCTGCAATCAGTCCCTGGTGCACACCTTCAAAATAAGACTGGAAATGCATAACAGAAGAATTTTAGAAGATCTCAACGCGGGTTCATCACGCAGATAATTAAGCTAGTTACTCCAGAAAGATTGATTATGTCCCTCCAGCATTTGCCTATTTGGAAACAAAACAATTTGTGAAGGAGCACTCTGTATAAATGGCAAAAAACAGAGGCTTAGAAGTGGAACTCTACTCCTTCTAGGAAGGAGAGGTATCTGGACAAGAAAAATCAAATCTCCAACAATGAGCAGGGAAAGCAAGCGTTCATCACAGGTGACACTATAGCAACTCAATCTGCAGTTCATGTCATGGCATCCTCAAGCATTAGATTTTATTACAGAGTTCAGAAGAGGAATGCCAGGAAGGCTTTGACCTCCCACTGCCCAGACTCCAACCTTTGGCTCTTCGTTGCTGTGCTATCACACTGAAACCTACATTTCCAACTGAGTGTTACATACGTCTCCATTTAAACTGACTCGACTTGCACGTGGTTTTTGACATGAAAATGTGGTTGTCATCTTCCCTACCATTTCCTTCTGTTTCAGTTGTGGTGCTTCCAAGACAATACAGCTCTATGAAGAAACAGTTGATAATGAACATACTTAACCCTACACACTCACTCACACTGGAAAACAAAACTTCCAGACGTGGATTTTCTTCTTCCTCCCCCCCTCCACTGTTCATTCCTATTTACCTAAGAAGGGTCATCATTAGCTTAAAGTCTCACAGGAGGTTCCTTAAGCTTCTTTCAGGCACATTTGGATAATCTGCCTCATGAAGATGCTCCCCCACTATTTGCAGCCATAGGTCTTTGTCCTACAGCATGGAGTCTTGTAGTATTTGGCTGTGTTATACAACCAGACGTGTCTCATCACCTGCTGTAATATTTAATCAACAGACCACAGTAACCATGTGGTGCTTGCAAGACAGAATCTGGAGTAGTGTATGCACTTTTGGGATCACTCATGTAAAAAATGGGGAGCCCATTGGAAAAGGGACCCACCTGCCATTCCCTGGAATTGGTCAATGCTTTTCAAGGCCCTGAGCAACCTGCTCTGACTGGGGCTCAGCTGGAGGTTGGAGTGGATGAGCTTCCAGAGGTCCCTTCCAACCTACTGAGGGACGTGGTTTAGTGGGCATGGTGGTAATGGGTTGACAATTGGACAAGATGATCTCAGAGGTCTTCTCCAACCTTATTGATTCCACAGTTACGTGAGTCTAGGGAAGCATTTCACTGAGCCAGTATAACCACAGCTTCAGGAATTTGTCTGAAATAGGACTCCAGATCAGTGACTGTGGTTGTCATAATTCAGCAGCAAAGGAAAGTACTTACAAGATTACAAAACTGACTGCAAGAGCAACAGGACCAACTACATACAGAAGAGTTGTGAAACAGCCTGAAGAGATGACCTCAGGGGAAAGGGGAAGGCATGAGAGGTCAGGGAGAGGCTTTCAAGAATTTTGCACCGTTTTCACTTAATGTTTTGAAGACAGACCGTAAAGTAAGAGGTAAAAAACCAAAAGCAACAACAGCCACCAGCACACCAATCCCCTCCCAGCCCCAACTACGCACAGCTGATACCACAAACACCTCTTAAGCTTAAGTTCTGCTATTTCCACTTAAGCATTTTACAACAGGAAAGCTAACTACTCCTCCACAGGCAAGGAGCAAGGATACAGGTAGAATCAAGCAAGCTTCATGTATCCTGAGCCTCATCCATCCCACTTGTGAAGCTACAATAACATTTTTCCTTCTGTTCTGGTCTTTCTGATTCCTAACCTGCACCTAAACCAGAAGAGATGAGCCAAGTTCACCCTCCAGTTTTGAGGTCCTTATATAGAGCTCCATAAAAAGTAATGCAAACAGAACAAAACCACCCAAATAAGTGTCTGTCCATAAATATCCCACACGCCCTCAATGGATGCTTTGAGCATGCAAGGAATGCAACACTGCAATCGTAAGCTGAACAGACACAACATGCAGACTTGAAAAGTACTCAGAAAGAAAACCTCAGTCTCTTTATGCAAACTGACAACGACCAAAGCTCTCAATTTTGTTGAGCCACTTCCAAAGCAGTAGATGCAGCCTGAAAACAGAAACCTTGCTTAGTAGTCAATGTTTAGGACAGCAGTTGCCAAACTCTGTAAGGTTTGCCGCTGCCTAAGCTGTGTATCTACACCAGATAAGCAATACTGAGCACACTCCTCATCCCATCTGGGTGTAGGCCCACACAGGAAGGTGAGAAAGCTCCTCAGCTCCTGCAAGAGTCTGTATCTGGGCGCTCAGGAGCTATGGCTATTACCTAGGAAAGGTGCTCCTCTCCTAAGCCTCCAGATGGAAACACGCTGCTGCTTCAGGGAGGGCCAGGTGTAGATCGGTGAGAGGATGGAGTCACAGTTTGAGAGAAGACAAGAACATTGTATTTTCATTCATGTTGAATTATTCCTTGAGGTGGTACTTACTTATCTACTAACGTCCGAATTACAGCCAGTGTGTCAAGTACTAGCCCATCCACATTCTGTTTTTTCCTTCTTGGTTCATGAGGCCCTCTCCCCCTCCTAGGTGGTCGGACAGGGTCCCTTGGGTGGCTTCTTCCATCAGGTGCACGTACCCTACTGCTCTCTGTTTGCCGACGCTGAGACTCCAAGCTGTCTTCTGCTCCGCTGTCATCGCGGCAAACGCAGGAGTTCCCCATGGTGCCAACCCCCAAGGCTCCCAGCAAACGGGGAACGCGGTGCTCTAGAGTCAACAGTAAACCTTGGAAAAGGCTTCTGCTAGCATAGAACACAAGGAAAGCAACTACAATCATCTAGGAAGTTTTAAGAGCAGTGTTTGCGCGATCCTGAATTGCGATTGTTTGCATTATACGCGTCGCTGCCAGCAGGAATGAATGGAAGCTGGAGGCTTAGTTTCCGACAGAATCGGTTAAAATAGACATTGGGCATCCAGATGGAGGGCTGAAAAAAGCAAATCCAAAACAAGAGTCAGTCTTAAGTTTGAGCAGCAGAAGAATTCTCGTATTAGGAAACAGAGCTATCCATGGCATATCAAATAAACTAAGAAATGTACAATTGGCATCTGCAATCCACAGCTGGAGGTGAGAAGGATGAATGAGGAAGAGCAAGAAGTTCACTGCTTGGGTAGCTTCTCCCCACTTCATTTACTTCACACTACCTGCTGTTTTCCAGTTCTTGCACGTTTTTTGGCTGCAGAGGAACAATTCTGTCCTTAAGTCCAGCACATTGCCACCTTTTAAGTATTTATAAACCACAGTTTCATGTTCTCTTTACTGCCCATAGAGACACACTGCTTGGGCAATCAAACTGAAGGCTGCACGTGTACAGTTCTTATTTCACTCTAGGAATACTCAAACTAATTTTGAGACAGATTCTACAAGTTAGCCCAATTTCCCAAGAACCAGTCCTACAATTGTGGCCTATTGCAACAAGAAGTGGATTGAACCAAGCCTTCAGTCCATCTGTGTGCAAATACATCTTCTCAGAACATGTCTGCTTCGACTGGATTCTAACCCAAAGAAGCATTTTAACAAACCCCATTTTAAGGCCTGAAAATCAAATAGATCTTGAAAGGGGCGTTTTCTGTGGATGCCTCATCCTTGGAGGCATTCAAGGTCAGGCTGGATGTGGCTCTGCACAGCATGGTCTGATGCTTGGCTACCCTGCACACAGCAGGGGGTTGGAACTAGATGATCATTGTGGTCCTTTTCAAACCAAGCCATTCTATGATTCTTTGCTTCTAGCATCACCCAGCCCTCCCCTTTTAGAGAAGGGAGACCAATTCAGTCACTCTTTTGTTCTTTATTCCAAGAATCTGGATCAACTACAGGCCCAGTAGTAACTGGGGTTGTAGGACATGCAATACACATCCCTGCATCAGGAATGTTAGCAAGAGCAATAGAATTCAAAACCCTGCCTGGTCAGGAATTATTTTTGCAAGCCATGGGGTATATTTCTGCATAGCCTTATGTGATGTCTCAGGTAAAGTAAAGCCCTGCTAAAGACATCATTTTGCTTCTTACATACTTTAAGCATGCCAGGATAAATGAGTGACTCAAAAGCACAATGTGCATTTGGTCTTCAAAGAATTTAAGTGAGAATGATGAATACCAGGTTATTACTGTTTTACAATTATTAAATAATCTCACATTAAAGGAAATTAGAAAGAAATGGAAGGCAGTTACCACCTTTTAAATACAGAAGGTTCCCTGACATCTCAGCCAACTGGCAATCGTGCAATTGCTGACTGTTATTTGGGACAAAAGAAAAATAAAAAATCACAGCAACGTGATTTGGGAAGCCAGCCACCAGTCATAGGAGCAAGGATTTAACAACCCTTGATGATATAATGTCAAGGTTGGCAACCCTGCACACAGCAGGGGATTGGAATGAGATGATCATTGTGGTTCATTTCAACCCCATCTATGACCCTATGATTTGAATAGACAGCCATCACTAAGAAATCACTACAAACAAGCTCTCATGGACCATCCTCTTTGTCTTAAGTATGTTATCTTCCTTCAGTAGAATGCTTGGTATTAAGGTAACTGAAGGTGGATTAGGAAAACAAAGCCCATGGCAGCACACTAAAGGCAAGAAATACAAGAGCTTGAGTTTTCTTTCAAGAAACTCATAACCAGCAGATCATTACAATGGTTTCAGTACCACAGCATGCTTGCCTTGCTCTCCAAGCTGTTTGAGCACAGCAAGACATGGGACTGCAGGCTCAGTAGTTCTCCATCTGAGCCAGAGTAGCTGTCAGCTGCTCAGTCAACAAGGAGATAGCAGATGCAAGGGTGCCAGAGATGCAGGGACCTGCAAGACCACTTCATATGACTTAAAGAGAACACCATGAAGATTGACATAAGCAAAAAACCTCAACTAAAGAAAGAACCAGTTACATCAAATGCAAAACGTGTAATCCTAGGGAAGAAACAAGCATGCATCCAGATCATTTTAAAGTATTCTAGTAACACAATACTGAGATATTGAAAACAAGTGATTATGATCAACTCACCCTTGTATGTGTTTGGTTCAGGAAGAGCTGGGCTTGCTCACAGAGCTCTGCAGCAGAAGTGGACTGTATTTCTGCAGGTTGCAGATGCATTTGCACTGGGAGAAGCAGCACTATGCATGTCTTTATCAGCACATGATAAAGCAGGCAGTGAATCAGCACGGCCAATCACTTTGAGAAGATATGCCAAAGAGTCTCTGCAAACAGAGAGAGAAAAGAACAATTCATTTGGGAACTGCCCCCCAGACTGACACATCCCTCCTCCCCTCTGCAATGCCACCAAGTCACCCTCAAATTACTGCTTGCAAAAGGAACAGCAGCAGATATTTCTTAGGGATTGGGCTCCATGATTCTTGTGCATCCCTTCTAATTTGGGGCGTTCTGTGCAGTGACAGAATAAACTCCCCTTATTGAGTAAACAGCTGAGCCTGACAGCATCTGCTTGCACACCAGGCTAAGCAACGCACAGAGAACTTGTTTCCAAGCCTCAAAAAATTGAAAGATGAAATATTTGGCATAGAAGTTAGTGGAAGAGGTTGCTACACACCTGCCTGGCAAACCAGCCTCATTTGAACAAGGTCCAAACGCAGGAAGAGAGGTTCTGAAATGCAATTTAAAACCAACCAACCAACAAAAAAACCTCCTTTGAACCAGCGATGCATTTGAGCTGGCAAGATTAAAGGTTTGCAACATCAGAACGAAGGTGAGCTTAGCATCTGGCTGCTGGCAGCCAACTCACCAGTGAAACAGAGGCCAAAACCCTGCACAACTGGAACACACGTGCACAGGGGAGATAAAAGTGTCACCAGCACAAGGAAACAGAAGGGATGCCAGGACAGGAGAAAACTCACAGTACATCTTCAAGAGAACACATCCTATCGGTGTTTGTTTGTTTTCCCACTAAGAGGTAAAATCCTCTGCATATAAGCACAGAAACTTCGTGAGACTGGAAATTTAACTTCAAGCCTTAGGAAATATCTGCTGTCAGCACAAACTGGATGCACAGCCAGCGTTTTATTCCAGAAATACTCAGTGGTCTACTTGAAAATATTATGAGAATGGAGGATAACTTGTTCCTTGAGTTTGTCTACAAGAAGGAAGTTTGCAGGGACCATCACACTGAGTACTGAGACAGGATAAGCAGACCCTCTTATCTGGTAGTGGACACTCACAGAGGGGTACAAGCACACAACAGCAGATAAATGGGCTCTTTTGTAGCATACCTACCCCTGTGGCAGCAGCAAAACCTCCGAGACAACTAAACACATGCTGGCTCTAAGAGAATTAACCTCCCCCAAGCCATTTATATCCTTTTTTTCAGTATGCTGCTAAGAGTCTCTGCAGCTGCTGCTGAAGCCAAGCCATGTCCCACTGTAATGCTGTGACCAGCTGTTAGCCAAGAAGCCAAGTCCTCCCACAACACAAGAAATCCCAAATCACACCACACGAGGAATATTCCTTGGAGGGGCAGGAAAGAACCAACAAACATCAGCCATTGAATTGTATGTTATGTGATTTCCATGTGCCCAGTGGTGCAGACGGCCAGCCAACACAAGGAGGTCATCTGATGGAGCTCACCAATGGAGGTGGCCAATGGAGGTGGCCAATGGAGGTGGCCAATGGAGGTGGCCAATGGAGGTGGCCTTGGTCTTGTTTGCTAAGAACTGGTGATTCATCCTCTGAAATATTTTGATGCAGCCAACCATAACGCTGCCTCACGATGGAAAAAAGCCTCTCCTTCCCATGAAATGGAACGCGCTGCCAAGAAAACAAGAAACTTCTCATACACATAAATGAGTAAAGAGGGTTTCAGCTGCTACAATAGCTTCTGCAGCTCCTGCCACAAGAGTGCAACCAGCACGTTCTCCTCTTAGAGGAGCATGATGTAGCAGTTTTGTCAGGAAATGATGCAACTTTTCAAGCACAAAACTAAGTTCTAGGCAGCAATTTCCTATTAAGGGGGAAAATGATTAGAAACACTTCCGCAGCATCTTTCCTGCCCCCCCCAAAATGATGGTCCTAAAAATGATGGCACTGGAATACTTGTGAGGCCAGCCAAAGGGAGAGTTCAAATTACAAAGGAAATGCTGTAAGTTCATCAGCTTGGATGTAGGATACACATCTTGTGTTTGCAAACAGAGGAGACATCAGCTTTGGGATAAGTAGGGTAGGTGAAGAAATAACAAGAACTCCCAGCAAATGAAGCATCCCTGGAGGTATTTGAGAAAAGAGTAGATGTGGCACTGAGGGATGTGGTTAAAGAGCTCCCAATCACGGGCTGATGGTTGGATTTGATGATCTCAGCAGTCTTTCCAACCTCCATGATGCTACAATTGCAGATCAGAGGTAAACCCTGCAGCTGAAAAACTTGTGCAACTGAAGAGCAGGAGCTGCTTGGTGCCCACACAGCAACCAACCAAATGCAGAAGTACATTGCAGATCTCAGTCAACTCCCTGCCTGTGCTTCTGCATGCAGTGACTGAACATCATCTTGCAGAATCTGAAGCAAAACCCTCATGCAATTATTTTGTTTTCTTCTAAAAATATCCTGCAGGGTTAACACCATGGGAAACAGCATTTACTGGCACGCAGTGTGTCACTATTTGCAATAAAAGCCACTGCTGCAGTCATTTGGTCTCTTACTAGTCATAGCAAAAGCATCCTAAACCAAAAGCAGACTGACCTTGAGTCTTGCAGGAAAGTCTCAAACTTTCTAGCTCTTACCCCTCAGCGTTGGGCTTTAAGCCTCCAATTCCAGTTTTGTTGGAAGCACATCACTCCTGAACGATCTGCTCTTCTGTTGTGGGAGCAGCAAAGCAGGAAGAAGCAGCAAACCCTAACACCACAGTGGTTTCCTTTTCTGCTGGCTCGCTCTAAGCCACATTTTATAGCCTGCTGTCTCCAAAGCAACCCTGTGGCAAGGAAGAGAAACCTGCCTCACCCTGCTGGGGTCAGGGAGAGCAGCTCCAGCACCAGGCTGCTCCTCTGCAGCACTCTGAAACAAGGTAAAGTAATTACCTGCTGCGTCTCAGAGGTCATTTAGATGGAAATATCCTTTGTACCGTGGCCTTTAATGCTTTGAATGTCTAACCACCCCCTTCAGCACCAGCATCAATAACAGGGAATGTGACTTCCAGTTTTTTTCCCCAGGGGTTTGAAACAGCAGGAAGATAAGGCACTTAATAATAATAGTAGTAAGAATAATAAGGCCCTTAATAATAATGCCAAGCAGGCTGAGAACACCCAAAAGCCCACCCTTACAAGCTATAATGCATACACTGGATTAGCTATACCAGAATATTGAGTTAGGGCATGGGCATTCGTTCAGAGGTTCCAGTTAATTCAGGTTAATCTTCCCTTAAAGCTTCACACCTCTACTACAAGGCAATTGCTAAATTTCTGGGGGGTAGTGGGGTGGAAGAGAAGTCATCGATAAATAAAAGCCAGCAAGAAATTCCAGGACAGACAGACAGTGCTAGAGGACAGCATGGACATTTCAGGTACCAGCAGAGGGCACAGAGTTGTGGAGAAACAAAAAATGCTTTGGCATTTTTAAGTTCTTTTTCTAGTAAATGTAGTAGTTCATGTCAGAAAGGTTTATGTTATGAGAGTGGTGAGGTGCTGGAACAGCTGCCCAGAGAGGCTGTGGATGCCCCGTCCATCCCTGGAGGTGTTCAAGGCCAGGTTGGATGGGGCCCTGGGCAGCCTGGGCTGCTGTGAAATGTGGAGGTTGGTGGCCCTGCATGTGGCAAGGGGTTGGAGCTTCATGATCCTTGAGGTCCATTCCAACCCTGGCCATTCTGTGATTCTATACCTGTATCATCATTCAGAGTCAGAAGCAGGGAAAGCACTAAAGCAAAGCTGAGGCTTGTTTTCAAAGGAAGATTAGGAGCCATACTGCACAAGGCTGAGCAGTCACCCGCTCACACCACAGCCAGGAGCCCAAACTAGACAGTGTGACTAAGCCATTACAAACGCATAAAACACACCGCAGTTTGGGATGTGTGAAAGGTTCTGATAACAATCACTGAAAAATTCAGCAGTACCTCCACTGGGAACTTCCATTTGTTGGCTGACAACTGCCTCCAGGAGCAGAACGTGGAGCAGGCGGTGTCTGCAGCCTCCTAATCTCAGCCTCACCAAATCTGTCTCCTGATGACACTGGTTATCATCACAAACAGCATGAATTAGCAGCGTGGCAGCAGCAGGACAAAGAAACTTCTGCTTCTTAATTCATGCAGCATCAGAGAAAAGGCCAACCTCTAAGCGACCCTGTTGGGCAGCCTTTCCCCTCCTAGCAAAACCTATGGAGATGTAGGATTTTAAGGCCTCTGCTGGTATGAGGAAACCCAAAGGAAGTTGGCTCATGGGTTTAAGAGACAAGAAGAGGAAGGGGACAAATTGCCTGGCAAAGAGAACCCTCAAAAAGCAGTGGGTTAGGAAGAGGGCCAACTACGTGTTGCATGAGGCAGCCTGAAAGGGGTTGAAGCAGAAACGTAAGTCTCCTCTATTCCATTAAGGCTGCACGTGGGGGGGGGAAAAAAAAGGCAGAAAGCTCAGGAGCAACTTAAGCAGCTTTCATAAACCTGTATGAGTAGTCACAGACACCTGCTGCTTCTCTTGAGTTAATTCTTGAGGAGTTTTGGGAGAGCTGAAGTTTAACTATCCAAACGCAATTAACAAAAGCACTACTTCATCAAATGCATCAGGGGGCAACGCTCTGAGGAGAGCAAAAAAAGGTCTGCAGGAACATGGCACACACGCACACAAGTGGCACAGCCTTCTGATACACATCTAACCTATGATTCCAGCTGTATTCCTACCAGTCTGTGCACACCATGAGCTGGTTGATGGTTGATCTTAGTGGTCTTTTCCAACCTGAATGACTCCCAATGATTCTACAAAGCAAGCAGTCCAAAAAGCCACACAAATACTTCACCTCAAACATCCCCAGCCTTGCTTCTCCTTCTGTCTAGAAGAACAGTAGTCAGAAACTGAAAGTGCAGTGCTTTCTACACCAATGAAGACTCATAAAAAAGAGAACCTGCAACTGCAAATGTTCTTATTTTGTAGCTTATAACTACAGCTCCTAGAGGAGAGGTGTTTCAGGAGGAGGACAGATGCCCCTTATTGATCCTGGTGGCATGCTGTATGCCTGTTAACAAACACATATTAGTAAACATGGAACAGCACCTCACCCCAGAACATGAGAAAACGACCTGAACGGACAAAATGACCCACTGAGTACACAGAGTTCCCATAGCAAAGCTGGGAAAACTTCTAAAGCACAACTTGGCCACACCAGTGGCTGATGATGGCAGCAGATAACCGTGTGGGTCAGTCACACCATGAGTCATATGGGACTGCAATTTGTACCAGACCTCAAGGACATAACGAGGAACAGAAGAGGAAATAAAAAATCGTGCTGGCACAGCTGTTACTGCAACATACCAACTTTAGTCAGTGCACACAGAGCAGGAAGGGAAAACTAAACATATCGTCAGGACCCAGGGAAATGCAAGGCAAAGGGTGACACAACAGAACCCTGATGACATCTCGGAAGACAGCGGGGCTCAGGGCAGCTTATCTGCCTTTGCTGGCCTGAAACAAGGAATGAATTCAAAGCCCACTGAGCAAGCACGCGTTCAGGAGACAAAGCAAAAGGCAAACAGTTTAAAATGCTGAACGCAACACACTGCCAATGGAGCAGAATAAGACAAATGTCAACACACTAGGCTGCCTTCAATTTGCAGCACGGTGATGGCATTTTAACTTGCTCCTCTGTGCAGAGGAGAAAAGCTAGCAGCACACACAAAGACCTGCACAAAGCATGAGCAAGCAACTACAAAACTTGAAGAGATTTGGGGATGTTTTGTAACACGATGCATTATCAGCCATAGGAGATACTGGTGTGAGAGTAAACTCGAAGTGTGAAGGGTAACAGGCCAGTAGGTGTCCCAGGCCAACTCACCATGCTCATCACTAATGGGTTGCTTAGATCACTGAGTTACATTATGCTCATTCTAAAAGCAAAAGCAAACTTCCAGAGGAGCACAGAACATAGTAATGCTGAGATAAGGAGCCACTGAATTAGGAAGGCAAAGGGTAGGACACCAGAGTGCTGAACTCCAGCACTGCTCTTCACAGAATGGTTTTGGGTTGGAAGGGACCTCAAGGATCACAAAGCTCCAACCCCTGCTGCAGGCAGGACCACCAACCTCCACATTTAATACAGGCTGCCCAGGGCCCCATCCAACCTGGCCCTGAACACCTCCAGGGATGGACGGGGCATCCACAGCCTCTCTGGGCAGCTGTTCCAGCTCCTCACCACTCTCATAGTACAGAACTTCCCCTGACATCCAACCTAAATCTCCCCTGCCTCAACTTAAATCCATTTCCCCTCGTCCTGCTGTTATCTGCCCTTTCAAAGAGTTGATTCCCCTTGTGTTTATAGGCTCCCTTTAGGTAACGAAAGGCTGCAAGAAAAAAAACAAAACTTTTCACTCTGTATGGCCAAAGGCAGCCAAAAAGAAAGCAAAAGCCTTTGACAGAAAGCAGTGAGTCAGTGCAACCCAAAGCACTCACTGGTGCTGTACCTGAAGAGATGGGCAGTGTGTGGGACAGCTGCATGAGAGAAACCAACAGCCTAAAAGAGCAGGTGAATAACAGACTGAGCCAGCAAGTAAACAAGAGCACCTACAAGAGCTGCAAATCCTGCACTAAATACATCCTGCCCATACGAGAGATGGAAAGCAGGCAATGAGAACTGCAGGATTAGCAGGAACATCAGGAGAGCAGATGATGAGACGCTGCCATTCACACAGCCGTGTAACACACACAGCTGCAGGAACACAGCCTGCTCAGTGCAGCTCCAGCGTGACAGTGGAGGTGAGCGAAAGGGAGAATCACAGAATGGCCAGGGTTGGAAGGGACCTCAAGGATCACGAAGCTCCAACCGCCTGCTGCATGCAGGGCCACCAACCTCCACACTTAATGCTACACCAGGCTGCCCAGGGCCCCATCCAGCCTGGCCCTGAACACCTCCAGGGATGGACGGGGCATCCACAGCCTCTCTGGGCAGCTGTTCCAGCACCTCACCACTCTCACAGTACAGAACTTCCCCCTGACATCCAGCCTAAATCTCCCCTCCCTCAACTTAAATCCATTTCCCCTCGTCCTGCAGTTATCTGCCCTTTCAAAGAGTTGATTCCTCTCCTGTTTATAGGCTCCCTTTAGGTGCTGAAGGCTGCACTGATTCACCCGCAGCCTTCCCTTCTCCATGCCGAACAAGCCCAGCTCCCTCGCCCTGTCAATGGAACCCAGCACAGCACTTCGCCCCGCTCCTCACCCGCCCCCCGAGCTCCGGCCCCGCGCCTCAGCCCACAGCACCGATCGCCGCACCCTCCCGCCGGGCCCCGCACAACCCAGCTCACCTCCATCCCCGCCGACCCGCCCGGACCCCGCCCGCACGGCACGCACCTCACAACCGCCGCCGCGGCGACGCCGCTCCTTTGTGCGCTAAGATGGAGGCCCCGCGCACCGCCCGGCCCCGCCCCGCCTCCTCGGGCCCCGCCCCCCGCCGTCTCCCTAGCGACTCGCCCCGCCCCCGCCCCGCCGCCTCGTCCAATCGCAGCGCGGCGCTCGTCCCTCTCTCCCTGACGTCACCTCTCCCGGCTCCGCGCTTCCTTCCGATAGAGAGGCGGTGATTGGCTGAGGGCGGGGCGGAAGCGCGGCCGCAGGAAGAGCTCACGCGGTTGGCCGGCGCGGGCGGAAGGGGCGGGACGAGACGCGGCCGACGAGCGGGCCGGCGGGAGGGGCTGGATGGCGGCGCTCGGTGCCGGGCCGCGCCTCTCTGTGTGAGCGGCCCGCCGCGCGGTACGTCTGGAGGGGGCGGCCGGGGCTTCGTCGAGCGAGGGCGGGCCGGGCCCGGTGAGCGAGCCGAGCCGCCGCGATCCCATTAGCGGTGAACTCGGGGCTCCGCGGTGCGGGCCGGGAGCGGGCCCGGGCCTCTGCGGGACCGGCCGCTCCAGAGGCCCGCTGCTCACAACGGCGAGGCGAGGTCCGCGCTCGCATCTGGCCCAGCCCAGGTGAGGCCCTGGGCCGTGAGGTTTGGGGTGTTAGTCCTGGTTTTGTGACCGTGCGGTAGCACGCAAGAGCGCGGTTTGCAGCTCGGGTCGTTACGGTGGCTGCGTGGCGCCTGCCGGCCAGAGCGCCGTCAGCAGGAGAGCTTAACGCAGGGCGCTGTGAAAACATCTGCTGCGTCTGGGCTGTGTGTTGGAGGTCAGGGAAGGCAAAGGCGAGATGAGCCAAATTCCAAGGTTTTAAGGTACCGTAGTGCTGGGCTGCAAGATGATCCCCCTGTGGTTTTGTGCCCCAGGATGCCTTTGATGCTGCCGTTTCAGGAAATGTTCCGTCAGCTTCCCTGGGTTCTATTGAAAAGATGACAGAGTCTTTAAGGCTGGGATGACCACTAGGATCATCCAGTCCAACCATCAGCTCTCATCTGCAACTGCCCTAAACCCACCCAGTGCCACATTGTCTTTTCTTGCACACCTCTGGGGGCAGTGAGTGACTCCACCACCTCTCTGGGCAGCTGTTTCAATGCCTCGCCTCTCGTTTGGAGAAGAAATATCTGTGTATCCAGACACAGTTACACCCTAATCTCTTCCAAGTGGTTTAAAGCGTTGGCTGAACCAGCAGGCAGATGGTTGGCGACTTTAGTCTTAAGACAATGCTGTGCTCGTGCCTCATCAGCCTCTTCAGTTTGTTTTTCTGACGTTGTCATCGTTGTATCAGAACGTTTTGTTTCCTGTTTAACAGATTGAGCTGGTGAGAGTGGGGAAACAGCTCATCTCAGTAATGCAGTGCTTGGTTAAGAAGGATGGCCTCTCGTTGTTCAGACCTGTGTTCAGGAGGGAGATGCCATTTTTATTTTCCCTATAGCTTTTCAGCTCAAACCACCATGGGAAACGGCACATAAGAACAGATATTCTGTGATTTCTGGGAGTTGAACTCATTTTAAAAACATATCATACTTTTAACAAATACTTGTATGGTGGTGCTTTAACCTGGATTTCTTCTGAGGTCTCAATTAGCCATTTTGTCCTACAGACAGTAGCCCACGAAAGCTGTATTTGTTCAGAACATCAGGGCTCTGCTTTCTGCAGCAGTGGTTCATTGTGTGGAGGAAGAACGACAGACTGGTTCCGTCTGTTATTAGTTACTGCATCCCTCCCTCAATGCAAGAATAACAGGCTTCTCTTCCAGTGCTGAAATGCAGACCAGGGGGAGGTGGACCTAAATGGACCAACAATTGGCATTAACCTCCCTCATTCTGCAGCGTGGAGCTGGCAGGAGCCATCTGGCTCACACAGGGAACTTATCAGTGCTGTGCTTTGAGGTGACAGCTGTCCAAATCGAGTTTCCTTCTGAGGCTGACTCCTCAGAGCATCTCAACCCCGGGCCTAGGATTGAGGCAGAGATGTGAGCACACCTTGGGAATCCCCAGCTGGAAGCAGAGGGTGTGCTGTGTGAAGGGGCTGCCCTTGGTCAGTAGGGCTGCTCCAGATCTCTAACCACAGCCCCTTTTCATCCTGAAGGGTAATTCCCTCTCTCCATCAACTGTTGAACACTATAAGCCTCTACACAACTTCACCTTATGCTCTGGCCCCTGCTTGCTTCCCTGGTGCAGCCTAAGCAGGCCTGGCTCTGTGTTTTTCAGAGCACGTAGTAATATCTCATGCACTGACAAGTGAAAGCGGGTGTCCCGTGTCTGTCATGTTGTGTTTTTAGGTCAGTTCCACCATGGATGGGGGAGATGGCTCTGCTGACCTCGTGATAAACAAGAGGTTTGTGTCTGAAGCTGAGCTAGAGGAGCGGCGAAAGAGAAGGCAAGAAGAATGGGAAAAGGTCCGAAAACCTGAAGATCCAGAAGGTATGGGATAGATGTTTAGTAACTATAGGAACTATAGGAGATCAAGGATATTTCAAAGAAAACAAAAACAAAAAATAGTAGCTTGTATTCTGCAAGTTCCAAAAGGTTTTCCCTTGAAGAAAGTAAGAACTGTTGGTGACTTAATATTTCTAACATTAAGTCTCATTTCCTTAATTATTCTTTCCTTTCAGAGTGCCCAGAGGAGGCATATGACCCACGCTCATTGTATGAAAGGCTTCAGGAGCAGAGAGAAAAGAAGCAGCAGGAGTTCGAGGAGCAGTTTAAATTCAGTAAGCACCAACCTCTGTTACTTCCAACAAAACTCAGCAAACTGCAGCAGCTGCGTGGTACACCTGCAGGTCTGACCTGTCTGTATGAGAGAAGCAGAGAGCTGAGAAGGGTATTCAAAGGGAGTAGATAATCCTGCAGATGACAAACAATTATCTGCATCAAGGCAGTGCTGCACATGCATTCCAATTCCCTAACCATAATTAGGTGACTCAAACTTCATAGAGCAATTTGAGGCTCAAGATCAGCACTTGGGTGAAGTGAACATGGAGGAGCTGAGCCTTCAAAAAGTGGATATCGATGAAATGAAAACCTGGTTTCTACCAATGTTGCAATTTCTGGTTTTATAGAAGAATCCTTTGCTTTGTATCACTTGTAGAAATTAACAGTCAAAATGGGACCTGTTGGCTCTATTTAAAGAGAAGTGAGGGTGATACTGTGGGACTCCATTATAAGGCAGCTTCTTGCTGGTTTTGGTTCTCTAGCTGGAAGTCCTACCCTCAAACTCTTGCATTCTTCAAGCTCCACTGGCATAGCTGGATTCTGTCTAGAATTTCTCACGTTAGCCATGGGACAGAACTGTGTCTAACCTTTAACAGTGTTAGAGTTTTGCAGACCTGTCTTGCTGGGGACGGCAGGTTGCCAATTATCAGCATAAATGGATTGCTGAGCTTGCCATTAGACTGAATGGGACTTGACAATGAGGTGAAGATTAAAAAAAACAATGTCTGCCTCATGTAAAGGCCTAAAAATCCTCTTACGGAATTAAACTAATGACTAAAGGTGGTGTTTGGGTTCAGATTTCTCAGGCTGATACTGCAAACTTGGTTTCTCTACCAAGTACTTTTGAAGACCTTTTTAAATCAATAACTTGGATGGAGAGATGTTGACTATTTGTAGCAAGGAGAAGACCTTCCCACTGAACTCACACACACTTACAAACCTTGCTCATCTCTGTGGTAACAGTATGCTCGAACTGTGTTAGTCTGGTGTAGGTTTTGCACTCAAGCATTTAAGAGTTTGGGTTTGCTTAACATCCAGTATCATTAACCAGAAGATATTTCTCCTCCTTAATTACAGAACAAAGCAGATAGTTTGCCCTTTGTGGGGTTTGCTTTGTACCTATTACTTGACAAGAGGGTGTAACTGCTAGAAGACATGAGCTGGTCACTCAGGACTCTACTCACTGCATTCCCAGTGACACTGTGCAAAGTATTCTACCTCAGCAGCATTCAGGGTCATCATCTGCAAGACGTGGATGGCTCCCTCCATTTCACAAGGCAGCTGGAAATCAGCAGTTGAAAATCATCCAAAGAGAAGGGCGAGGTGATGGAAGCTCATGGCTGCTCCCCAAAGCCTGAGCTTATCTATATGCATTCTTCTTTTTTTCAGAAAATATGGTAAGAGGCTTAGATGAAGACGAGACAAACTTCCTTGATGAGGTTTCTCGGCAGCAAGAGCTACTAGAAAAGCAACGAAGAGAAGAAGAGATGAAAGAACTCAATGAATACAGAATATCCTTTGCTTATAGGGCTGGCATTCTTATACTGGAGGTTTGGAGTCTGGACTGTAGTTTTAGTCTGTTATTCACATCTTTGTTATAATACTGCTTTAGAGAACACATGTGATGATTCTTTTTTACTGTTACTGTAGCTTGAATCTCCTACTAGAATATTTGATTCCAGGCCACCAACCCTTCACAAAGATGTACTGCAGGATAGCATAGGATGCTTTTTGTCTGTAATCTGCATCAGAAAGGGGAGATCTGAAATGATTTTAGGATTGCTGTCAGTTCTGAACTGAATATCTTTTGAGGGTTGTCTCACTTGTGAGGAAAGCAATAGTTGCTTTGCCTCCTAATGAAAACCACTGCTTAAAGTAATAAGTGAACAGAGTGCAAGTTCTCAAGGATACTTTAGTATAAATGAAAGAGTCTGAAAGCAGAAAAAGGAGCGAGCAGCTCATATTTATGAGGTGACCAAAAATACTCAGCAAATGCTACAAAAAGTTGCATTACCTTGTTTTAGTTAAGGATTTATAATTCAGAGCATCTAAATCTCTTGTGAAGAGCATCCACGCTCTCTCACTAATTCATTTATGAGGCAGTACTGATTCATTTTTTAATAACTTTATGTCAGAACTAAGCTGGAGTTGGCTGATGGATCTGGAATATTTCCTTGGTTTGTTGGATCTAATTATGGGATATTCATGGGATATATTTAGGTTCTGTGCTGGTTGCTTGCAGGTCTGGCTGATGCAGGGATGTGCGGAATCAGATCATGCTGTGCAAGCAGCTGACAACCCTAGTTAGGTCACATACATCCAGGGGTGAACCATATCAGCTCAGAATGAATCTTCTGTTGTCTTGGATTAGCCACATAATGCACTGATCCCTCAATTTACTGAGCAGGATCTCTTGCAGATGTCCACATTGAGCCTCAGTCTTAGAATCAGCCAGCTTTGTATCAAAGTCCTGATGTAAATTAACTGTAGAACTTGCTGCTAACATACTGGGTAACATCACAAGGAACCTTGGAACAACTTGCCAAATGACTCACAGATTTAATGATTTTTGGTGGTATTCTTTCAAAGTGGTCTTGGGTAGATGAGCTGGGTGGTTTGTAGGCACCATGCAGGAGTTCCTCCAGGCTAGAAAGAGGATTGTTAACCCAGTAGGTGTGATGATTTAGTCCTGGTAAAAGATCCAGTCTAAGAGATGTTGTTTCATGGTGAAAGCCTACATCAATATTGAAGTACAGAGCTTGTTTCTTTCTTTTCCTTCTTTTTCTTTTAACCACAAGAAATCATGAAACTATACCTCCTAAAGATGAATGTGCTCAAATATTTGAATGCACTCAAGAGTGAGAAATTCATATGCGTGGATGCATAGGAGCTTTATTTGCTCTTACGTGAATAGCTGGGTTTTTTGGCTTCTTACTCTGCCTCTTCAGCATTGGACTGACTAGATTTAAAGATTTTTCTTAAGCCAGTTGCAAGAAATGCTTTGTCTTCAGTGCTGTGTGAATGCAGAAATCCCCTTCCAAGGAGAAGGCGTTAACTATTGTAGGATGGTGCAACATCAAACCGTTGTTGGCAGGGTGAGCTTCGGGATTGCTTCTGTTAGCCACAGGATGGCACTCCTGTGCCATCTTAGAAGCATCTCATCAGCAGTTGTTGGATTTTTCAGCTGAGGCAGGGAGCAGTCAGGGCTGTTGCTGCATCCTTGGGAAAATCCAGTTAGCAAGGACATCTGAACATCCTGACATGAAGGGAATCTGAGACTTTGGGTCACTCCACAAGGTGCTGGTTTATAGTTGGCAGGTGTTCAGTGGTGGGATGGAAACTGTGACCTTAAATAGGAACATGAAATTCACTGTTGGATATTTGTATGCAGTAGCTGGGACATCTGTGAAACTCAGAGCTTGTGGTTACGCTGAGTGGTCACTGGGAATGGCAGTCAGAAGGAATTTGTAGAAAGGCAGATTTAAGGTTATAACCTAATCTCCTTTTAGATTAGGTTAACTCTCCTTTGCCATGTGTAACATTAAGGTTTGCAGAAGCCTTTATGCCTCTACTGGTACCTCACAAAGAAGCCTCTTCTGTCTTGGCTGAAGATGCCTGATAGGTGTCATCACAAGTAAGTTTCCTTCAGTAGAATATGTGAATGAGCTTCAGTTGCTGCTGTCAGCTAAATATGTCAGGGAGGAAGAGCCTGTCCTCTCCATTCCTGCCTTGTTGATCCTTAACCCTTAATTCACAGCACTCTCACTAAAGTGGGAGTGGGTATGGACCCAAAGAAGGAAACTGAGAAGAAATTGCCCATGAAGTCAGTGGAAAACAAGAACAAATTCTCTCAGGCAAAGCTGTTGGCAGGAGCTGTGAAACACAGAAGGTTAGTTTCACACTTCTATAAATGCATGAGGAACGGAACCTGGTTAACAGTGTAAAGGGAAGCAGGCCAAAACTGCCTCCAGAGAACAAGGTGCAAACTATAGCCCTAAAGAAAAAAGGGGGGAGGTACAGGAAAAGACCAGCCTTGTTTCCATGGGCTCTCACCAACTGTTGGAGAAACATGAGGCAATTCAAATAGATAAGCATGTGTAAAGCAAGTGGGTAGGCTCTTCATTCTAGGCTGCCAGGCTTGGGCAACCCTGCTGTGGGTTCCAGAGCTTCTCTCTTTTTCAGCTCTGAAAATATCAGCATTCACTTCAGTTCTGTAATTCGATTTAGGTTTTCCTAACAACCTATTAGATCTGTGTTTAAAATGGATCATTTTAAGTAGTTGCTTGGGGCAGTGTGGGGAAGATGTTAAGAGAGAAGAGTTTTGTGTACCCATCTGATCCTGAGGGCATCAGGCAAACCTTCCATGTTCTCACCAATTGGCACTGATAAATCAGCACCCTTCCTGTCCTACAGAGATGACAGCTGAATTTGTGATCTGCTGCCTGTTTTGATCTCAGCTTGCAAACACAGCTGCTGGTGTGTTCCAGGTTACAGATAAACTAAGCACCTGGGCCTAGGCTGAATCCCTACAGACAAATGAGGGAATGCTTAAGGCAATTCCTGACATCTAGAAATTCAGGTAGTAGTTTTAAGTGCATTCCCAGAGAATGAACATATGAGAAGGATCAGCACAACAGAGGATGTTATAAAAGAAGTGCTTACCTGCATCTGAAGATCCAGGCTTGCAGGAAAAACTTCACAGAGGAAGAATCTGCAGCAAGAGATCCTTCCCTCATGTCAGTCAGCCCTTAAATGAGGTCTGAGAGGTGCAGCCAGGCTCCACCCCTTCCACAGCTGAATTGCCTTCACCTGTGCTCCCAGGGCTGACCGGGTCCTTTCCCCAGGTGCTCCATCAGTGGTACAGGCCATGACTCAACAGTTCCCATATAATGAGAGATTATTATTTTAGAAGCTTATCTTGTAGGGTGATGTTTAGCTCCCAGTCCAGTAGTAATTGCTGTCTGTGCAAACTGAAGCGAGCTCTTCCAACACCTTGTATGTGGGGTACTGAGTTTTTTAAGGGGAGAGAAGAAAAAACCCCAACCAGCAGCAAGCAGCCAGCAATGTTTTCTGTTGGAACCACTGGTACATACCCCAGTGGGGTGCAGGGAAGGAGCTGGTGTGTGCTTAGTGGCACATCTGAAGTCTGCAGATGGCATTTGTTTGAAGAGAGCTTATCTGACATGTTGGTGCCATCACCAGCAGTCCTCTGTTCTCGCTGTCTTATTTTCTGTTGCACACTATCCAGAACCAAACACAGCATGAGTTCAACATCTGCTTTCAGAGCAGATGTCCTCAAAGGACTTCCACTATTAAAACCTCCTTGCTCAAATAACCTTTCATCTGTCCCTCATGTTCTGCCATGGGAGGGGAAAAAGACCCCGGAAGAGGGAGAACACTGATGTTGGATCTGCAGGGTGGTGACTGCTCAAGTTTGTCAGGCAGGGAAACCAAAGCTCACATGCTGATTGCTGGTCTCAGGGGTATTCCAGCTGAGCAGGAGTCCCAGAGTGAGATCTGGATCACTCCCTGCTGGAATAGCTGTAGCATTTGAGGCAAAAAGTGACTCTGAACTTCATAGTAATTAAGTGGTGGTTTACAAGGAACAAGACAATTTCTTTTTGTGTTTTTTTTCCCCCACAGTTCAGATGGTGGTAACACTGTGAAGAGGTTGAAGCTCGATACTGACCACGAAGAAAAGAACCAAGGTATGTCCTGATTTCTGCTGTCGGGAAGCTGTCTGCCTCTCACCTGAACAGCAGCTGACTTAGTGAGTGTAGGATCTGATGGAAGATTTGCTTTTTTGTGCTAGGCAGCACATGTCAGCATGTTATCTCTTAATGCTATGGTGACTGTGGGCATTGACAGCCGTTGCAGAAGGAACCTCCTCTGGTCATCTGTCCCTCACCTATACCATTCCTGACAGATGATTGTCTAAGCTGCTCTTAAATCTCTGCAGATAGAGACTGTGCATCCTTCTGAGGCAGTTGATTCTAATGCTTAGCTGTTTTTACCCTTAAGGTGCTTTCCCTGATAAATAATAGGAGTCTCCTTAGCTGCGTTTCATGCCCAGTGTTGCTTCTGTCAGCCAGAGGCTCAGAGAACAGCTCATTCCCTTCCACCAAGTGTATTTGTGCACCTCCACGGTTCGCTTCTCATGCTACAAAGTGATCTTGTCCATCCTGAAACCAACTTATTTCAGAAAATTATGAGCAGCTAGAAGAAAAACTAATCTACGTTTCAGTCTTAGCTGTCAGGATTGCAATTGACTCGTTGTCAAGATCTTCTGACACAAATAGGGTGAGCTGTGATTGTGTAATGACAACCCAAGGCGCTTCCTGCATCTCCTTCTGTTCAGTAAACTATCAGAACGCATGGAAAAAAATTAATTAGCTGTGGAAGATGGGAGATGTTGACTTAGCAGAGCACTGGAATGAAACTTTTCCCCAACTATGCTGTTGTATTGTTAAAAAAAATAATAAACTAATTGCATAAAACAGAGCTATTTATTCTTATTTAGTGGGTTTGCTATTTGGCACCCATCAAACTGACAACCTTAAGAATAAAAATCTGTAATGCCAGCATAGAGCTGGGCTTAACTATGATGAGAAAAAATCCCCTGAGGTAGCAAGTCCTTCCTGTCAGAATAGCTTTTGTGCCACGTAAAGCCGCCTCACGCTGTAATTAAATCCTGCAGTCACCCACTACTGGCTTGCTGGTAGCAGGTGAATGGCACACAGCAGCTCCTGGGCTGATGAAAGAAACCCTTTCCTGCGCTCTGGGTTCTGACTGAAGTCTTTCTCTTGCAGAAAAACCGTCCTGTGTTCCCCTGGGGAGCAGCTCTGTGGGAGGATCTGCAGTCCACTGTCCGTCGGCTGCGGTCTGCATTGGGATCCTGCCTGGCCTCGGTGCCTACTCTGGCAGCAGTGACTCGGAGTCCAGCTCAGATGGAGAAGGCACCATCAATTCCACTGGGAAGATTGTCTCTTCTGTCTTTCGTAGCAACAGTTTCTTTGATGGTCCATAACAAAATCCCTCCGTGTGTAATGTAGTGCAGAGTTCACTTCCAAAGCCCTGGTGGATGTTTGATGCATCCCTCTGTCCCAGATATAATATTTCTAGCTAACCTCTCAACTTTAATACATTCAGATGCTTCTAAAATAATTCATTTTTATTTTTTCCCCCATTTTTTTTTTTCATTTCTGGGGTTCTTACTGAGCTTGAGGTGGGAAGGCTGCCACCCCAAAGCAGAGGGCACACCTCGTCCTGTAGGCGAGGGCTGAGATAGAGAGGAGAGCACCTTTTTATGATTCTCATGGAAAGAAAGAATGAATTTTGGTGATCTATGGAGTTTATACAAGACCAACAGGCAAAAAAAAAAAACCAAAAAATGCACTTGAAGCACGGAAGTCTTGTAGGAGCAGCCATGTGTTCTGTTTTAAAATGTCATTTTTATTCTGTATTTGAGAAATGGGGGCAGAACAAAAATCGAGCAGATGGTGAAGTGTGGATTGCCATGACACTGTAAAGAAGTTTTAGTGTTACGCGATTAAAGACATTCTGAATGCATTTTTTTTCCATCTTGGCTTGTGCCATTCATAATTGTTCCTGTTCCATTAAGCAATTTGGGTTCTGCTCATCCAGCCCTGTCCTCAACCCACCATCGAGACAGGGCTGAGGGTGTCCTCCTCCTGAATGAGTGCAGAGGAACTGTTGGTGGTGATTCTGCTCACAGCTCAGCTCTCGTGGTGTAGTGTGAGTACCGAGGGGGTGGGATATCCTGGCTCAGTCAAACCAAGCTGTGCACAGACTGGAGAACTCCACTGCCTTTTGCAGTAGGAGAGCAAATGACTGTCGAAGTTCTGTTGAATTTAAGAGACCTTACACTGCCCTGAGTGCTACCTGGCACTCTGGTTTTTGCTCCCAACCTGCTCCTGCCTTTCCTAGCTTCTCTAATGATGGAAGATACTTAAATCTCCCAATGCCTTGATTTAAACCTGCTTTACTTCAGAGTTGCACGTGCAGGAGCCTTGTGTAGCTGCAGTGGAGAGGTGTCTGTGCCTGGTGTGAAGCTCAATCCATGATGGCTCTGAAAAGCCAGAGCAGCACACCCCAGTCATGAGTGCTTTCCTGAATGGTATTTGGTATAGCTGCCCTCCAAGCATCTGTTAGATTCGGATGGAAACAGAGTGGGGTTTGGAAGCTGTGGGCAGACACAGTGGTGCAAAGGAGCTGCAGGTGGTTGTGCTGGACCCTACATGGTCCAGAGGGAGACAATTCTGCTGTGGGAGAGCCCCACTTTCCTTGTTTCTTGAAGAGCAGGATCAGGGCAGCTGGGGAGCTCCATTAGCTCACAGCAGCCTTAAGCCTGAGTCCCTTCCTCCTGCAGCTGCCCTACGTAAGCAAGCTGCTGTGGAGCCTGGCTACCAGTCCCATTTACTGTCTTAAAAAGTGATTTGATGTTAACTGTATTAACTGCGCTCTGAGACACTGTATGAAGGGCCAGAGGGCAAATCAGCCTAACTGGAAGCAGCTGGGGCAGAACACTGCCCTGGGGTTGGGAAAGGACTCCAGCAGCACCATCGTTTCATGGTGGAATTGAAATATTTCAGATTTTGTTCTCTCTGTGCAAGGTTTCCTGATGGAAAGAAAACATTTTTCCAGAGCCCCAGACTTTGATCTGAAAGCTGAGCAGCACAGTGCCTGCCTGACTGGCAGTGGAGCTGCATACAGCCTTAGTTATAAACAAGCCACCATTCAGAGACTGCTTCCCTATTTGGAAAAAGGGGGGGGTCGGGTATTTTTCCCTTCCAGAGGGCTTTGCAAAGCAAACATTTCCCCAAGCTGGCCCCACCTTCCAGGGTTGAGGCTGGCATAGGCCTTGCACTGTGCCCATGTGCTCCAGGCATGGTGCAGGTGGAGTGGTGAGGGGCACTGGGCTGCCCCAAGCACCCAGCCCTCACACAGTGCTCCCAGCCTGGACCAGACAGCAGCCTCTTATTTTAAATGTCCGAGTTTCTTTATTAACCTGAGTATAACAAATATAACATGTACACAGTATAAAAATGAACATAGAGCATGACAGCGGTACGAGTACGGCACAGATACATGACCAGTTCAACAAATGGTAATAATATATTAAGCATTTCATTGCTTGGAAAAAGCAAGTTTTGTTTGTAAAAATTGTATCCTGTTCCACTAAAATTATACAAAGTACATTCAATACTGAAAAGTGACTCAACGGAGTGGGACTGGGGCATGGCCCGGCCTCTGGGTGTTACCTCGGGCTGTGGCTGTACAAAGTGGATCCAGGCGCTTCTCCAGGATGAGCTTTAAGAACTTAACAATTAAATTAAGAAGTACAAACCTGTGTGTTTCAGGGAGGGTATTCTTCATTGAACAGCATGTGGAACATGCGCTTTCAGTGGGACCAACAGACTTCGGCAACATGCAGATGGGGCCGGGAACGACGCTACGCGGGCTCCGTGTTGATGGGGGGCAGGTTTTGGTGCTTGAAGTACTGCACGACTTGCTGGGGCAGCTCTGCCAGCACAGCTTTGGCCAGTGTCTCCTTGGGGGCCTGCAGGCAAAAGGAAAAAGCAGCAGTGGCACAGGACTGGATACACCTGTGGTTATACTGTATGTCACTGTCTCGGGGACAGTTCTCTTGCAGGGCAGAGCGAGGCAGGTGGTGTGGGAGAGGGTAGAGCTGATGGGAGCATGATGAGTGCTCTCTCTTTTAAGTGGCTCCCAAACCTTTTGGCATTTGCTGGGGTTGCCCCTCTTCCAAGGTAAGAACATGATGTGGGTCGGATCACAGAAACACAGAATGGTTTGAGATCTCAAAGATCACCTCCTTCCAATAAGATGTCATGTCCAGGCCATGGGCAGGTTTCTCCAAAACCCCACCCCTGGCCTGGGGCACATCCAGCAATGGGGCACCCTCAGCTCTGGGCAGCTGTGCCAGGGCCTCACAGTCCTCACAGCAAATAATTTCTAAAATCGAACCTAAACATCCTGTTAGTTTAAAGCCATTCCGCCTTGTCCTATCACTACATCCCCTGACAGAGTCCCTCCCCATCCATCCTGGGATCCCTTTAGGTACTGGAAGGCCACAGTGAGGTCTACCCAGAGCCACCTCTTCTCCAGGGGACGGCACCACAGCCCCCACCCCCACTGCTGGGGGTCACAGACTCACATTGCGGAAATCCCGGAAGGGCACAAACTGGACGATGTCACGCACGGCCTCCTCGCCAGTGTGGGAGCGCAGCACCCGGCTGTCCCCATCCAGGAACTCCATGGCAGCAAAGTCAGCATTGCCCACCCCCACGATGATGATGGACATGGGCAGCTTGGATGCCTGAACCACGGCGTGGCGCGTCTCGTCCATGTCACTGATGACTCCATCCGTGATGATGAGGAGGATGAAGTATTGCTGCAGAGAGGGGAAGAGAGGGTCAGAGCTACGCAGGGCTGCAAGGGACACGTCAACTCTATGCTCACTGCTAGCAGATACCAGCACACAGAGCTGAAGGAGAGGGCACGGGGACAGATGGATGGACACAACACAGCAAGGCTGCGGCACGCGCACCCCAGCAAGACCAGCGCCTTCATCTCCTCTCCCTCAGGGGAAAGTAATGGTTCCATTTTGGTGCATTACACATCTCGCGCGTGGTGGAGAAATGATGAAAAACAAGCACTTAGGAGCATTAAAGCCTTTTGTTCCTCTCCTCATTCTTTCCATTTCCTCTGAAAACCACCAGTGTCGACGTCCTAGAAAAGCAGGAGGAGACACGCAGCCCGAAGCCCATTTTCTTGTTTTTCCTCCAGCCCACATCTCGTCTCTTGAAATCTCCCCTAAGTGCCTTCTTCCCTCACATAAATTCTGAGTGCAAATGAGGGTGGGTTTCTGGCACCACTGTGCTGCAGAAGCAGGACCTGCTCCTGCCCTGAGCACTGCAGGACCCTGGGCACATCAACGAAAGCACGGCACTGAAACGGGGCAAAACACATGGAGCTGGGGGAAAAAAAGTGTGCCAGGGGAAGACTTATACAAGAAGGCAGTATCTGGAATCCCGAATTGGCACCAACAATCTTTTTTTGGTGTTTAAGAGAGGAGCTGCGTGCTCACACGCTGCTGGCCAGAACTGACCATGCACCTGTAAGGGAGGAGGAGTAGAGTCTCAAAGGGAGTGGCTGATAACAGGTAAAAATCCAGCTCATTCCACCCTTCCTGCCAACCTTCTTCATCTGTGAGTAAACTGGTACAGAACTGGCCTCTCAGCATGGTCAAAAAGATCGAAACAAGAAAGGCCTCTCCCCTTTTGCTCCTGTTCTCCGAAATCAGTGACAGAAATAAGCGCTAAAAGCACGCAGGAGACAAGGAGGGAGCAGAGCTCATCCACTGCTTCTCACTGCATATTTCAGAAGTGAAGTGAAGTGAAATGGGAGATGATGCCGGGGATCATCTGAAAAGCCCGAGGGCTCTGCAGCAAAGCAGCTGCGAGCATCCTTACCTGGCAGCATCGGCTGGATGCACTCCAAACAAATGATGACAATTTTAGAACCACCTCCTTGGGAACTGAATATCAGCCTGGCTGGGAAGGTTGAGCCTGGACTCTGCAGGCATCCATCACCACCACAGGTATATACACCCCATCCCAGGATGGGGACAGGGACCTGGGACAGGGCTGCCTGCTCCCATCACGCTGATCCAAGCCTCAGCCCCTGATCCATCACGTTCTGTGCTTTCAAAAAAGGCAGAGCCGTCTCCAGCCTGTTCCTTTGGTGCGTATGATTTAAATCTCCCTTGATTAAACTATTAGTGCCAACAGAGGGGTGCAATTTGCATACGATTAGTGCCTCTGCTTGGCGCGCAGCATGGGGGATTCTCCCTCCCCCTTCAATACAAGGAGAGAAAATGAAAGCTGAGGAGGCACCTGGGTTTGTGGCAAATCAAACCCAATTCAGGCTTTCCCCCAACAAGCAGTGTGCGTTGGACGAGAGGGCTGACAACCCACAGCCTTCTTGGGGGAGATGGAAGTGCCAAGAAGGGTGAGGGAAGGATGGACAGGAAGCAGTGGGATCCCCTTGAAATGGCAGTCGCTGGAAGTGGCTTATTTTAATGAAGAAAGCAAAGAAAAAAGGCAAACATGGGACAATATCGCTTCATGCCTGGAGATGGGGAGAGCAGCACTGCACAAGCATCCCCCTCCTACCACCGTGCTGGCACCATCTCCTGCACATGAGGATGGGCAGCCCAGTGCAATGGGCTTCCATGCTAACGAGCAGCTTTCTGACATAAGGATGTAAGCAGTGTGTTGGACTAATTATCTACAACTTGAAGGACCGATGAGCGGCTGGAGCAGCCATGTGGGAACCCCGGTCCTGGCTCTGAGCCCACTGTTTGTCCAACCAATGTGAAAAGGAGCAATAGAAACAAGATACTCAACATCATCCAAGGGGGAGAAGCAGAAAAGTCTTCCAGGAGAAAGTTCACATTTGGCTACGTGAGCAACACGTTGCTTTAACCAAGAGGATCTTCCTCCAGGTGTCTGCTTTGTACTGAAGTGACATAAACCAAAGGTCTGAAACCACACTCTGAACCTCAGCGCAGCTCCTCATGTTGCCCATTCACACTATGGTGGCATTGTCACCATCCTAGTTCCCTTATGGTCCCCACAACAGTCTTGTCAGTCCCACACCACTCAGGAGCCCAAAGCTATTTGGAAAGCAACAGGGCTGCGCTTCTCAGGACTGTCATTCCCTTCTTGGCCAGAATCCACACAAACAGAAGTTGCCCTGGCAGACCAAAGCCCCACAGAACTCAGCAGAAGCCAATGGTGGATGTTTCAGGAGGAAAAAGTAGAAGAGATAAAAGTGTTCCTGTATCCTGCAATGCATGTTGTGGACTCCTGATCTCACACTTTGATGTTTTCCAGGCCAGAAGGTTGTAGCCTTATCACTTCTCGCCTGGGAGCTGCTCCACACCTGGTCAACTCTTGCTATCATCTAGGGCTGCTGGATCCTCTTTGAGATAATGGGGGCAATGTTTCACACTCCACTCATTCCAATCCAAGGGTCACTCAAATCATGGCATTTCCCACCCCCATCTCATTTCTCTCCCCAGTAATTTCTGATTTTCCACAGCTGCCGTTCTGTTGACTGTTGAGTTTCTGCATTGTTTTTTTTGACATTCTCTCTGTGAAGTGACGACAGCCAGATGAGAGCCCACGGCTGGGCTTCACAGGCAGGGTTAGTTCTAACTCTCCTCCAAGCCCTTTCCATTCATCAGCATGGGGCAATGGAACAGCAGATGCAAGCCAGCCACAAGGGATGGGGAGATCTTCCCACAATTGTTTGCAGGCAGCTTTCATCCCAGCTCCCCTAAATAGTCTGGTCTCGCCAGCCAGCTTTGTCTACTAAGCATGCCATGTCCTCAGGGAAGGAAGGAAGCCCAGCAGTGATGCCATAGCAGCCATGACGTGCTCAGCATCCATCAGTGATACAACCACCACCTGTCTGGCAAAGTGTTGGTGTAGTTGCTAAACCCAAACAAGAAACTTTCTCCTATATATAGCCCAGGTCTAGCCTGGCTCCACACTGCCTCTCCCACAGCCTCGTCTCTCCTGACATGAAAGCAAGGCACCAGGTCACACCGGCCACAGCACACAGTAGTCAGAGAAAAGCAGGACTTACAGATGCAGTCTCCTGCTGGGTTGCCTGAGCCGCAAACCGGGCCACATGGTTGACAATGGGGGAGAAGTTGGTGGGTCCATAGAAGCGGATGTGAGGCAAGCAGGCTGAGTATGCTTGGACAATGCCCTCCACACCTGTGGGGAAACCAGAGAAGCCCAAAATCACAACATGCAACAGCCCAAGCCAGCCATCACATACTCCAAGCATGATCACAGGATCATAGATTGACTGAGGTTGGGAGGGACATTAAAAATCATCTCGTTCCAACAAGATGTCACACCCATATGGGCAGGGACACTTCCTGCTAGATCAGGTTTCCTCAATGCCACCATTCAGCCTGGCCTTGAACACTTCCAGGGATGGGGCATCCACACCTTCTCTGGGCAGCCAGCTCCAATGCCTCACTGCCCTCCGAGTGAAAAAATTTCCCATCTAATCTAAATCTCCCCGCTTTTAATTTAAAACTGTTCCTCCCTCTCTAGTCCCATCACTATCTGATCAAGCAGAGGATGATGAGCTAGTAATGCCATGGGAGCTCAAGTTCAAAATATCGTTTTCCTCCAAACTCATCCAGATCATGAAGTTTCATCCACTTCTATGCAAATGTTCTACAATCAGGGCTTTGCTCCTCAGCCACTTTGCAGCAGATCCTCACACCTTCTCTGGTGAGAGGCTTCACAGCACCCACAACCAAAGGCTTTCCTCGTGTTTCTGCAAAAATCTCAAAATCAGGCAAAGAGGAGGAGCAACAAGAAAAGCAGCACAGCTTAACGGAACACCAGACAGACATGGGGCAGAGGAGGTGGTGCAGAAGCTGAAACACCCCAGGAACACCCTGAATGCTCCCAGGCTGTTTGGGAAGCAACACTCTGTCCTGCAAGTCACCAGAGACTCTTCTGCTTCTGCTGTCCCACAGAGCTGCCCAGGAAGATCTTTCTATCCTCCCCCACTCACGTAAACCAGGAGAACAAAGACAACCCAAAAAGGCTTTCTTTATCACCGAGCTCCCATTCTGCTGGGGTAAAGCAGAGGTCAACACAGATGGCCTTGGCAGCTCAAGGTTGCCCTCACTGTCTATGGTTAGAATAGCTCTTCAGCAATGACTGCTATTGGCTCTCAGTTGCTAAATGAGCTACAGAAGCATTAAGCCTGAATTCCCCATCTGCTAAGCAGCCCTTGTGTTTCTCACCAGCAGACGGCTGGTAGGACACCCAGAACTAAGGCGTTATTTTTATGCTGTCTGAATCCAGTTGCATTTTATCCTGGGACCTCCTACACACCCCCAGATCTTCTCTGCTTTCCACTGAGTGAACCCGTAGTAGCTGCTCTGCTTCAATGTTAAAGGCTGTCTCCAAACTGACCTTGAAAAACTCCTGTGATAAGTTACTGGAGAAGTCCAGGAGGAAAGACAGAAGACAGTGAAGGCATGTGAAGGCCTGGCAGGCACTCACCTGAACAGAAAGGGTTTGTGGGATTGAAGTTAATGGCAAACTCATGGGACACCTGCGGAGAAGAGATGTGAATTAGCACAGAGGCAGAGCACAGTGCTCTCTATCAGTTCAGCTGATGCACTGTCACACGAGTTCGTCCTGCTGGGCCAGCAGTGCTTCCCCACCCTTTGCTATCTGACAGTGAGGAGCAAAGATAAACATGGTACGTGGTCAAGGCTGGGGATGGACTGGTTCCTCTGGCCTCCCACTCCCATCATGGATCCACCTGACGTTATCACACCACCACTGTTGTCCCCATGGCTTCCTGCTGGCTGCCCAGAGAGAGAACACACATCACACCAGAAGAAATGACTTCATCCTATTGCACACGATTAGCTTCATGATCTGGGCTATGATGAGGGTGAAAAGCAGTACAGGGGAGGTGACATGACCACAGAACTATCCCTAAAAGCAGGTGCAAAGCCCACAAGCTTTTCTGCCACCTCCTCCCAAGCTGAGGGAGATGCCCTCAAAAGGAGGTTCCCCATGACATGGGTAGATAGTCCAGTGCACCCTTGCATGTAGCATCAGCCATGCCAGAGAAACCAACAGCAGAAACCCTCCAAACCTACTCCTCTAGGAAGTGTCTGCAGACAGAAACCATAAAAAATTAAAACTTGGAGAACAGTTGCTTTAGAAGTGTAATTCAATGACTTGGGTGCAAGAGAGGTTCAGGGCTCCCGTGCGAGCCCAATGTTGGCATGGGTTGACCACTTGCTTGGGGAAGAACCAGCAGATCGGGGTGCTGAGGCATTCCTCACTCTGTGATTCAGACACAACGAGGACCAAACGGGCTCTCAGCAGCACCAAGGACACACAGCTCCCTCTTTCAGACTTCTGGGAGCCAAAGGCATGATATGGGATCTCAGCCCACTGGTTGCAAGGGCTCCCAAACAAAAAACTCTGTGCTGCAGTTACAAAACAAGGCTATTTTCTTCCTCTCACGAGGATGGTGGTTCGCTGTGGTTCTCAGCCCAAGGATGGCTTCAGGACATGCGTACTCACAACGCTGGCAGAATGAATGTCCTCTACATTGCCGTGTGAAGTCCTCCCGAGACTGCGAAAGCAGCACGCATCTGGTTCAGACTTTCCAATTAGAATGGGCATTGTGTCGAAAGCAGCAGAAACTATTTTTGCAAGGCACCGTGGGGTGAGAAACGACACAAACAAACAAAAGTAGGTCAGGCTAAAACTCCGGAGTGCTGCAAAGCCGATGTGCTGCCATACAGGAGGATGGGACCGACCCGCTCGGGTGTCCCCACGCCCATAAGCACAGCCAGTAATGATCCCATTCACACCATAGGCAACTTGAGGCACATTCTGAAACGCACGACTTGTTTTTAACACACCATTTGTGGGGGAAGCCTTAATTTTGGGCAACATGTCCTACTTTAGATTTCTGGATTTACAGTTGTTAAAGGGCTCACTGTTTTGGGGTTGTGTTTTTTTTTTAGAAGACACTCCAAATTTTACCATGCAACTATTTATAGAGAAGGTAAACAGAAATGTTCCCATGTTTTGCAATTGAAAAAGAGGGGGTTCTCTTTCTTTTAAGCAGCAGTGAAGCAGTTTGGAGCTGTTTTCCTCACTTTTTGCAGCACTACATGGAGCACACCCCCTGCGTGGTTGAAATGTTTCAAAACCTCCTCTTGAGTTTTTACAGATTTTATATATATATATATATATATATATGCTAGAAAATCCAACAGGGCTTCAAAATAACAAAGTTTAAAAAAAAAGGGAGGGAAAGGGGGGGAACTCATTCCCCACTGGGTGCACCCAGAGGTACACAGAATTATTAAGGTTGGACAAGACCTCATCCAGTCCAACCCCAACCCATCAGCACCATGCCCACTAAGCCACATTCAAGTGCAGGACCTTTCTCAACTGGGAACAGCCCCGTCCAGCAGCCCCAAAGAGTGGGATGTCCACATGTGCAGCCTGGCTGTGCCCTTTGGATGGGGTGATTGTGGGTGGAAGCTCCATCTTCTCCCACCAGGAATTGTAGACATGCCCAAGCCCCAGCCCAGGAGATGGGATAGTTGGTGGGGCTTCAATTTCAAGCATCACCCTCTCCGGGGCCACCTCATCCCCCAGCAACCAAAACCCATCTGCTTCCTACCGGGAAACCGCTCGAGGCTCTTTACAGAGCTGTTACATTGCAAGATGTTCTTTGACATTTCCAACGAGACTTTTGTGTGCAAAATATCTCACTCCGACTGGTTCTTTGAAAGCGTTTGGCGATGCCATGGCAACAGGAGAGCGACGAGAACAAAGCACAACATACACGACTGAGATCTCTAACCATCTTCCCCATTTTCAGCCTGGTCTGCCATGCACAACGGCCATCGGTTCACCCACTGGCAGGACACAGGGCACTGGGCATGCAGCTCCCCACTGGCCTGCCCCAACACCAGCCTTGGGTTTCAGCACTTGAGTTCCGAAGCCACTCATTCCTGCACGCCGTGCTCCTTCCAGCCCTGCTGCATTTTCCATTCCCATTTCTCTCCACAAACAATAAATCCCCTGGTGGTAGCTGGCAACTGTTATTCCTCGGAAGTTGCTCACTAAGATCTTCCCACAGAATCTAGGGAAGCAACAGACCTGAGACATTTGCTGGCCAATTGGGATGAATCAGCTCCAGTGTGTGCAGGGAGGGATGGACTCCAGACAGCGGCAACCAGCAGCAACTCCCATGTGAATCGCAGGGATTCCGGCTGCCACAGAGAGCAGTCTGTTTCTGCATGGTGGAACCATGAGAGCTCCTGGGCTCTGCTGTGGTTGTGGGCAGCTGAGAGATGTGAGGCCATGTAGAAGTGGAAGCTGGATGAGAAGTGTCACCTGCAGCCAGTGGTGGCTGTGACAAGCAGCGCTGGACCGGTCCTGTAAGGGTTCTGTACATGGTTAAAATGCCCCCAGATGTCCTTGATCTCTGGGAAGAAGTGGAATGCAGAAGCAGGGGATGCCAAGGCACAGGCTGCAAGCAATCCCAAGGAGTCCTGGAGTGTATTGAGGGTAATTTCCTGGTACAGACATCAGACAAACTGACCAGAGGAGATGTATTTCTGCACCTGACCCGATGCTTGCCAACACAGAGGAGTTCATTAAAGAGGTAAAGGCTGGAGGCACTCTGGGGCTGCAATGACCATCAGGGGCTAAAGTAAGTTATGCTGTGAAAACGCTGGAGGAAGGGAGGTCCGGCAATGGCTCCAGGTACAGGAAGCAATTCCTCAGCCCCACTTCTTGGAGCCTCCATCCAGGAGCAATGCTCATGGTGAGAACACTGGCTCCAGCAGGCTCCCTGTGCTGCTGTGCTCCAGCACAGCCTGGCAAGGACCGTGGTGGCTTCAGCTCCTTGAAAACTCAATTTCCTGCCCTAATGTGCTGCCACAACCTGTAGGCACTACCCACACAGCATCATCTGGAGGCTACCCAGCTCCCATCCTCCAGCCAGATCTCACTGCAACCTAATACACTCATCTACGGCCCCATGATTGCTCCTGCCTCCCACCAGCAAAATTAATCAGCAACAATGGTATCAGTGCCAGGAAGCCCTGGGGCCAGCCTGGCTGTCTGAACTCCATCCCCACCTCACATCTCCCTACAAACCTAGCATGCCCCAGCTCTGCTCCTGCCCAGAAGCATTTCAAGCACACAGATCACTGCTACACGTTACCTTCCAGTCTGGTGGGAGCTGGGCACCAAATCCCAGAGCAGGAAACATTTTGTCTCTGCAAGGGAAGAAAACATGAGTGAATTTCCACGCACACAAGGGATGCTTGCATGCTCTTCAGCACACCAACAGTGTCCCCATCCCACCAGCTCCAGGAAAGCAGCTTCCTGTCTGCTTGAGCACCATCACACTCCACAGTGGTGATGGGGAAAGAGGAGAAACACTGTCCCTTATGTGCTCTCGTCGTTGCAGTGCCCCTGTCTCAACATACACCACAATTTTCTTCCAAGGAGTTTCCCAAAAGCAGGGCATCATTTCCCCCTGCTCCATGGGTGGAAAGTCAAGCCACAGAAAGGGTGACATGCATCCCAGCAGCTTGTCAGGAAGCCAGGGAAATGCCTGCAAAGCAATGGAGAGGCAGAAAGGCACAGCACTTACGAGTCATAGTCCTGGATGATCTGTCCGACAGCCCAGATTGCTGACAGGTATTCATTTGTTCCCATGGGGTTGATGTAGTGCAAAGAGGAGGGGTCCCGTGGGTTCCCATTGGAGGCAGTGAAGTCGATCCCAACCTGAGGGAAGCACAGACTGCCTTCTGTTAGCAGTCACCACTACAAACCTATCCTCCCATTCTCCACTGCAGATGGACCATGGTAAGGCCCAGGCACAGCCCTATCACGACCAAACCTTCAATTTTGGGAAGTTTAACAAATTTACCCTCCCTAAAAAAAACTAAAAAAGCAAGGTTCGACAAAGTAATTCACTATGATATCCAAATTTTTTACAATCAAGAATTACAGACATGACATCACAAAGAAGCAAACCACCACCACCAGGGTTCGTGCTGAAAGTCTGCTGCCCATCTGCCAGGCACCAAGGAGCTCCACGGACACCAAACCAGGCAGGGTTGCCTGGGCTTTTGTTGGGTTCAAGGTCTTTCCTGTCCCAAGAGACGCAACCCTGAGCTGAGCTTTCCCTCTTTCCCTACGGCTACCCTACACAGTGCTTCTCCCGGGTCCAATGCAGGCCAAGTTCCTGCTTTGTCAGCAAGGCACTCGTGCTTCTCCCTCCTCCATGCTATTTAAAGACATTTGTAGGAATGCATATCCGAGATCTCGGATCCAGTTAACTGTGGTCAGATGCAGCGAGGCGACGAGCCACCAGATTTGAAATGACTGGGAGGGAAGAGTGAGGAAGAGACGAGCAGACGGCGTGCCTGCATTCGCCTTGTTTGCAGAGCAAATAGGAAAAACCCAAAATAACTTTGGTGGCTAAATTGAGCTCAGGGGATTTTGCTCTGTATCTGTAATGAGAGAGGAAAAACTCGGCTCCTGGGCCGGGTCAAAGCCAGGGGTGGGGATGACAAGACATCCTCTGCAGCATGGGGCAGTTGGGAAGAGTCCCAGGGGCCACTGCCCTCCCTGGGCTCATCCCTGCAGGATGGCAGCAGAGGATCATGCAAGAAGCCCAGTAAAACCTGACCTCTTCAGCATGAGATTGATGGTCTTACAGCTCACTGCTCCAATGAAACAGAAGCAGCCAAGCCACACTTGGACAGAGCACAATAAGGAAACTGAGGCATCATGCAAAACATGCCAAGAGCCACGTAGGAGAGCAGAAACTGAACCAGGTGCCTTGGGAGGGGAAAATTCCAGCACTTCCCATTACCAGCAGACCTCAACGAGTGAGATTTCAGCATTCCAACTAATTCACACAAAAGCTCTGTGCTACCAATAAACTAGATGATTTTCCCTTCCTATTCACTCCCCAGCACCAAGACCTTCACGCACAGCAGCAGAATGGCACATAAAGAGCTCTTGCACTTGTTCCTGTTTCTATGGTAACTCTTCCTCCTCCTCTCCCCCCCATGTTTTCAGACAAGACAACAAAATAAAAACTGAAATGACTGCGTGTGCCCAGCGCTCGCTGGGTGCCGCAGCAGAAAAGTTTTCAGAAATTAGAAAGCTAATGGGGGGAAAAAAACAACACTTCTGTTTTGTGGTGGGTTCACTCTGGGCTGTAATGTCTCCCTGTAATTCCTCTTGACAAACCACTGGTGTAACAGCTCAAGTGAGGGTGGAAATGCAAATAAAAATGCAGAAACACTGCATCATTAACAGCCCAGAGCCTCTGAGCTGGGTTCAAAACACCCAGACCTCATTCAGCAATCTGGATGCCAGTTAACACAGAGATGGCAGAGATGTTGGTAGAAATTTGTGAAGGACTCCATGGGACTCTCATCTTCAGCAGTAGCAGGTTGTGTGTCTGAGAATTGCGGTACTGATCCCAGTACCAATACCACATGGTTTAACAGCAAAATGGAGCAGCTCCTCATTGCTGTGAAATCCCACCCTGCTAAGCCAGCAGGACTCGGCTCAGCTGGCCCAAGGGCAGCCTCCTACAGCACCTCCCTTCATGTCACTTTGATCATGACATATTTATTACCACTATTGGACAAACAGCAGCCAAAGTCCTTACAGTGAACATCAGCTGGCAGCCTCCCAGGATGTAGTCCAGGAATGAGAAATCTCTGGTTATCTGAAATAAAATAGAAAACAAAGTGTATCAGCAATCTTCACTACTGCAGGAAAAGAAAACACCACTGAAACCACCCAGGCCTCCCATCACTGTGTTTTTGGACCTTCAGGTAGCTCCATCCATGTAGCAAAGCATGTAGGAAGAATCATGGGAGGTGGGGGAGTCACTGGTCCCTGGGGGTGTTCAAGAACTGTGGAGAATGGCACTGAGGGACATGGTCAGTGGGCATGGTGGGGGGTGTGGGTGGAGTTGGACTTGGTGATCTTAGTAGTCTCTTCCAACCTCAATGATTCTATGACCACTGGGGTCTTCCAGGGCAGCATTTTGGCACTTCCTAAGCTACATGTGATGTGGTCAACCACACCGATCCATGCACATGGCATCAGGGACACAGCCCTAGCACGTCAGAAAGCAAAGAGCTGCAAATCCTATTCCAAGGGGAGGAGAACCCACAAAAAGGAAAATTCCCTTTAGTCATGCCCCATCGAATGTGCACTTGAAAACCCAAGAGCACTGGAGATGGGGTGGGAAGCTCAGTGCAATAAAATAAAGTCCCAAACCTACCAAAGGATAGAATGAAACATCCCAGCATTGTGCTCACCTTGCAGGACTTGACGATGATGATCCCAGAGTTCTTGTAATTCTTTTTCTTCTTTTGCTTTTTGGGGTTAATGCACTCTAGTTCTAGCTGTAAGAGAGAAGCTGTTACCCAAAGCTAACTGCAAAACAGAACTGCTGCTGTGCCCTCCTCACTGCTGGAATAGCAAGGACAAGCTATAGCTAGAGCAGGCCTCAGCTGTTCCTCTAAAGCTCTGGGGAAATAAATGCCTTTTCAATACTCGGAAAATAATGGCTGCAATACTTTTTTTTTTTTTTTTTTTTTTTTAATCTACAACCATTTGAATAAAAACTCTTATCAAAGAACAAAGTCTAAATGTGGGCTCTGCACTCATCATTCCTGCAGTCTCTGGATGCTGAACAACTTCCTCCAGCTCAGACCCCCCGATCAGGTGCATGTGGGATCAGTCTGAGATCAGCTGGGCACACCTGGGCTGGAAGAGTCAGCTCTGGCAAACGGGTACCCAAATCCTACAGTGCCCCTATTTTGCCTCCAAGCAGCTCTGACAGGACTGGCCAGGGAATGCAGAGCACCGCTGAGCAGCTTCCAGCCAGCCAGAAAAAGCAGACAGAGCTGCTTGCAAACAGGCTCAAAACTGCAGCTCTGGAAGCATGTACAAAAAAAAAGGCATATTTGGCTGAGTATTTCAGCCATCTCATGTCCCAGCATAGGTCAAATGCCAGCATGCCCAAGAAAAAAGCAAAAACAAAAATAAAAATCCTCTAGGGCAGAAATCAAGCAACTGGATTGACGGGCCCGTGGTGGGAGCAGCTTCAACTAATAGGGAATGTGGCCAGGCCCTGAGCAATTCAGCAGAGAAGGAGACCTTAGCCTGGAGAGTGTTTATGGGAGAAACCAACAACACAAGGATTGCAAGCAGTGTTTTTTCCCTTTGGATCTCAGAGGTAAGAATTCACGGCTAACTCCTTGCTGTAAGCACAGGAAATTTTGCTGCTGGTTTACTGCTGGCCACCTGACCCCAAAATCTCGTTGGTGCCAGAGGTCCTCACCAACCCTCATGTCCAATGGGCTGGAGGCTATGAAAACAGCAAAGTCTTGAGGCAAGACAAGCGATGCTACAGCAGCAGAGGGGACTCAAGTTCTCATCTGCTCATTCCCATCCGCAAACGTGCGGTGCCTGCTCTGCGGCAAGAGCATCTCTGCTCCTGTTTCTGTATTTATCCACATCAGCGTGGCCAAATGAAAGAAAGAGACAGGTCACGAGGAGCTGCCTCGGGGAGAAGGGATGCTGGCATGTGGTACCCAGTGCTGAGACTGCTTGCTTTGGAGCCAGAGCCCCCAGCAGCTGGGGCGCAGATGTGTGGGGCACAGAGAATGCCCGACCTTTCTGGGTGCAGCCCTGGTCTCTGCCCAGATGCTGCTCCCCGAGGCACTGGGGCTTATACAAGCAAGGCAGCAGCCAAGCCACGCGAGGGGAGGAAGCAAAGGGATGTCCCCAACTGCACCCAAGTCATGTGCTCTGGCACGTCATGCCCAGCAGCACGGGCATGCAGGGAACGCCCCTTCCAGTGCCCCCCCCGAAACAACAAGGCATCTTCAAATGCTGCTTCAGACAAATCTTAGGTTTTCAGACAAGACTGCCTTCATACTCTCTACCTCAGACATCTATTTCAGCTAAAGCAGTGACCTAAGTCATTTGCAGTGTAGATGGAAGGAAAAAGCAGCTCTTCCTCATCTCGGAGCCTCCTCAGCACAGGCTGAAGGTCTCAGTGCAAGCACCAAAACCCACCTCCAGCCCCAAGGAGCAACGTGGCCACCTCTGCCCCATTCTGCACAGAAAATGTGTCAGCACTTACTGAAAAGGCATCTTGGGCTTCACACATCCTGGCCACTGAGGTCTGAAACTCCCCAATGAAGTCGTGTCCCCCGTCGCTGTCGTAGTCGTAACACATGACCTAGAATCACAGAACACCCCAAGTTGGAAGGGACCCACAAGGATCACCAAGCCCAAGCCATGGCTCCACAAAGCACCAACCAAATCCTACAGCTGAGAGCAGTGTCCCAACACTCCCTGAGCTCCAGCAGCTCAGGGCCATGCCTGCTGCCCTAGGGAGCTGTTCTGTGCCCACCATTCTCTGGTGCAGAACCTTTCCTATAACCCTCACCTGACCCTCCCCAGACACAGCTCCATGCCACTCCCTCAGACCCCGTCGCTGTCACCAGAGATCAGAGCTCCACTTCTCTGCAGGGAAGCTGTAGGCTGCCACAAGGTCTCCCCTCATCCCAAGAGGAAGCTGAAGGGCCATCATTACCTTAATCAGCTTCTCCACATCTCCATCACACAGTGACACTAAAGGCACAGTGAATGGCTTCCAGACGGGGTCTAATGTGTACTTGATCACCTGTGGGATGGGAATGGAAGGATGCAGTTACAAAGGGTAAAACAGGACATGGGCACAAAGGATATATAAAGGTGTCCTCTGTATCCCTCACCCCACCTATCGCTTACTGCCCCACTATTTCCATCTAAGTAGAGTGGTGGGACACCACAACCATCACGGAGAGCTGAGCAGTCCTGGATATACCCAGATCTTGCCTTATCTGTGTAACAGCTGCTGCACGAGCTGGAGAAATGTAATTGATGCTTTTTAACATGCACTGAGAAAAGGCAAGCTGTATGTGCTGCAGACCTTAGAGGTGCTTGGAGGGCACGTGAAGATGCTTTCACAAAGGTGCCCTGCTCAAAGAGAGAGACTGATGTGAATCTCAGTCCAGGACACAAAGCTCAGAGGTGTCAAGCAGCTCAGGCAGAGTTTCTGCAGGACAGCATTCTCTATGAAGCACCAGGAGCAAGCCTGATGAAGCAGCCACCTGAAGAGGTGTAAAGGCAAGTGCTATGATGGGATGTTCTCTACAGCCCCTTCCTTTGCACAGACTGCACCCTTCAACATCACCTCCGTGCCCCAAGAGGCTGCACCTGCTGCAGGTATCACAGGAGCAGAATGGCTCAAAGGTTTAAAGGAAAAGGGAAAGGAAAACATACGGAAAGTCAGCAAGGGGTGACCACTGAGCAACATCACTCTGTGTCAAGGCAAACATAGGGATCCCTGGAGCAGAGGACCCATTGCATAGGACCCTAGAGCTTAGCAGCCAGAGCTACAGGAGGTGCAGGGAATGCATGGGGCAGAGCCAACCCTACGCCAGTCTTCTCACTGGTGTTCGTTTGCATTGCAGAACAAACCCACAGCCCCAGAACACAAGACACGCAGGAAGTTTTGCCTCTCTTCTCTCCAAAGCCATCAGCTCCTCCTGCTGAGACCAGGAACAGCCCAGCCAGGCGAGGAGCATGTCTGTCCCCATCGTTCCAGGACAGAGCTGACAAATAACCACATGGGGCTTGCAATGGGCTTTTATATTACAGACTGACAGACTGGGAAAAACCTGACACTGCAAGCACAGTTTAGCAGAGAATTTGTAAACACCTCCTCCAAGAGGCTGGGAGAGCAGGGAGCCCACGCAGGGAGGCACGTGTGTGGAGTGGAGCCCATATGCTGCCAGCCACCAGGTCCCACGGGTGGGTGGTGCGAGGATCCTGCTCCTGCACTGCACACAGCCAGCTGGGCTCAGCTCCTCCTAAATAACAGGCTGGAAGGAGAATGCTAACCCTTCCCTGCAGCCACCTCCCTCCTGACATGACAAATGCCAGCCTCAGGCTAACACCTGATTATATTCATGTACCCAAAGCTGTAAGAATGGAGAATTTACTTTCTGTGTATCCGATCTCAAAATATGAAGCTGCTTGTCTGGCATGAGGGCAGTACCTTAGGGAGGCTGCTGCAACACTTTCTCCCCACTACTTAAAAGAAAACCCAGCAAGATCCTTATCCACCTCCCAGGAGATCCCATCCCCCTTCACCAGGGATTTATGAGATAATGTCATTATGTTTAAAAGGAGCTAAGGATCGTGGTGTTGCAGTAGCTCACCTCCGTTCTATGGACCAGCATCCATTTCCCATCATCACCGGGTTTATAGAACTCCAAGAAGGGGTCTGACTTTCCAAACAGGTCCTGGGGAAGAACAACAGCACACAGCTTATACAAGGATTTGCAAGTTGCTCAAGCAGCCACTGGTCCAAGACACTTCCTTCCTCCTGCTTTTCCTGTATATCAGTGCGTGAGTGGTCCATGGGGAAGCTGATTCCCATGGTGTCTGTGTGGGTCCTGCAGGTCCTGTCAGTGCTCACACCGTGTCGTGGCCTTCCTGCACCCAGGCATGTGTCTGTGAGACTTTGCTCGTGGATTCCACCCCCCTGCACACTCTCTGGACACCAATGCCACAACAAACAGCCCCAGCTGAGAGGCAGCTGTGTTTAGGTTAGAAAAACAACCAGAGCTTCAAAGCACAAACAGAATTATGAAATGTATGAGAGTCTGGGGGGAAAAAAAAGCCCTCCTACACACAGCAGGAAAGCATGAGCAGAGCAAATCTTGAAGAAGCAAGCTGCACGGGTGTTGACAGAGATCATGCAACACCATCTGAGACGCACAGACTTCAGCCAGCATGTGTTTGCTTTCCTTAGATATCCTCCTGATAAAAGGACACTGCCGTATGGCAAACACAGCACACATCCCTGCTGGGCATCTGCACGGGGTGACTGAGGTCTTGGAGCAGCACAGGAAGGCTGATGAGAGGATCCCCAGTGCTTGCAAGAGATCGTTGCTCCCATTCAGAAAAACTGTGATAAAAACCAACCCAACCCAAAACACTCCAAATGATTTCCTCTTTCCTGAGAACTCCAGAGGGAGGTGGCTGCCTGAATTCTCAAATGGCTGGAGGATCCTTCTGGTTTCCAGGGGACAGAGTGGGGATGCTCATGGCTGGGGGATGCTGGGGGTCCCAGTCCAGGAGGCAGCAGCTGGCGTGGTGGCAGGCTCCAGCAGAAAACCCTTTACTGCTCTATCCAAACTCTGTTTCCAAAGCCAGCTGGAAACATAAATCACTGCAAGTATTTTGGCTTGGAGAAACTGGAACCTGCTGTAGTCAAAACTCATAGTCACCTCTGATGACTGCTTTCATTTTATTTTATATAATTTGCCACAAGTTAATTGCCACAATGAAAAATAGTCCACTAAAGCTTGCAGGGAAACTCTCTGATGCTGTTTTCTACCTATGTTTTCTCATGTTTGCAGAGGAGCAGGATAAGCCATTCTTGCTGCAAGAGACTTGGTTGCAATACAGCACTGTGCCAGCTTACACAGAGCCTGAGCTCAGTGCTCCAAAGCTTCACTGCTGAATTAAAGAACCAGTAGTGCACACCCAGCCCCATGGACCCTGGCCCTGCCTACTCCAGCTTAACCTGCAACCTGAACTGGGTTCATTGCCACTGATCCCACAGGAAGTGACAGAGATGTGGGCTCAGATGGCAGCAGGGAGCAGGGCAGGATCCCAAGCAAAGCACATAGAGCCCAGTCAGCCCTGCTCCATTCAAAGCAGGGTGGGAGATGCCTCCAAGCCACAGGATTGTGCACCCTTATTGTAAAATGTCAAAACCACCACCACCATCTCACCCATGCAAGCCTGGCAGAAGGTGGAAACTGAGCTGCTGGGATTGGGATCACTGGGGGTGAGCCTTCTCTTCTGCAAGATTCTTCTTTTTCTAACAACTCTACCAAGAGCTGATCTGACATGAGGTACAAAAGCCTCAGGTTGGTTCTGCTGCTGACATTCCCCCGCTGAGAAGGCTTGCTGTTTGAAGCCATGCAGTGAGCAGTGCACAGACAAGCCACAGGTTCATGATCAAGGGGAGGAGAACCTGCCTTTGTTCTGAGAGAGGTCTCAGCGTTGGGTTTGACACTATGGAGAGAGCTGATCAGCAGTATGGATGTCAGTAAGAGATTCTCAGCTTGGGTGCAGCGTATCATAGAATGGCTGGGTTGGAAGTGACCTTAAAGCCCATCCAGTTCCCACTCTGTCATGGACAGGGATGCCAGCCACTAGATCAGGCTGCCCAGGGCCCCATCCAACCTGCCTTAAATGTCTGCAGTTTCCTTTCACATGTGCAGAGACCACTTTCATTTGCATTCTGCTCTGAAGTGACATGACCATTCCCTGAGCACCAGCAAGACTCTGAGCACTGCTGTGGTGTTCTGTTTAGAGGAATCAGAAAGGAAACCCCACCAGCTCCTGGTAACTGCAGAAGAACAGCAAGGAGCTTTCTGCTGACATCTACTGATAAACTGGAAAGAAACCCAGACAGATTATTCACAGTCCTCAGCCCAGCACAACTATGTCTACATCACAAACTGCCTGCCGATAGCACTGCAGGTAGATGCTGAATTTCTGTATTTTGGCTGTGGGTCTGAAGGACAGTAGACCAACCTACGATGACTTGTTGGAAGTATATCACCAGACTTCAGCTCTGCATAACCTAGGAGAAGGACTTGGTTGAAAATCAGGTTAGAAAGGAAACTCCTGTCTATGGAGCAAGTGATGACAACAATTCAGTTGCCAATGTAACAACTGCGTATATGCCTGAGGTACCAGCATCACAGTGAGGCTTGGTGAGGAACCAGATGCTTGGCTCTGGTCTTCACAACAGCCATGGCTACAGAGCCATATAGGAACCACATCTATAATGAAATCTCATCCCTTGCCTTGCAAGAGGGCAGAGGCTTTTTCATGGGAAGAAAGCTGCTATATCAGAGATTTCTTCACTGCCATGCATAGGGCTGACTCAGCCACATCTCAGAAGTCACCATCTCAAAGATGTTTTCCAGCTCGTTTAGGAAATGAAATTACTTGGTGATTCCTCAGTAGGAGCATCCAACTCTTTGCACTGTGGAATAGTAGATAGGATAAGTGGAAGAGCAAGGTAACAGTCATTCCCAACAGCTGGGGAAAACATTTGGATAAACCGTCTGGTTTGGACAATGGGACTGAACATAGCAAGTGTGCCTGGCTGCATGCTTTACTGTGGTTTGAAAACCAAGGGCCATCCTACCAACAACACAAGCTCTGGAGATACTAGGAAGGAAGAAAAAAAAACAGAAAAAAAAAACATTGATTGCTTAGCAACAGAACTGGTTTAAGAGGAATCGTTCTGGTTGCCTGGTAAATAAGGTCAGATTGTTTTGTTCAAAAAGGCTTACGGTTACCCTGCATGTTACATCCAAAGCAAAAAATAAGCATTATCTATCTCCATGAGGTTGGTGCTTCTTCCTCTGGAAAGATGGGCCCTCCTCTGTTTGATATAAACAAACACTCACTCAATTTGAAGGAGGGCTAGAGGCAACAAGCCAGGAGCACTCAGCACTTCTGAAATGCTGAATTGAGGGGTATCAAAACTGTCAGCCCAGTCAGGAGACATTTCCAGACAGCAGCCACTGAAACAATAAATCTGGCTCAGAACATTGTTTTTAAGACATGATAGTACACAGGTCCTGCGTCAAACAGAATCCTTCCTTCTAAAAGTGCATTATGAAGAATTCCACATCCTAACAGCAGGGAGTGACACAACCAGGACCTGACTCTGGACCTCCAGCCCCAGCCTCCTGCTTTCCACATAGAGACAGCTTTATGACGCTACTGTACTCACAAGTAGAGATCTCCTTAGATCCACTAGCCTATGAGAGACAGAAGTTTAACATTTACATTCTCCTGACACATCACGACTCACCTTTTTATCCAGTTTCCTGCCAGCCATACTCAGAGTAATCACCCTGTTGTCTGACAGCTCTTGGGCAGCTATCTGAAAGACAAGGGGAAGCTGTGTTCATTTTAACATGAAAAGTCAGTAAACAGAGAACCAAAACCCAGAGGACAATCCTGCAATGTGAGGATGCACATCCTGGAGATGTGCAATTCCTACAAAAGTCATTCTCAAGTTTCTGAAGATCTAATGTACACAGTATCCCACTATTGGAGAGTTAAACTAATCTTGCCTTTGCCAATCAACAGATGCTTTGGACAAGATCTGTGTTGCTTCATTCTCTGAGCTCCTGGCACTCTGGTAGCTCACATTTCCTCTCTTTCCCCCCCTCCTTCCTCACTGAGTGGTAGGAAAAGCCTGATAAGGGAATTTGGATACCTTATTGCTCTCGACAACTCCCCGAAAGGAGGTTGTGGTGAACTGGAGCTGGTGGCCTCTTCTCCCATCTGACAGTTATAGGATGAGAGATAATGCCCTCAAGTTGTGCCAAGGCAAGTTCAGGTTGGATATTAGGAAAAACTCAGAAAGAGCAGTGATGCAGTGGCATAGCAGCCCAGGGATGGGGGGGAGTCACCGTGGACTAGATGATCTCAGAGGTCTTTTCCAACCTTAATAATTATGATTCTATGAATTCCCTGAGAAGGTCAGCAGTAAGATGGAAGCTATGAAAACAGAGCCAAAATCAGATCCAACACCACAGCCTTTGCCCCAGCCTTGAAACAATTGACGCCTATCAGGCCTGGCTACCCAGAGTCACACAGCTGCCAGCAAAGCATCCACCAGAGCTGGTCTCATGCAGCCATTTCTGTGCATGGGCATGCCCAGGTGTCCTTGTTGTGGTTTGAGACATAGTGACACTACCAAGGACCAAGTCAAGGGCAAGTAGGAGCTACAGAAAACACTGTCAACTCATTATCCACATCCCAGACCTTAGGGCAATCCCAGCAGCAATGCTGCCTGGAGTTGGGCCACGTTCACCCACCATCACCCATCAAGATGGCCCCAAGGACAAAGACCACTGCAGTTCCTGATGGCTGCAGCAGGCACAAGTGCAGCCTATGTTACTTCAGTTTCAAAGATTTTTCTCACACACCCTCCAAAATGGCTTTGACTGCCAAAGACCAGTGGGCTGGTTTTGTCTGGAGCACCGTCTAATTGAGTCTCCTGGTATTCTAAGAAAGAGAATGTTTATAACAACAACAACAAAAAAAAAAAAATAACCACCCCACATTTACTCACTCACGTTAGCAGTTGCTTTCTGAATCACTTGCATTTCTTCTCCAGGCTGTGTCCTATCCAAGCATCTGCTCTCCACCTCCCATCTCCTGTTCTTCCCTTTCCCCTCACCAACAAACTGCCTTTCACTGGGCAGCAGGGGCTTGGGTTGTCCTTCACTGGACAGGCAGCCTAATTACTGGGCCTTTCTACAACTCAGTGAAATCAAGGGGACAATATCCTGCAGAATGAGCAATTAGGGGGGTTATTCACACTGATGGATGCAGGGGAGCATGCACAGATCGTGAGGCAGTCACAGCCTTTGAATCTGCTCAGGCACAGCTTCTTCCATTAGGACACCTCTCCTCACAGGGCTCTCTTCCCTGCCTACCCCAGAAGTTTAGATTTATTTAAGGACATTGCCTTCAAATAAGTGGATTGTTTTCCTATGTACTTTAACAAAACCAAAGCATCACTCTTCTTCTCCACACAGCCCTTAGTGGACATGCACGGTGGTCAAGTGGCAACAGGAACAGGAGCTGCAGGAAAACAAACTACCTTTGCAGACCACAGCAGATCCCACCTGGAGTCCCTGCAATTTTGGGCTCTTCAGAGGCCAAGGTAGAGCTGGGTCACACATACAAACGATGGCGACATCTCCCCATGGAAACTAACATCCCTGCTGCTTTGTAAAGACCTCAAGATTCACTCCTACAGTGATGTGCTTTGGGATTTTCCACATCTTTCAAACCTCAGGATTCTCACTCAATCCTAATACTCTAGCCGAGGCACTTCTGTTGCACTCAGCCCTATGACATTTGCGTGCTCCAGTTGAGAAAACGGAGACCTGGATAAAGCTGAAGAGACTGTGGGTGAGGAAGGCAGGGTTTGGCTCCCAACCCCACGTTCTGTGAGCCCAAAGACGACTGTCTCTGTTGGTGCTGGCAGCACAAACCCTGGGGCATAAGCTCCAGCAATGTGTCAGGCTGCGAGGACCAAATGCTGCCAGCACACAAAGCAAAGCAGCAGACATCCCAGCCCCCCTGGTTTTGATGATGCATTAGTGACAGATCAGGAGCTTCCTCCTTTAAAGCTGGAAACCTTTGAACTTGACTGGAAACTTTTCAACTCCTTCAGTTCTTCCCACTCCAGTGGCAGGTATGGGGCAGCAAGAGCCCACTTCTGGGGAAGGCACATGGCCTGCTTCAACGCAGCTTCTCCTTTTGCCTTTAAAGATTAACTGCAGCAATTAAGAGAGAAAAGCTAACAGCATCTTCCCAGTCTCTAGAGCAAACAGCAATGGGAGATGTCCTTGCAGCAGGCACATCTTGGTCTTTTAAAATGTTTTTAGACCCATCTGGTGCTATTAGACCTGCCTGCAGCTTAACTCTTTGTTGGCTTTTTCTTCTACACCTTTGCTGCTCTGCTGCAAGTTTAACATAAACTGGAACGCAGAAGTGAACGAAAAGGATGGGAGATGCGGCATGGGGGAAAATGAGCCTAAATTTAGTCTCTTCTTTAAAAAAAAATAAATAAAAATCACTAAATAGATCCACAGCAGGAACACCACTGCCCGAAGGGGTCTGCAGCAGGAGCAGAAGCTGTTGCTATGAGACCTGTTGCTACGGCAGAACTCTCATCCTCTTCCTACAAACAAAACCACTGACTGTCAGCAAAGGAATCAGCCCTTTTACCTTTGGCTGCTCCGGGGAGGTCTGAACAGGCATCATGTACAAGATAACAAACAGCAGCACGTATTTACTTTGTTCTTCTCCAGATTTAGCATTTCTTATTTTAGTGCTCAGAGACAAAAGCACAGGCTGAAGTCACCAGACAAGGACTGGGCAATACAATTTCCTCCAAAGAGACCAAAGGTGGGCAGGAAAATGGGAGGCGAGGGAAAAAAGGGACATCAACCCCAGCCCTGCTGGTGTTCTGCATCACCTGCAGTTTATTATCTGCATTCACACACTCTGTGGGTAAGGTAAATGAGTTACTGTACCGTTATCATCCCCTTCCCAGCTGGCTTGCCATTCCCCAGAAGGAGAGTTCTCGTTATTTTCTTGCTGGAGACAATCTAGGAGAAAAAAAAAAAACCAACAACAAAGAAAATAAAGTCATGTGATCAAATGCAGACTCATAAGCAACTGATCATTGCTCACGTTAGTCAAATCGTATTCAGTATTTACAGTGGTAAAAGAAAGATGCCACATTGAGAGCTGGCCACGATGCTGTCAGTGCCACCATTGCTACCCAAGAACCCTGTGAGCTTTCCCCACAGATTGCAGAGCCCCACACAATGACCTGCTGGTACCAGCTGTGCTCTTCTCCCATTCCTACCAGCAAACCCTTCCAAATCTACAGGCTACAGTTTAAAAGAGCAGCCCCATCCATCCTTCTGTCTCCACCCTTGGCCCTATGTCACACAGCCAGAAAATAATAATAATAATTAGAAGAAAACCATAATGAAATGGCTTAGCTTCTAGCTCTTGTTATCCAGCTGCACCTGAATTCCTCCTATTGCTCTCCAGAAATGCTTTTCTCTCTCTTTCTGTAATTTTGAGGCAAAACCCCTTCCCACTGAGACTCCTACAGTAGTGCTGGGATCTTCAATCCACCATGCCCTGCAGCTTTGGCTCCAAAACACCCCAGAATCCCCAAATAACAGGGCTAGATGTCTGTTCCTTGCTGTGGCATGAGATTTCTTCATAACCTGACAAGCAGCAACCACGGACACACTGCAGTCTGCAATTTGATCCCTTTTAAGGTTTCACTTGGCCACAGGGGTCATTACAGGCTTCCGAGTGATCCAACCATCCTTTTAAATCTCACCACAGACTAATTAGCTGCAATAAAACAATCCAGCTAATCTGACAGGGCTCTGATGGCAACACAGAACTGGAAAGTCAGGTGCTGGGTGTGCGGTCCAGCAAAGGCAGGTTCCTGCTGCCCCAGCCTGCTCTCCTTTCCTTCTAACAGCTGCTTGTGCCTCAAAACAACCAGATGGGCTTACAGAAACATCTCACCAACCAAAAAACAGACTTCAGAAAACCCAAAGCAATATGGCTGAGTTCACAAGTCCTCCCCATCCCACCCCTCTCCTCCATAGGTCCGGCAATAGCTGGGCTCCTCCAGGACCTTACACAGAATCATTAAGGTCAGAAAAGACCTCTCAGACCCCCAGGTCCAATCCCAACCCATCCCACTACGCCCACATCCCCATGGCTCTGGGACACCTCCAGGGACGGTGACTCTCCCACCTCCCTGGGCAGCTGTGCCACAGCATCACTATTCTAAGAACTTTTTCCCAATATCCAACCATACATGAGATGACTCTTCCACCCTCTTCCCTAATGCATATAAAGGATGCTTCTCTCCAGTATGAGGCTGCAGAGCCCAATACTCCTGCAGAGCCACGCTGAGGCTTCAGCTCTGTTTCGTCATGTCCACAAACTCTCTTTTCACAGTGTTCATCAGGACTGTGCCCTCCATAATGAGCACTGCTGAACTGTGCCAGAGGTGGCTGCAGCCAACAACAGAACAAATACTGAATGGCTTGGCCTAAACCACTGAGCAACAGCTCGGGCTGTTTCCTGGGCTGTCTCTTAATTTCTGCAGGATCAAAATTAGGTCATTGCAGAGTTCTTCTGAAAACACAGACATTAAACCTCAGTCAGTAAATGTCAGTGCTCTTCTGACAAGTTCTCAACTTGGCAACAGCAAAGTTACTCAGCTCCCTTTGGCATATGCAGTACCAGATAGTATGTAATAAAGTGACCACATTCACCAGCCTCCTTGGACACCTCAGGCGAGCTGTCCATACCAACCCACCTACTACAATGCCTGCCATCCCCAGCCCCTTTGCTCATGCCAGGTACCACAGTAGTCCTGGGCAGCTGGAGGCTGAAAAAGAATGGAAAAATCTCCCTCATTTCTTGCCTCTGAGTCAGAGCATGCTCAGAAGACAAGTTTGGAGAATTTAGCTGCCAAATTCTAACAGGGTCTGGGCTCATGAATGCAAAGACCTTCCAAAGGCTTATAAATCACATCTGTCTCAAAAGTTTTTCCATAGGAAGAGCAGAGGACACATTCCTGCACCAACATGCTACAGTAGGAGGCATGATTTACTACCCAACAGCAAGGTTATTGTGCATGTGTTTTTCAAATGCTTTATTCTCAAACAGAAGAAAGACATCATTCTTACTACAAAAGTTTTGCAAAAAAAAAAAAAGAAAAAGAGAGAGAAGTTGATCTGCAATGCATCCTAATTGTAAACACCTGGAAGTTTTTCAAGTCCAAATCCAAACTGGTCATCATGGCTATTACTATAACCCTTACTGACAAACAGGTACCTCCAACACCTTTCAGTGCAAGTGTCCAAGACAAATGGGTGCAATGCCCTCCTGCACTTCCCCAAGGATTTAGTCTCTGCAAGCAACAGCAGGTGCCCACCCAACAATCAACTCAGATTTGGGCAAGTAACCAACAGCCCTAGCATGAAACACTTCAACCCAAAGAGATAAAGTGTGACAAGCACCCAAAGCACTTTTTGCCAGGAATGACCCAGCAAATTTTACAGCAGGTAAGAGATGTAGCTCTGCCCCCTTCAACTTCCCTGAGGATGGTGTGATTTGGGTCTCTTAGCTGGAGGATGAGCTGCAGGAATAGGACATCAGAGACTCACCGTGCCCAGCGTGCAGGAGAACTCGCCGAGGAAGTCATGCTCATACAGCTGCGTGCTCGACTTGTCCTGGTCAAACAGGGCAAACCTGAGCTTCTGCACTTCTTCGAAGTGGTAGTCAACAACAAACTTCTTGGAGAAGGCTGGGTTGAGGTTGTTCACAGCTGTTTCTGTCCTGTCGAGCTGCAAAGACAAAAAAAATGGACAACAATACATCTATACTTTGCATCCTTGTCGCTGCAACGTCTCCCCTCTGACTGCACCTGGAGCCCTGACATCTAGAAGCCCTGTGGTGGCCAAAAGAGCATGAGAGCAACAGGCACACAGCAGACACAACCCTAAACACATGTAAGATGGGTTGCATCTAACAGAGAGCTGTGTCCCTGAGGACAGGATGCCAGGGATTGGAATGGGCTCAAAGCTTATTGAAGCCACAGCCTCTGCATCAGCTTCTGACACTTGCTGCTGTCCAGGACACAGAATGCCCCTCGAGCTCATGCTTTCACACCTCCCACCTGCTGCTCTGGTCCTCTGCCAATCACACTCACACCTGTAATGCTTTCAAAGTCAACCACAACTATTTCTTTCAGGCCACACAGCTAACAGCAAAAACAAGTGAAAAAACAAAGTGTCACAACTCAGAAGAGTAACCTTCTAGCGTTTCCTTCTAGATCTCATAACAAAACATTCATGTGGTTTCTTCTTTCTTGGCCTTCCATAGAAGAAAGACTTAAATCACCAAATCACTGTGCTCCATTTTTCCTGGCTTTCACCCAGCATTAGCAGAAGCAAGAGGCTGGAAGGATGCACAAGGCAGGATTTCAGTGGACTCTGATATCCAAAATAGCTCTGGAATTCCCTCAGCCAGATAGAGCATCTATACAACTTCCTTTGTACAAACAGAGTGGGGATTACAATGAGCCCAGCACAGGAGGGATGTGAGGTGGGTCCAAATGGGAATCTCCCAGCTCTGAAGTGGGTCTTCCTGCAGCCTAGAGCTTGGCCAGCTGGAGACACTCATCCCAGCTCTGGCTGTTGCCTAAAAACAACGTGCTGAGCACATCCAGCTTTGCCCCAGACTCATTTTGTTGATGAGGTGGCCTCAACACACACAGACTCGAGGCTCCAAACTGCAAAGACAGCACAAAAAACCCTCACTCTCCTGTTGCTGCTGCTATACAACCTGGAGTTTGGATATTCCCATGTGAAGGAAAGAGAGCTCCCCTCAGCTCGAGTTTTTTTGGAGAGCTGGAGCTGGTAGGATCTCTTACTGCTATGTTCTGCTCTTCTCTGATGTTTCAACAGTGGCAGAGGTTGCAGTAGCAGCGCTGGCTTGAACACACTGCAAGTCTGAGATATGTAATTAACCATCAGACACATGGGCTTCATGTCCACATGCACCTGCTGCCATGGGAAACACTTGGCGCTGCTCTCCAAGAGGACTTTCCAGAGGGAGATAACCAGGACTCAGCACCCTGCAGAGAAGGCAGCGGGTGAAGGCTGATGGATGGTCACAATGCACTCCTCCAAAGCCTCCAAAACCCTCCTGCACCAGTATGGTGGTGGCCACAACCATCCTACGACCAGCCTGCTGGCTCCCTAAGCCCTGGAGCAGCAAAGGGTCACCAGCCTGCCCTGAAATGAATAAGGGGAGCCAGAACTCAGATCTTTGCAAGACACAACCCAGATCCCACGGCAGCTTGTCTGCAGCAAGCAGCTCCTGTGCTGGCACCACCGACTGCAGGACAGATGGATGCCTGCCAGAGCAGCAGAGCCAGAAATAAACACATCACAGCAGGAAGGAAAAAAAAAAAAACAGAAAAAAAGCACACAGTCTCATAGTCCCAGTGAAACTCATTCAGCATACAAGAAATAATCTGGAGGGACTAAGTGAAAACGTGGTAAGTTTGTTATATATACACCATTGTAGTATTTTTAAAGTTGGTCACTTAGTCTGTTTTAATTGCCAGAAGACTGAAGGAAATGCTGTACTCTTAAAATAGCCACCTGCAGCACCCTCTGGGGAGATGGGAATCAACTAAACCAACACGAGTGGGCTGTGCACCAACTGGGGCAATACAGCTTTACACAGATCCTTCCCTCTCAGCCACCACCTGCACTTCAGGACCCAAATGCCTGCTCAGAGAGATGCTCCTGGCAGACCAGGAGCAGCAGCCATCAATGAGTTCTACCTTATCTGAACAGCACAACACACACCAATCCCCTTTCAAGCCTAGCTGATGAGACTATGCAGGCAACAGGAATGGATTTGAACTCCTTTCATGTACCCTGAGCTAATGGGAAGCCTGGGAACAAGTCAAAGCAGGATGAAAAGTGAGCTCACATCAGGCAGCCACCTGCCCTTTGGGGTAGCAGCTGGCTGAGAAGGGGCAGCAGGCTGCCTGCGCTTCCTCCTGTCCCACTGTTATCCAGAATGCCTCTGCAGCAAGGCTAGAGACAAATCTGGGATGCTATAGGGCAAATACAGCATTGCAGGTGGGGCCTCATAACAGCAGAGTAGAAGAGGAGAATCCCCTCCCTCGACTCATGCTTCTTCTGATGAAGCCAAGGATACAGTTAACTTTCTGGGTTGCAAGCACACACTGACGGCTCATATCCTGATCTTCACCCACCAGCATCCCCAGGGCATTCTCTGCAGGGCTGTTCTTGACCCTTTCAGCACTCAGTCTGCCCTGATACTGGGGATGGCCCTGACCCAGGTGCAGGACCTTGCACTTGGCCTTGTTAACATGTCCCATGCTCACCCCCACAAAGTGAAGAGGCTTCCTTCAACACCCCGATGGCCAAATGTTCCATCACCTGTACACTGCGAAGCACAACTAAATCACAAGCCTCAGCTGCTTGCTACACATGTATTTCAATCTTCATCTTGGTGCAGCTCTTTACCTTCCACCTTGCTGATGACCGTTCTGTATGAGGGCTTTTCACACCAGGAAATAAATATGCCATTGGCTCCTGCCTCCCCTGTGCACTCAACACAACTACATGCCCTGCAAAACGCAAAGCTGGCTCTGCATCCCAGCAGAAAAGCACAAGGGTTTTGAAAAGGCAAGCAGGGTAACTAAAGACTTGTCTTCAGAGCCTTGATCCTACAAAGCAAGCACAAACCCAGGGAATTTTCTCCACTGGCAACCTCTTGTGGTACACAAATGCAGCCAGAGTCCTCCAGTTTCTGCTGGGATTTTGCTGGAGATATTCAGTATTGTCTGTCACCTGGGAGATGCTCTTCCAAGGGGCAGGGAACATGGGATGGACACATTTGGGAGCACCTAGGAGCCCCAGGTCATATATGGGGCCATATATACGGTGGCCTCCATATTCTTCTGAGATGAGCAGTGTGGGAGATGAGGACAGTCCAGGCTCAGGAGAGGTGACTCAGAGTGGCACAAAAGTGAGGGAACAGCTGAGTCACAGGCCAGGTCCATCCTGGCTCTTACAACATGATGTCATCAGGCAGAACACTGACATATTACCCATCTTTATGCCACATCTGGGACTGTGCTTTTTGTCTCTCCCTCTACCACCCCCTCCAAGGCTGATTCATGACCATTTTGTTGCTTTTTTTTTTTTTTAATTCTTCTTAAGCTCAGTGAGACAAAATAATTGTATTTGGGAACAGATATGACAGCTGGAAGAAGCAGCCCCACCACCCAGGCACAGATGCTGGCACCACCGTGCTACCACAGCACAGGGACACAGGAAGGGTTGGGTGCTGGCTATGCCCACAGCATGCTCCACGTCTGCAGCTTGGGTCATGCACTGACCTCTGCTGAAGGCACGGCAGCAGAGCATGGAGGAATCTGCTGTGGATCACCTATTTTGCCAATTAGACAGCTGTAAAAATAACAGAAGGGGGAAAAAAAGCAAAACTTGCATTGTAAAAAAAAAAAAAAGAAAAGCTTTGGAATCAAAACTACTGGACTGAAACGTTACTGACAGCAAAAGAGGAATTCCTGAAAAGCACAGTCAGGTCAAAGAGATGACACCTATCAAGACTGGAAAGCTCATCAGTTTCATCCAAGCTGCTGTTGAGCAGAGTTAATTGCAGAATGTGGCAAAAGTGAGGTCTGCCCCTACACCCTGCCCGTGACATCGAGATCAGCTGCAGGAAGCCTGAGCTGATGCCCATTGATTCACCATTTCCTTGCCAAGTGCTCAGGCTGCCTCCTAAATCCAAGTATCAGAAAAAAGAGACCACATAATTCCCATGGGAACTGGGGTGATTTAATGCCCCTCAGCTGCCCATTCTGTGCTGAGCTGACCAGCACTGCATCCATCTATCACATCCCAAGGCACTACATATCTGCTCTCTCCTCAACAAACCAAGGAACCCTTACACTATCTAACTCCAACTGCACTTACAAGATGAAATCCACATGTTTTTCTGCAGGCATTTTAGCTCAGAGTCTCTCCTTCTGCAGCCAAAAGGTATTTTCTAGGCACAGAGCAAAATGTTCTCGCACAGACAAGTTTGAATTCAAGACATTCATTCAATCACAGACAACACTCTGCCCTACAAGGACTGCTGCAGAAGGGAATGACAACCACAGTCTCTGCATATGATGTGCTGAACACTCAATAAAGCACCACGAAAACCACCCTTGGGAGCTCCCGCTCTGCTTCACACACACCTCATTCCAAAACCAGTCTAAGAGTACAAAAGGACCCAGGCACTCCTAACAAGCAGCCGTGGACTGACTTCCCAGACCTTTACCCAATACAGTTCTATCCCTTAGAAAGCAATTTTTCAAGTGAAACCCAAGGAACAGCTTGTCTCTGCTCACCCCAAAACACATCTTGTTCCAAGCAGGACATCACGATGGCTAACTGTTCCATGGGATCAGTGTTGCAGACACCCAGACCTAAAGCAGATAACTGCACACTGAGAAGCAACTTTTGGACCAGTTCACACATGGCAAGATGATTTCAGGCCCACCACACACCTTGCCTGGATTATTCTGAGCCTAGCCTGCTGTCATTAAACCAGCCTGCACAAAACAGCAAGGAATGATTGAAAAACCATGTGCCTGTGCACAGCCTTGGGATGGTGGAGAGGTTTCCACCTCATCAGGAGGTCAGTTCAGTGGAGGAACAAGGATAAGCCTTGCAGAGGAGACTCCTCCAGAATTACCTTCATTACTGCTTCCTCCTGGAGCATATCTCTGCAAGCTTCAGAAAGTGGATGGATTGGACTGGAAGTGATAAAGTGCCTTTCATAGAATCATAAAGGTTGAGAAAGACTTGTAAGATCATCTATCGAACCCTAGCCCAGCCCCACTGTGCCCACTGATCACGTCTCTCAGTGCCATGTTTCCATGGTTCTTGACCACCTCCAGGCACGGCGACTCCCCCACCTCCCTGGGCAGCTGTGCCAGTGCCTCACCACTCTTTCCAAGAATTTTTTTCCTAATATCCAACCCAAATCTCCCCTGGTACAACTTGAGGTCATCACTCTCATCCTATTGTCATTACCTGGGAGTAGAAGCCAACCCCCACCTCACCACAACCTCCCTTTCAGGGTTTGCAGAGAGTGATGAGGACTCCCATGAGCTTCTGAAACATCCCAGTTCCCTCATAAGACAGTGCTCCAGCCCTAAGGCTGCCAAGAAGCTCCTGTTTCAGTGTAGAAAAACCCAAACCCAACTCTTTGCTCTGCTGTATCTTCAAGGGGCTGCCATGATGCTGCAGGGAGAAGCTTGCCCTGATCAAGAGATAGAGCAGTGACAAGACCTGCAGAACTTCAGGGGGCTTGAAAGCTCCCACAGATCCCAGTGTAAGCTCATTTGAGAATTTATGGCTTGCCGTTAAAAGCACCTTATGGAAGCCCTTATCACAGGACTCCTGTGCCACAGTCTGGCCGAAAACTGAACACAGAGGGAAGGAAAAGATAAAGACACTGGAAGAAACGTTAATCCAGCTTGATCCAACCATGAGTAACACAGAGGCTCTTCTCTAGTTAGGGTGTGTCCTCTCTTTTTATCTACCTTGAGGACCTGTTAACAAAGCAAGGCACAGAATCACTCCTTTTTAAGGAATTGTGATCACACAACACTTCTTGCAACATCCGTGGGAAGGGATGGTTTATGTGACACCTCCTGCCTTGACTTGGTCAGCTCCTGGGCTCTCAGGCCCACGCAGAGCCCAGTCCTGCCAGACGTGCCGAGGCCATGGGCTACTCTGTCCCTAGCCTGTCTGCACTGGTGAGGTGTCCAAACAGGAGGCCAGGTGGTTTCCAAGTGCTCTGAAAAATGAAGGAATCCACTCAAGCTTCCTTCACAGGGTGTACAAGCCATGTTCAACACCATGATCAAAACACAAGTGTCATTAAGGACATCCACAGAACCAAACCATAGGAGGCAGAAATCATGCAGCTTCAAGACTTACCTCCACCCATTTTCCATTGATTTCCATGAAGAGGACGCAGAAGGGGTCAGACTTGGAAGTGACATCCCTGTCCAGCAGGTTTTGGCCACAGATGGACAGCTCAACTTTGCAGACACAGTACTGGGAGCCAATGGGCCCCGCTGGCGGTGGGGTCCCGGTGTACGCCATGGACTCCAGCAGCAGCAGCTCCAGGCAGTCTGCAGGACAGAGAGAGAGAAGAAAAACCTCAGGACAAGCTGGAAGGTGCAACAGCAAACGACACAAAGCCAAAGGCTCTCATGGCAGCACATGGCGTTCCCAAGGAGGAGCCCAGCACTGCAATTACAGTGTGCCCTGGCTTTGCTCCACAAACACCAGGTTTGAAAGGAAAGGTGATGTCCTCTGTATGTCCACTAAGAAAGCAGGAAGAAATGAGAGCTGGCGAAGAGCAGCAGGTCCGGCTATCACAGCCATCATTTCTGCCTATGGACAAGTTTGTTCATGGGACATCTCACTGCTGCTGATCTTCCTCCTCACCCTCGCTGTCTTGCCTTGCTTCCGCTGCAGCAAAGCGAGGCAAGGCAAAAGGCAAGGGATCCTGAATGAATAGTGGAGCAGAGGGAATATGGAAAGAGAAGGGAAGCAGAGAACCAGCCAATATTAGGGCGAGAGAAGGCTGAGCTCATCTAATGAGCGTGTGCTGGAGCAAGTTCACTGCACCACAGCAGGGAAGGAATCCCTTCCTGTATGCCCTACCTCTGTGTCATCCAAGCACTGAGCAGCCTCGGGTACATCCCCACGCCTTGGGTACACAAACACTGCAGCTGTGGGCTGGTGAGAAAGGCCTCCCAGCTGAGCAGTGAGCTGGATTCACAGGGAAAGGGATCTCTGAGAAAAGTGCAAGGCTGATGTGACAACCGCCCTATGACCGGGTGCATGGAGTGAGTTACAGGGCCTGATAAGATCTCACCTGGTCTAAGAGCTTACCAGAAGTCTGCAATCAAAGCTGTGTTACAGAGATAAATGTGAACTTTATACCATTATTATGCGACAACCCCATCCATCTCCCACAGGGCAGTTTTGCTTTCTGATGTGCAGTCCACTTGCAACAAACATAAAATGTCTCTAACAGAAAAGAGGGAAGAGAAGAAAGGGATGGGGGAAAGAGAGGAAGAGGCATCTTCAGACTGAGTTAAACTAATAAACTTTTATGGCTGGGGTTGCTATTGGAGAGACAGCTCTGCCCATCAGCTGGTTCAGTACCTTTCTCCAATAGCTCTCCTTGGCTCCTGGCTCATCCACATTATCTCAGAACCTCAAACATCATCTCCCTCCCCCTGATAAACCATCTGTTTGGCATGGAAATCCCAATTAATTAGCATCAGTTATTTGTTCTGCCTGGGCACAAGTGTCAGCAAGTGTCCATGCTCTGCTGCTGGAGATGGAGCAGGGATGAAGCAGGGATGCCACTGCTGCAGGGTGGGGGGAAGGAGGGGAACAGGCTCGGCTGCCCCTATCTGCCCATGGCTCTGACTTTAACCCCTCTGTATCACAACCCAATGCTCATCCAACCGAACACCACCACTCCCAATTCCAGCAAGGAGAAATGAAGCACAGGTGAGGAATCCTACTGCTGTATCCTTGAGGAGAAATACCCGCTGGTTCTTCAAACAGCATCAAAAAGGGCAAAAGAAGACCTCCCAGCCCAGCTGCCCACAGGCACTACCTGCCTGCTCCTCTCCAAGCCTGTGCTGCCAGTTGCAGCTAAAATTTTCTTTATTTTAACACCCAGATCATGCAATCTGTGTCTTAAAATAGGCAGGCCTGTTCTATTTATGCTGCTGTCTGATGCTGGTGCTGCCTTCAACAAGCACACGCAGGGCAGCTGTGCTGGCACAGACGGGGTCCTGCTGGAGCAGGGAGATCTGGGTTGCGTTTTTCCATCTCTCCCCTTCCCCCAAATCTCGTCAGTGCCTCACACAAAGCAGAGGCAGCAAATGACTCACTGGAAAAAGCTTTTTCCCAGGGCTGGCTGGCACCAGAACATCTGAGTGTGTTGCACATTGCCCGTACTCCAGCCCTGCCACTCCTCCAGGAGCTCGTGGCCTAAGCAGCCGTGGGGAAGGGAAGCAGAGCCTGAAATCAGGGACTGGGACATTGACCTCTCCATCCTGCCCACTGTGTCACAGGGGTGCCTGGTAAAAAACTCCCCAGGAAGGCAAAAAGCAGCAGGGAGATGCCACCAGCCCTTTGCCTACGATCCCAAAGATGATTTTTCCATCAGGGAGTTGCTGATGCAGGCCAGCTCTGCACTGAGGATGGAGATGCCTGAAAGAGATCTTGGCCACTTGTGTCACCCCCTCTTGCAGCACGTGTCCCTGGGTCAGGTTATGGCACACATGCACTGCCTTCTCCCAGGGTGTCGGGATGCCTGGAGCTCGGAGCTGGCTCTCCATATCTATATTCCAGTCTCTCCTCTTTTTTTGTTCTCATCTCTCTGCATTCCCCGCCCTAAATGAAGTCCTCCGACTCACTTGGCACCCGCAGCCAAATATTCTCCCAACATATAATCACAGCTGCCAGCTTCGTGCTCATTGTGCTGCCACGTGGTTCCCTTAATGCACGCCCAGCTCCCTGCAGAGTGGCTCTGGGCAGCAGGGGGTACGTTTGTCCAGTCCCCCACATCATACCTAGGAACACACCAGGGTGTCTCTCTGACATCCAGCACTGCTCACAGCAGATGTCTGATGACCAGTCCTAAGCATAGGGTAGAGAGATGTGTTCCCCAGACTCTTTGTGGGTTCATACAACTCCAGCAATCCAGCAATTCCTTCTCCTCCTTCCCCTCCTCCTCTTCTTTCCTTTCCCCCTCTCCCCCTCCCCTCCTCTCCTCCTCCTTTTTCCTTCCTCCTCTCTCCTTCTCCTCTCTCCCTTCCTCCCTTCCCCTTCTCCATCCTCCTCCCTCCCTCTCCTTCCTCTCCTCCTATTCCTTCCTTCCTATCTCCTTCTTCCTCTTTCTTCTCCCCCTCTCTTCTCTTTTTCCTCCCTCCTCCTCCTCTTTCTCCCTCCCCCAGAGAAGCCCAGCAAGCAGCACATCTCACTGGCCACATTTTCAGCACTAACAGGAAAAAGAAAAGCGAAAGAGAAAACAAACCACCCAAACTCGGACACAGGGTCAGAGTTTACGTTACGAAAGGAAACAGATGCACAGATTTTAGGGAAGCAGAACAATAACAGCTCCTCATTGGGATGGAGGGTGAGCACAGATCCTAGAGTGGTACAGCGGGTTCCGATGTGATGCAAACAAAACATGGGAGCTCTTTTACTATGAGCAGTACCCTCAAATTTCACTGATTTCCTCTCCGTGGGAAAGAAGAAATGAACGTTCTTCTTTTCACAGAGAACAGAAGCCTTCTCTTTTCCTGGCAAAGAGCACTGATTCCTGCAGGACGGCACAGAAGCCATGACTCAATTTACCCACTACAGCCTCCTACAAGGGGAGAAGCAGAGAACAGGAGAGATGGCAGCCAAGCAGGTAGTTCTGGGTTCACACAGAGGACATCTCTGAGCTCCCTTCTGTAAACAAACGTGATCATGGCCAGGATTATTTTGCAAAGCAAAGCGTTTGCCATGCAGCCTCGCCCAGGCATCACGGAGGACTCACCAGCCTGCACCTGGTGTCTGTAACAGCTCAATACACGAATGTGTCATCTCCCAAACAAACCCATCCTGATGGAAACTGTCCCTACAACCCCTTGGCAGGGACATAGTTTGACTATTTCCATCACTTTTTTCCCCCAAACCCCTACAGAGAAAGGATCTTCTCCCGCTTGTTCCCTGCTCCTGGAACAGCCCAGGTGGGTCTGCATGCATCACATTGCAAAGAGAGGGCTGGGCTGACCCTTCAGGGTATATATAAGGAACAATTTCTGCTCAGAAAAAGTGATGAGACACTGGGACAGGCTGCCCAGGGTCCCCGTGGTGGGAGAGCTTAACCCAGCAGAAGCTGCCTCCAGAGGGATAACAGGGAATAACTCACCCACACCCAAGCTCTGACAAGCAGAAGCTGGAGTTTAAGCTCTGGGCCCTGAGGAGCTTTTCCAGCCCTGAGGACAAGTGCTGCTGAGCTGCGCTTCCCTGCTGAGGATGGGTGATAGCAATGGGATGGCAGCAGCTGGAGCCAGGAGAGATGCTTTGAAGGTAGGCAGATGGGAGCAGCCAACCCCACGCAGTGCCCTCGAGCACGGCCAGACTCAGCTTTATCCACAGTCACCCCAGAACTGACCCAGGAGCCCAGCCAGGAGCTGTGGCAGATGTCAAGCACAGAGCCAACACCTCCAGCTGCCTCTCTGCCACCACCACACACAGCAGCAGAGGAATCGGCTCACGACAAAGGATCACATCACAACCCAAGTGCACCCTCCAACCAGGCCCACTGCCACTCACAAGCATGTTTGGATGGTACACACCACAACAACCATACATTTTCACCTGACTATATGCTTCCTTTCAGGCTCAATTTAGGAAAATCTGTGATTTAGGGCAGAAAATATTGTGATGTCACTGTGAACGCTGGCGATGGCACCGAACGCTCAGCAGGCTGCATTTATCGAGAAGTGAATGCTGAAGACAAATCCCAGGGCCAGGGCTCTCAGGTGCAAGGAGCCAGGAGCTGCCAGCAGGAAGGACAGCAGCTGTGCTGATGCCTTCCCACCCTGATAGATGTCTGAGATGGAAACTATTTGTCTCTTCCATCCCCAACACGCTTAGTGTACACCGGTTTATTGAGAGGCTTATCTAATATATTAAACCCCAAATTCTCTTTTTCTGAATTGTAATTGAATTCCTATTTCCAGTCAACACAAGGCAGAAGGGAAAAAAACATCTCTTCAGCAATGAGAAATATCCTTAAGCATTTTCCAACGTTGCTACACACCTGCAGCCCCCAGGCCCCTCCACCCCATGCAGGGGCAGGACTTGGCAGAGAGGGGTTTCCCAGTAAGCCTCCAGCAGCAGCAGAAAGCAGGGCTGGTTCTGGGGCAGGAACCAGGGCTTCCACCACCCTATAACCAATGCACCCCATCACAATCCCCAGCCCGCATCCATCAGGGTCACCATAAGCCAGCCAGGGCATGCACTGGGCTTGCTAAGCAACCAGAACTTCAAAGCCTGATGCTATAAATAAGCACTAATTAAGTTTTGTGCAATGCTAGTTCACACCGGCACGCTGACACCAAGCCACAATGATGCTGGGGACAGAAACCCAGCAGGAGGGCAGCGATGGAGGAGGCACTGCTGACACCCTTGCAGTTGGTGCTCAGCCTCATGCTGCCCACAGGCAGAACAACATCTCTCAGCACCCACCTTTTCCTAAACGATTTCCTCTCCACAGCTCGGCTGGCACAAAGCTTCACCCTGATGGGGTTTTGTGCAACAGGGACACAAAACCCCAAACGCTGCTTATAATGGGAATTAAGCCTGGTGGATTCACAGCTTGGAAAGGTCCAACAGCTTTAGAAGCCACCAGAGGGAACGTACAACTTGCTTTAAATGGTTGCGCAGAGCTGGACGTGTTGTTTAGCAGCAAAACTTGTGTTCCCAGCCCTGATTTGTTCCCATTTGTAACACAAGCCCCGCGATGCCTGATGCTTCCTCGTAAACCCTCAGCTTCTGGAATCGTGTGCTCAATGGAAAACACAGGAAATCTGCCCGGTCCCAAAGGCCCAGGAAAAGCAGCGGGCAATCAGGCAGCTGAGCACGGAGCAGAGAAGGCAGCCCAAAACTCACCTGAGCTGCTGGGAACCGCTCAGCACAACGCAGCGAGCAGCCAAGCCGCGGAGAAGGATGAGTCAGGAACCTCCACAAAGGTTTAAAACAAACCATAAGGACTTCTTTGCAGAGCAAGGGGAGGCAAACCGTTCCTGCTTTCAGCTGTTTGGTCGCTCGGCTCCTTTCCGACAGACAAATTCACCTCTCCTGCTCCTCACCTCCCCACGACTTGAAGCCAAGGCTCCCAAACAACGAGCAGCAGAGCGCAGCAGCACAACCCAGGCGCTGCGCTCCCATCACGGAACCCCCGATGTCGGCAAACACCCCTGACATCACCGGGCCGGCCGAACCACCGCCGCTAAGCCCCGCTAAGCCCCGTCCCTCATCTCAGCGCTCCCCGAGTTCCCCCGGCGCTGCGCTTCCCAAAAGCGGGAAGGCGGGCGGAAGGAGCCCGGGGCGAGAGAGCTGCTCCCGCTGTGCCGCCCTCCGTCCCGTCCCGTCCCGTCCCGTCCCGTCCCGTCCCTACTCACCGCACGGCGCGGGCCGAGCAGCTCCCGCGGGGCGCGGGCTCAGCTCCTCGCCATGGCCGCTGCCCGCCGCCTCTGGGGGGCGCGGCCCTCAGCACCGCCCCCTCCTCCGCCCCCTCAGGCGCCGCCGGGCCGGCCCGCGCGCGGGGCGCTGAGGGGAGCGGCGTGAGGCGCCGCCCTGGGCGGGAATCGATCGCGATGCCCAACCTGAGGCCGCCGCCGCCTCTGGTTCACCTCAGGCCCGCGCGGCTCTTGGGACCCGACGGGTTTCCACCGTGGGGCGATGATAAAGATGAAACCTCGTAGTGAAGGCTGTAAAAACGCTCCGATGTGCGGGTGGGAAGGGCTGCAGGGAGCCCGCAGCTTCTCTGTGGAAAACTTTCCAGACGCGGCGCTGGGAATGGGGGGACCGACAGCACAGCGGGGCAGCCCGGCACTGACAGGGTCAAACTGGGACCGGGGGCGTTATGGAATCATTACGGTTCGAAAAAACCCCGTCTAAGCAGCCGCCCCCCTGCCAGCAGTGCAGCCGCACGCGAACACCTCCGTGCAGCTGCAGCGTCCCAGTGCCCGGCCGCCCTCCCACAGCAGCTTTTCCTCACGCCCAACCTGACCTCATCCCACACCTCGGTCCCTTCAAACGCAAAGTGGTTTCCACACAGCAACGTGTCAGGCCCGAAGCAGCCAATACAGCAGCGGGGCTCTGCTGACACCTGGCGTTATGTGCAGCCACAATCCGGGCGGATGGATGCCAGCATCGGGAATTTGGGGGTGAACCCGAAGCTGTAGGGGGTCGAGGAGCCCTCCCAGGCACTATTTAATGGCTGAAGCCCAGAGCAGAGCTGCACTGATAGCACGTCTCACCTTACAGCAAACTGTTCCCAACATCAGGAGTCAGGGGGCTGCAGATCACAGCCTTCGTTTATTTTCTCATCTTTTCCTTTTTAACACATCCACCACTGATCACAGGGCAAAGGCAGCCCCCCCCTCCCTCTACCTCCCAGAGCCAAAGAACAACACTGACTCGAGAAGTAAAGCTCTCATCCAAGTGGCATTTCCAATCACCCCATTGGAATCAAGTTTTTGCCATTGAAATAAGGAGGAAAAACAGCACATGCCAGTAAGCGAGGAAAAGAAATCATCACAACACTTGAACAAAGTGAAATCTTGGAGTGCAGCAGAGAGGTGGCCCAGAAGAGTACAGCTCTTATGGTGGCTGCTGCTAAACTGCTGAGGAGTGCCAGCACACTGCTTCCCTTCTTCACACCCAGCAAACATCGTTATTTACGAGACACAGCACTAAAACAATGATGAAAATGCAGGAAATACAGCTTTTCAGCTCACAGTCTGGACTGGAATGAGCTCTTACTGAGCGCTCTGCCCACCCTCTGTGTTTCCCCAAGTCCTGGGAGCCCAGGGGCAGGAGGAGCCCACTTTTAGCAAACCTGTTTGCTGGGAAGCTGTAGGGAAGCAATGGCACCGCAGCACTCGTGTGCCACGCTGTTCCTCCAGCAGACACTAGAAAGATCTGCATCTGCAACCTAGACCTGAAAACCCAAAATGAAGAGAAATGCCATAATTGGTAAAGCTTATCCTTAAAATCCAGTGTTTAAATCTCAGAGACTTGATTACTTTAACAAGTTATGATCTACTAAGAAATTTCACTATCATTTTTCTTTGTTGTGGCTTTGTCAGAGTACAGCCTCTGCCAAACGGGCCCCACTTCCAGGCAGTAGGTCGGTGTTCCACAGACCTGATGCTGACCCTAAAACAAGGCCAGCAGCTCCTCTAGGAGGAACAGACACCAGCTAGTCCCCCAGCCAGGGCCCAGAGTTTCCGCCTCTCTCCTCACTCTGCCCAAATCACAGCAGTTTGCTCTTTCCAGGCAAACGCTGCTGTAAACAAAATTCCATCAGCTCACCACAAGGATTAAATATTTACAGCACAAACACATAAGGAAAACATTATAACACAAGTTAATAAATAATGAGGACGACATAGCTGCAACGCAAGCTATCATTCCACGCAGACAAGGGGCAGTCGTGGTTGGTCTCAGCAGTACATCAAACTCAGTGCTTGGGATCTTCTCCCTTTGGTCTTCATGGGTCCAACAGCAGCACAGCTAGGTTTTGGGATTCAGTAGTAGAGGCCTGAAGGATCCTTTCTGCAGTTCACACTGCAGCATGTCAAGCTAACTCATCCCTCACTTCACCTCAAAGACACAGTGCAATTGGGTCATCCAGAACCCCACCAAAATTCTGGAAAGCTGCACAGAAAAGCAGGCATATCCTCTCACACAGAACGGTCACAGTTCTCTTAAAAACTGTTCTTCAGCCTCAGTACTTTAGTTTTCTCACTGAAATACATGGCAGTATCAGCCTTTCCATGTAATCGCCATGCAAATACAGATCACTGTGCAACAGTCATTGCTGGACAACCATTGATCTATCATTTGTACTGCGATAACACGAAGGCTTTACCAGGAAACAGAAGCAATTCTGCAGGAGGAAGAGCCTGCTATGAAGCGAGCAACAACCTATATTACAGTCCTTAGAGGTATCTCACAAAGAGCTATATACAATTTTCAAACAGCTTGTTCCAGTGCATTTGTGACTGTGTCAACAGTTTACAGTTCTGTTAAAAAAAAAATAATTACATCCTCTCCTGGAGGATGTTTATCCTTTGATTGGAACATCCTGTAGGTGCTGCAATCTTGATTAAAGATAATGAAGTATTCTGCTGGTTTTCTGAAAGTGTGATCAGATGCATCTCATCATCCCAAAGCTAGCTGAAGAGTTGGTACACCGAGAATGCTGCCTGCTCAGCAGCAGTTCTTCAGTCTTTTGGTTCACAATAAAAGCTCACCATAAACAAAACACACGTAAGTGCTCACATTTCGTCCAGTGCAGTGAAGGAAGACATAATTACAGGTTTTAACTGGAGGAATTTTGGTTTCCAGGGTTCTTCAGGATCCCTTTTAGTGCAATTCTTGAGGTCAATGGAAAACGGAGAGCAATTTCAATTAGGTGAGGGCTGTCCTTTGCTAACAGAAGGAGAAGCACAGTCTTGGGTCTTGGCTTGTCAAACTTTCTGCGAGGCCCTTGGACACTGGATTGTCCCACAGCCTGCAACAACAGCAAACACATAAATGCAGGACTTGGCATGGTGGGCCAGGAGGTGGCACACCCAACACAGCAGTTAACTGGAAGAAGCAGCTTTGGATTTTTATAAAAACTGGTCCAAAAGTGCAAAGCAGAGTCATGTCTCAGCAACACAGCAGCAATTCAGCAGCTGCCTGCCTGCTAAGATGGACTCATTGATCTAGGCTGGGAGAGGTTATGGTTTTGAAATGTCCTCAGGCCAGGACTTCCTTTTGTTCCAGGGCCCTGGGCAGCCTGGTCTAGCATTAGGGTGGGATGGTTGGTGGCCCTGCGTGTGGCAGGGGGGTTGGAGATTCATGATCCTTGAGGTCCCTTCCAACCCTGGCAATTCTGTGATTCTGTGACTTTCTCTGGCCTGGCAAACCCTGTTTCCTTGGCTTGTGTCTAGATGCCCTGCAGCATTCTAGTCCATGCAAGCCAACCTTGGGCAGCAGGTCAGCACAAGACACATCTCTCCCAGGACTGGTCACCCCAGCTTCCCCTAAGTGGATCTACACTCAGCCTCAGTAACACCCACTCACCTTATGAACTGAATTTCTGGGCACCTGACAAGTCCCTCTGCCAGCTTTGTAGCACCACAGGCACCAATGCAATTTTTCTCCAGGCTGTTTTAAAAAACAAAAAGTTTTAAAAAGCAAAACCAAATCAAGAGCAGAAAACAGCAGAACCACCGCTGCCTCTTTTCTCTTGTCTAAGAGCATTGCTTTTTCACAAGCACAGCAATGTTCCACAATGGACACCAGCCTCGTCTTGATGACCACAGCCCTATTTATACATGAAACGTGCACTGTTGCCCACAACCTCCTTCTAGCAATAAGACTTCTAGGCTCCACTGCATATTTTCCCTGCCCAAGACAAACAAAACTCAGTTCCTGATCCCGTGAACCACAAACTATTATTTTTGTACAGCTGAGGGATGGAAGGCACATACTACATGTTCCAAAGGGCCAAAGGGAGGGAAGCAGATGATGGTCCCTACAATGGAATAGCACTGCACTGTGATGCCACTGGATCAGAGCTGAGCGGGTAACATTGAACCCAGATCCAGCACAGGAGCAGCATCAGAGCTTCCCGTGTTCTCCTATGGCCCAAGACCCACAGTTTGGCCACCACAGCCTGGGTTATGCATTTCTTGCCCAGCCACAGGCTGTCTGAAAAGGGTGCTCATCTAGACCACCCCAGGCACCAAAGAGAAGTAACAAACTGCAAGCAGCAGCTCACCTGAGGCTGTTAGATGATGTGACTCACACTCAAGGAATATCATTTTGTCTTTCCTGACTCAAACAGGAAGCACAGGCAGGATAGCTTTTACTTAAATACCGACAGCAAACACCTCCAATTAAATAAGTCTGCCTCAGCACCTCTGTGCATCACCCAAGCAAGGCTGGCCTTTGGCAGCAGGCTAAGTAAGCATTTGGATGGCAGAAGCCTGTCCCTCTGCTGCTCCTAGCATTCATCCCACAGGAGTACTGCAGCTGAAGGCTCAGAGCCACAAATACAAGTCTTCTGGTGCTACTCTCAGGGCTGTACTCACTCTAACATCTTCAGCTTTTCCATCCCTGGGAGGATGCTGGCCAACGCTTGGGCTCCTCCGTCACCAAGGGCATTCCAAGACAATCTAAGACAAGAAATCCCAGCCGGTGAGTCAGCCAAGCCCAGCTGAGGGCAATAAGTTCTGGCTTTTACTTAATGCCTGAGATACCTGTGATCTCCATTCCCACCCATTCCCACACTCACATTATCTCCTCCATGGCAGGGCACTGTTGGAAGCCACGAGAGAGTAATTTTGAAGCATCATCAGTGATTCCACAGAGTTTCAACCTGGAGCAGAGGAGGGAGAGGAAAAAAATAGAGAGGTTGCATTGTGCTGGCGTCAGAACTGGTGGGAATCTGGCACCAGCACCATCTGCTGCAGTGCTACAAAGCCATGCTCTGCCCAAGCAGTTC